GGAGAGGGGAGGAGAGGGGAGGAGGGAGGAGAGACAAGAGGGGAAGAGGAAAATAAAAAAATAAAGAAGACAATGGGTTTAGGGGGAGAGTGCTTTTTGCGAACTTAAGGCAGACAACTGACTTTCATCACGAAAGTAGGCGTACTGTTGGAGGGAAAAAAGGGTATGCTGCGGCACCAACTGGAATATTCAATTATTGGAAACCTCAGCACCAGAAGGAAAAGAAAAAAAGTTTAAATTTAAAGAATTTGTTAGGAGAAAATGAAAAAAACATAGTGTACGGGGTAGATTACGTGCCAAAATTGCATAAAACTTCAAACGTCCTAATCACGTCATTAACAAAATACTAATAAAGGGCTAAAAGAAAACGCCACAGTAAAGAAGATAATTTGCCGAGTATCGCACCAAAGTCGCGTCGTAGCTCATCATTTCAAGCTCATCCTTTCAAGGAGGGGGCACTAATATATTGTAGAATATATCAACCGATTTACTTTAGTAAATCATGTCCGGAAAGTTGAGATCTGTCACATATTTGCCGAGAATGTTTAGCTGGAGTTACCGGTGACAGGTTTGCGATCAGCAGTCCCCGGTGTTGGAGATGGGCTTCTCACAGGGTCATCGGCGGGCTTGTCAGCGGGTTTCTCCGCTGGTTTCTCAGATGGCTTTTCGACTGGGGTTTCAGCTGGCGGCTGAGACACTGGCTCAGCTGGCTGTTCAGTTGGGGGCTCGATTGGCTTGTTTGCCGGTTCACTGTTTGGTTCAACAGTTTGGACAGCGCCAAGGGCACTTGGGCCTGGATTGGAAGGAGGCAGTCGTCCAGCTGCGCCGGCAGAACTATTGCTTCGTTTTCGCTGAGCTTCGGGCATTTGAGGTCTCTCAACGCCGGCTCCGTATGGACCAGGGCTCATGGATCTTGGCTGCGGGATACGAGGGCTAGGGCCGGGGGATGCAGTGCGTGGAACTTCCGGAAATTGAGCAGGCGGCGCAGAAGCGTTTGGATTATATGGGCGGTAGCCTGAAGTGGGAGAAGGGGGGCCATTTTGCTGTGGTGAGAATCGAGGAGGGGCATTTGGCAGAGGTCCGGTCGGTTGCGGGCCAGGAGCAGGAGAATTACGCCCGCCGGCAGGAGAGCTTGGTCGACCATTTGGATCGCGAATCATCGGGGGACCACGAGGGCCAGGGCCGTTACGTGGTCGTGGTTTTACTGGTCTCGCAGAGAGACAAGTCCTAGGGGCAACACCTTGCTGAGATCGGTCAAGTCGAATACAAAGAGCCTATATAATTGGTTAGCCTAAATTTTGAAATTCGCGGTAAACAACAACGTCAAGTAAGTTGTCAACATACCCATCCGTCATCATACTCGTGAAGCAGGCGTACGAGTTGCCCAGCTCGGAGCTCAAGCTCGTCATCCATCGAAGGGCTGAAGTCGAGCTGGACACGATGGACGTTATTCGGGCCCGGACCACTAGTAGCAACAGCCGCAGCCGTAGCGGAAGTGACAGAGACAGAATCTAAGCTCCTTGCTGGACTTGGGGGAGCTGCGTCTTTGGACCAACCAGGAGGAGGGCCGGCAACATGTTGAAGGGTAGGTGGCTTGCCACTATGGCCCTTAGCTGCTGCGCCTGTAGCAACTGCAGCGACACCAACAGCAGCCGCGGCAGCTCCAGCGGCAGCAGCTCCAGTGTTTAGGGACTCTGGGCTTGGAGTTCGGCCGCCACCTGATCCTAGAACGGGTTGTACAGGGCTAGACATTGGGGATGAGGCATCAGATCGCGGCTCGAATGGATTGACAGGGTCATTGAAAGGATTCGATGTGCTATCTGCCGTCCTAGGAGGAGAGATGTTGTGTTGTCCAGTAAGGCTACGGGCTCCAACAGCACCAGCACCGGCGCCGGCCGCCATATTCTGACCGTTCGCCGAATGTCCAGTTAGATCGGGAGAAAACTCAGTCACCGGTCGGATATTCAGTTGTGGGGGAACAGTTTGGGCCATCTGCGATTGTGGGGCTGGTGGAGCATATGTATTAATCATTGGCGGTGGCGGAGCCGGCTTCTCATTATCTAGTGCCTCCGCGGCTTCATTCTTCTTTTTCTTCTTACGGATGAAAAGTAACGCAACACCCGCAAGAAGACCGATTAGGGCGAGAATTCCGATTGCGAGACCCGCCTTTGCACCGGTGGACATTCCTGGGGCTGGAACATCCGTAGCAGAAGGGGTTGGGGAGCCGGAAGACCCCGCTGCATCGTTGGAGGCTGTGGAGCTCGCAATCAATTGTGACGTGGATGGGGCTGATGTAACAAAAGATGTTGGGGACGGCGCAGTAGAAGACAATTTCGGCCGCGAGCTAGGAGGAGTGGGAGATGACGAAGTTGGAGCCAAAGTTGGAGTTGGAGTCGAGGTTGAAGTCGGCCTGGGCGGCGGTCTCCGTGTAGTAGTTGGTTCGTCGTCGTCTGACGGGGACGTATTCTGAATTGGAGGTGCAACATTCGCGGTAGAGCCGGGCCTCCCTTCAGTGGAATAGCCGCCGATCGGACCATCAAAGGTTGGTTTGGCGGTGACATAGATAGTAGAGACTACAGTGTCATCCTTTGGCCGCAAGTTGCCAATGATACTGATGATTCCATCCGTGAGTCTCTGGCGCTTCTCGAGCTCAACATGTTGGCGGTGTCTATGGTGGTGCGGCATCGTGAAGGTTGAAACGACCGACGCAAGAAACAGAAACGAAACGAGGTGATAAGAAAAGAATCTCTGCCGCTATCACGGAGACATCCACACAAATAAACCGAGAAAAGATCGCCTTTGGATCGATTTGGCAGGCTGGTGAGATTATCGATTACGTCGAGTGCTGCTGGTGCACGGAGGGAGTGGCTGACCGTGGGCGGTCGGGGGCTGAAAGAGTGACGAAAGCAGGCAGCGGGTGCCAGCGGGATCGCTGAGATCAAAGGAATGAAAGTGTTCTAAGAACGAGCAAACAAAAAGAAGGGACGGGTCACGACAGCATGACAGCAGTCAAGGAGACTCAAGAGGAAGAGAAGGGCAAAAGCGAAGAGAAGAGACGAAGAAGAAGAAACGACGAGAAACGAGGTTGAGCAAGCAGGCTGCGGCCACAACGGGCATAGCGCGGCGGTACGGGGGTGTCTTGGATACGGTAAGTTTGGGAAATTGGGCGGTGTTCCGGCGCGGGGCTTGGAATTACGCCGTATGCGCACGGCCATTGGCTGGGCGGCGAGGGAGGCTGAGCGGGCGCCCGGGATGGCCTCGCCTGTGAGGCGGATCGGCGTGCCAGCCGGCGCGTGAAGAGACGGCTGCCCATCACGGCAGCAGGAGCAGCAGCAGCAGCGGCGGCGGCGACGCGCATGGCATCAGCTCCTGCACGCCTGTCCGAAACATTGTTCTGCAGGCGTGTGTCAAGGCCATTGTCGCAGCGTGTTGTTTGGTCTCCCAAACACCCGCGTGGCTGCGGATATACGGCGGCTGCAGGGGACGCGACCGTGCAGCCCTGCCATTGGCCGGGGTCCCCCCAGCACGCCAGGCCGCTTTGGGACAAGCGCCAGGCACAACACAGCAGCACGTGCTCAGGGGTAATTTACGGGCGTGTAAGTAGTACAGGCATTATTATTATTCCAGCAGGGCCGCACCCCGGCCGCGCACATTTGCGCGTTGCTCGCAGGCTCGTTACGCAGCACATACAGGCGGTGACGTCTAATCTCGGGATTTGCGCGGGATTGGCTCTGCCTGTGCTATCTTTGGACGCGCCACACGCCACACCAGCCACAGGCGGGATTGTCACGAAATCAAGACATCGCGAGGAGCGCGAAGGAGAAACACGCCAGGGACCTGAAACAAGGACTGCACATCATCTAGTTACCCCATCCATGCCCGCTTCCACAGGTGTTGCGGGTTGCCTGGCTTGCAGCTGGTGTTTCAAGGGATTGTGGGCTGACAGAATAAGAGTAGCCATCGCAGGTTGATTCACAGCAACGCATGCCGCATGACAGATGCTCCACGACACTTAGAACGAAAGGAAGGGGTGCTCAAGGGCCTGTCGCCATGCAAACCGGGTCAGCGTCCAAGAGGTGTCATGGGACGGTACGTGTCGTAACTTACTTGGCTGGCGGTCAAGCGCTCGCTTCCTTCATACTTGACCAAGTCTTTCGCCAACTCGCGGCCAAGCGATGATACTCCACACAAGATCTCCTCCCACGATCGCGCTGGGTATTCGCGAAACTCAATCTTGCCCCAGTCTGGCAGACGGGTCCTCGACTGTGGGTTCAAACAGGTAAGGTGCGCGTTAGACACAGCGCACTGGGCAACCAAACGGGCTGGGGGGGGGGGGGGGGGTTCACATACCGGCCATGACTCTTCCGTTGGCGTGCCTAACGTGGTAAAGATCGAGTGCACCAACGCTAGGTCGCTTCCGACGGGCCCAGCATCAAAGAGTGGATGATGTTCGGGTTCAATCGCCTCCGCAACTACGCAGCCCATCGCCCAAAGATCCAGCGCTGCGTCGTATGACTTATCCCCAAATAAAATTTCCGGTGCACGATAGCATGTGGTACCGACGTCTGTGATCTTCTCGTCGGGAGGCTCTGACGACTTATCCTCCGGAGACCATGCAATGCCAAAATCGGCCAGGAACACCGGCCCCTCCGGCCATTGTAGTAGTACATTGGAGGGCTTAATGTCACGGTGTATGATTCCTAGCTCGTGGATGTGTGCCAGAGCTCGAAACATGTCTCTTAGATGAGACCGGGTTTGCCGTGCATTCAGCCGGCCGTCATGAAACAGGGCCTCAAGGGTATACCTCATATACGGGAACACCAGAACAAAACGGCTCCCACCCTCATGAAAGGACTCCAATAGCGGGATGATATTTGTGCAGGACGTCCCTTTCAAAAGTCGAGCTTCCCGTTCCGAATCATGGGGAGGCCCAGTCAGGTGAGGAATGGTGACTTTCAAAGCAACGACCAGGCCTTCATCATTTATGCTTTTGTAGAAGCTGGAGAAGAGGCCTTCCTGGTCATGAACTGCTTTCGCATACTTGCCAATTTTCTCGCCACGCCTAGATTTGATTTCCGTCTTGACTTCCGCTGCCCATTGCTGAAACGACTCATCGTTGTCTGGTGCAATAGCTTGATTGTCATAGTTGTCAATCTCCTTTTGGCACAACGCCCGATACTCATCCTGAAGAGAGATGTGAGAAGAAATAATCCAGCTGCGAGTACTGCGGGGCTATATAGATCAGAGATGCAAGCGTGTTGCTGACCTTAGAGGATGCATTTGCGTAAGCCTCTCCCTCAATCTTCGTTGCTTCAGAATGTGCTTCAGGAAAGTCCGCGGATGGGAAACCGTGACGATATGCAGTAGTGCTTGAGTCAAACGGTTAATCTTGATGCAAGATCGTATCTGCAGGCCACTCACAGAGACGTTAACGCCGATAACCGCTCAGAGAAAGTTAACTGCGTCTTCCAGCTGGTGTTTGTTGCCATGGCTGCTCGATTATAGAGAGATAGTGGTATTACTGCACGTCTATCATCCTCCAAGCAAAAGTAGCTTGGAAACACCGCCTCTGGTGGTTTGTAGGTGCCTTGGAGCCGGCGGTGGGGCACCTTGTTATTGCTGGGCAGCGCTGTAGTTGTCAATATCTCTTGCGGCGCGCGGGGCATCATCAGAGGGCGACACCGCGCCGGATGCGCTGGAAACTGCTGGGTAGTCTATTACCCGGCATATGGACTGCCTTCAACGCCTGCAATCCCATCTCTCCCTCCTTCTCTCTCTCTCTCCTTCGCCCTTTTGCTCTTCCGCTGCAAACCAGTCCGGCACGTGACTCAACGGCGGCGCAGCAATGGCCGGCTTGGCGCGGTCTTGACTCCCTTTCATCATCAATTGTCGTCGTCGTCGCCGGCTGACTGAGCCTCGCTTCATGGTGACCTCCCCTTAGCAAGCTCTGCGCAGGCGTTTGTTCCACCGTCCGGGTGCTGATCTGTCTTACTGCTGCTTATTTTCTCTCTATCTGTTGCACTTGCGAATATGTTCGTTGGCTACCCCGGATTCTGAAGCGACAAGAAGCGAGTGCGATCATTGTCTCACCATGGAGCTCTCACAACAGGAGTATCCTATGCTCGCGGTAAGCGGTGATCTAGCTGGTCCTGCAGCGACTGCAGTTTGGACTCTGCCCGAACCCAACCCTGCTCGCGAACCTTACGGCGTGCACTTCGTACTGACCCTTCCTCATTGCTTGCAGACACTTCTACCGCCGGCCCAGGCTGTTGCCGTGATAAACGACCGGCTGAAGTCGATTAATAAAGTCAACCAAGAAATTGCGGATTGGCTTCAAGTGTGTTTTATGGCTGCTGTACTGGATCTATAGCTGCTTATCGCAATCCTTAGGAACGGCGTCGCATTGAGGAAGCTTACTTTGTCGGTCTTCGGAGGCTTGCGAGGCGACCACAGCCAGAAGGAGGTTCTAAGCTGGGGTAGAGATAAGATTCGACATACTTGATATTACCTATGCTAACCTTTTGTAGAATTTTCGAAGCACCATGGCAGCGCATTCTGTCCGAAACAGAGTCCATAGCTCTGTCTCACGAGACCCTTGCCCATCATATTGAATCGGATGTTGAAAGGCCTCTACGGGAGTATTCTACCAAAAATAAAGATATAAAACCCATATCTGGCGCCCAGCAGGATCTTCTGGCAATTTCTAGATCGATTGAGGCCGCCGAGAAGAAAGTCATTAAATTCAAAGATAAGGGCTCAAAGGCGCTTGACAAGCTAGGCAACGCTTCAACCGCTTCTAGTGTTGCAAAGGCGCAATGGGAGTCCAAGGCCCCGTTTGTTTTTGAGCAATTACAGGCCGTTGATGAGCATCGCCTCAATCATCTGAGGGATGTCCTTACACAGTTTCAGACGCACGAAGCTGACCATGTCGAGCGAAGTCGACAATCGGCAGAAAATTGTCTCAATGCGCTGTTGGCTATTTCTCCTTCAGAAGAAATAAAGATGTTTGCGTTTCGGGTGAGCGGTGGCCGCACTGCCGACCTAGAAAGCCAGAACCCCCTAACAGCAGCCGTATCTGAAGCCGAAGTGATACCTATGGAGCCTCTACAGGCCCCTCCAAGGATACGAGATGATGCTGGTAGTCGCCGCTCCAGCCATTCCAACCAAGCGCGACCAAGTTTTGGTATGTTCCCTCTTGCCGGCAGTTTTCGAAAATCGATTTTAACTCTCATTTAGCCTCTGAACAACCACCAAACCCTCAGCAGCGTCATACACCGCTGGGAGGTCTAAAGCGACTTGGCACAGTGATGAGTCGGAGGCGAAGTATTGTTCAAACGAATTCTGGCAATGCGTCCCCGGAGAGAAAATTTCGGTCTCCATTTACCCCATTTCGGCGGGCAGAATCCTCCCATAGCTTCCACCAAGTGGATAATCAGCCTGGTACCCCGAATGGCCTAGAGCCCTTCCCCTCCCGTGATGGTTCGTCGCTGCATCGGCCAGACTCGTCTGCCACGACAAACGGTTCCCAAGTTGGACCCAATATTGACTCGAGACTCAATGGAGCCACAATACCGGAAGAAAATATTGGCGAAGAAACGTCCACAACGGTCATTGCATCTCATGAAGGACGCCCATTATCCCCCAAGGTAAGATGTTCAGAGATCTACACTGTTCAGGCTTTAACTAATTGGCAAAAGGCACCTATAGATGCAGATGGGTTCTCAACAAAACCGGACACTATCGACGAAATATCTAGAGCGCAGCAGGAGGCTGCTTCGTAAGTTCTGCATATCTCCCATTGGGCGTAGACCCGCTAACATTTTGTTTTTCAGCGAGGATCCAGGGCTCAACCTGACAATTCGCGATCAACCGATCCAAGAAGATGAAGGCGAAGCGAAGCAGGCAATGAACGACATGGCCAGTACCTTGCGCTTGGTAGGTGTACTCCGCATTTTTTTTGTTGGCTGCTCTACTCACATCTTCATTAGCAAGCAAAACAGTCGGGTTTGGGAAGAGGCCCAGGCACTCTACGAGGCCGTCGAGATGTGCGAAATACCATTTTCGTCCCAACTTCTATTATTCCGGAGGGCGAATCGAATGTCGGAACACCCTCAAAGGGTATTACAGATGGTGCCCTTTCGCCAACAACATCGCCATCGCAAGATCCCCAAAGCGCAGCGCCATCTGGCCCCTCCCACGACGATCCCACCATTTCTGATGTGACGTCGATTCATTCATCCCACACTTTACACAGCTTGTCGGGCATCATTCAACACCCGGAGTTAACAGCACCGGGACTCAATGCTTCTATCGTGGATAAAGTGAATATTACTCTTGCTGGAGGAGCAGTCACAAAATCTTTTGTTGTGGGAGAACTCGCTTTGGCATACAACCCCATCGAAGGGACATCTCCAGACAAACAAATTGTTCGACTCGACAACTTCCATATCTTGGAACGTGTTGCGGCGAACCCTGATTTCGTTAAGAACCTGGCTAATGATCCATCAAATGGAACACCACCTTTGGGCATCACCGATGATAGGAAAGGCGAGTACGACGTAGCGCTCTCATATTTGAGAGAGCAAACGGCCACAGTGGCTTTTAAGTATCAGATTCATATTGACCCTTCAAGTTTGTCAGCATACTGCCCTGTGATCTTCGAACCGGTGTGGAACGAGGAAGAATTTCAGGCCAGTGTCATAATCAATTACTCCCTAAACCCGCAATTCGTCACATCAAGCCCACTCACGTCTGTTACTCTTCAAAACCTCATTCTGACAGTCAATTTGGGCATGTCTTCTATTGACGAAGAAACGAAGCAACCCCGTGAAGCTGCCCGTGCCACAGGTGCCCTCATGCACCCGAGCACTGGTGCTTCATTCAGACGGAAAACCTCCTCAGTTATCTGGAAACTCCCCGTACTGGAAGTCGCGGCCAATGGAGAAAATAGGCTTCTTGCGCGATTTTCCACTGCAACTAGCTGGCCACGCAAGGGCAAGGTTGAAGCGAAGTTTGATGCGATAATACCAGACGACACTCTGCGACTTGGCATAAGCTCACATTTACCAGCTACGCAAAACGAAAGCAAGGAAGTCGATCCTTTTGCTGATGGAATGAAAAGCCCAAACTCTCAGATCACCAGCCCTGTTACAGCAACTGAAGTGTGGGCAGAACTGCCCACGAAACGAAAGTTGTCTGTTTCTAGATATCTTTCAGCTTGAAATGCTGAGCTAGACCTTGTTTTAGAACTTGGCTTATCTCCTGTGCCGATTCTCTGGTAGTAATTACCATTGTTTGCTTTTACCTCCTGCGTCACCGCCTGCTTTTATCTTGGATCGACCTCATATTTTAGGATACTCCAGTTTTGCCCCCCTTTTTTGACTTCGAATTGTATTTTTTTTGACATATTTACATTTTTGGATGCTGTATAATCTTTGAGACAAACTTTGCCCCCTATGACATAAGCGAAGTCGCCTGCATTGTCAACGATTCCTGGGATAAAATTGAAAGAAGCACTTGGATTCGATGGATATACCCGACAATACGCCCGTTCCCCCCTATCCCTTCGAATTCTTTTAATTACAACGTCTACTTGTCTCATGCGGTGGGTGTTTTTGATGGGTGAGACTGTTCTTGTTTCGATTCAGGGTGCATAGTGCGGAATCCATTTGAATTTTTAATGATGGCCGAGTTACTTGAGGATTTGTCAGATAACTGCCGGGAAGATTGTCTTCACATGGAAAAGCACCCTTTAATACCCTTGTAGTCATTTGCTAGCCACTACTCCGTAGAACATGGATATCGATTTAGCAATATGGTTCCCTTGGATTTAGCGCATAAAAAAAATTCCGGTATCCTGTTACTCCTGGGTACCACCTCAGACCAACCATACCTATGATAGGTATTCGGAAAAGAGATAGGAACTTCTAAGCCATAATCCATGCCTTTAAAGCTTACTCCGTATCAATTCACCTACAGCTCTAGAAACCCCGGCGCTTCATCTGCCCTTCCTGGGAGACTAGAGGGTAGATTTCGAAATGAACACAAACTTCAAAGGATGGCCAGCCGTTAGCATTTCTAACAGCTTCAATACCGCCATCGCTCTGAGTAGGCACTCAGTCCTCGAAGCGATCCATATGTCTGCTTGCTCCACGAGCTAGTCAAACCATCATAAGAGGGTGTTGGTCAACACAACATGGCATCTAACAGAGTCCGGGTGCAATAATACAGGGAATAAGAGACACTGAATAACTAATCTAAAGACAGAGCATATATTAAAACAATATTGGATGAACATCATAGAATCCCCAGTCTTGTTTTGTTCTTATTGATATTAAGTATTGGCGGAGGATGTTTTGGACGTCCAGAAATCAATGCAATGCAGATGAGTCAGCATTGTCACGTGCATCGACGTTGAAACAGTACTCCGTACGGAGTAACAGAGCACAGAGGTAGTAGTTGGACCTACTCAAAGGACCGTGAGTGCGACTACCGGCCATTGAGAGGCGGCACACGGAGGAGTATACATAGCTTCTGGCTGACCTGTATCCTGTGCAGCACAGGTTGAATCTACACTTCGGTTATGAGTATTTGTGGAAGCCGTGAGAGCGAGATCGCCAGCCGATGCACAGTAGTTGCACTATGTGATTCTAACATATTTACCTCGACTACTCTGTGCTTTCCACCTAATGAACCCGGCACTGGATCACCACCAGCGTTCTCGAAACCAGACATCCGAAAGAGCTCTTGTTTATCGTTCTGCATATTCCAACCAAGATAATAATGCCAGCCGAAATCGTACGATCGTATGGAGGCGTCATTGCGCTCACCGCCACCTCCATTCATCACCAGAGAAGTCATTAAGCTGGAGACGAAACCCTCGACGTTGGCGAGCAAATGGGGGCTGGAGGAGCATCGTGCATGGGTTGGCGTCCGCCAGACGAGTTATTCTTTAGTCCCGTAGCTGCGCATTCCCAGCTCCCGTTCTCTTGCCGGCGAAGGGCCTCCGGGTAGATTCGGGGCGGCCCACGATGGCTGCAGACCAACGATGCGAATTGCTTCAAATCCGATTGGCAGCGGCGGCATCCCGGCGGGCAAGTAAAAAGAACACGATCTGCTCGCTGAACCTCTCGCGAACGACGGAGCAACCAGCTTCTGAACTAACTCGTTCGCAGACTGCTCGACATGGCCGCCGACTCGCAACGCAGTTTTCTCCGCAACGCCGTCGCCAGCCAGCGTGACGCTCTGGTGACCACGGCGCAGGCGCTGGTGCGGACTGCATCGCCCAACCTGTCTGGAGACACACGGTTCACGGCCGAGGCGGCCATCCGACTTCTCCAGGTGATCCCGCACGCCCACGTCTCGCGGCACCAAATCGCCGCTGGCGTCACCAACGTCGTCGTGCGCATCCCCAGCGGCAGACCCGGCAAACGCCTGGTGTTTAACGGTCACCTTGACACATCTCCTCTGGCTTCAGAACCCGGATGGACGGCGTCGTCGCTGGGCGCGGTGAAGGACGGGAAGCTCTTCGGCCGCGGCGTCTTCGAGACGAAGGGCGCTCTCGCGGCGGCGATCACGGCGGCCAAGATCCTGGCCGAGCACCGTGATCTCTGGCGGGGCGAGATTGTGCTAACGCTGGCCGGCGATGGAGAAGTCCTGGGCGCGCGGGGCACGGGCTGGCTGCTGGACAATGTCGCCTATGCGAAAGGTGACGTCGTGGTGTGCACAGATGCTGCCTCGCCGCGAGTCGTAGGCTTCGGCGAGAATGGTGCTGTCTGGATCGCCGTCGAGGCCGAAGGAGTTGCAGGGCATAGTGCTCAGGGGTACGCCGCCGTCAATGCTATCAAACGGCTGCGGCGCGCGCTGGATGCCGTCGAGCAACTCGAGGAGATATCCGTGAAGATGCCGGCAGAGCTTAGCGATGCCATCGACGCCGAATCGCATGCACTGTGCCATGTCACAGTTAGCATCAACGCGATCGCCGCCGGCTCGCCGTCGTCCGTAAACCTTGTCCCCGGACGGGCGAGCGCGCAGTGCGATATCCGGCTGCCAATCGGCCTCACGGTGGATGAAATACTGGCACGGTTACGAGAGCTACTAGGCGTCATGGACGGCATCAAGTGGACGGTCATCCGGCAGTGCGAGCCCAGCTACACCTCGCCGATGCAAGACTTTGTGCGTTTGGCCGTCAAGGCGGCGACGGATGCGACGAGGAGCGAGTGTGCGGCCAGCATGCATGTGGGCGCGTCGGATGCCCGGTTCTATCGCGCAGCTGGTGTGCCGGCAGTGGTGGTTGGCTGTGCAGGCAGTAATATGGGCGCTGCAGACGAGTATATCGAAATCGATGAGCTGGTGCGAACTGCGCAGGCTCATGCGTTGATCGCCTATGGCTTCTTGAAGAGTGTTTGATAGGGGGATGTGTATCGAATATGAGATTTAGGGTTAATTCAAAAGCTGAGGTATATCGCGACTAATAGCAACCAACTGGGTATCTGAACTCTTCTATCAGCTCTGTGTATCTCTATTTGAACAACCTTCCATTACATCCGCGCAGCACGCGTCGTCTTGTCGTAGAACTCCAGCGTCATGGCCGCGAGAAAACACGGAATATCCTTCCTCTCCTCTACCCAGAACTTGATCAGATCGCGAATCTCCAGCGCAAACAGGCTATTCGGGCCTCCCGAGATCTTCATCGTCCCATTTTCTCCGTCAAAGATAATCGCATTCTCCCCGCCGCCGTCGCCGCCCATGCTCCCCGGCCCCGCGAAGTCACCCGCCGCGCTCGGATCGCCGTGTCGATACGCCGGCGAAAGATGGAACATGGATGTGACCCGCACGCGGCCGTTGGGCATGAAGTCCAGCTTGTAGCCCAGGATCGACGCCACAGCCTCGCGAAACTCCGATGATTTCGCCGTCCAGATCTCCTTCAGTCGCCGGATGCGTTTGTCTTTGTCTGCAACCTGCTTCTCCATCTCCTGCATGTCCACCTGCAGGCTCTCCAGCGTCGCCACAGGCACCGTTTTGCTGCCGGGCTGCTCGTTACGCAGCTGTTTTAGAAGATCGCGGTTTTCAGCGCGTAGGATTGATAACGTTGACAATTTTGCGTTTTCGAAGTCAGAGGTCGGGTTTGAGCGCAGCTCGAGAATACGCGTCCGGGACTGAGCTTGGAGAGATGTGATATGCGACTTTGCAGCTTCAAGTTCCCGGCGCAGCAACTCGGCAGTTTGTTCGGCTTTCGTAAGTGAATCTTGTAGAGTTCGGTTTTTGCGTGCCAAACCAGCGACGCGTTCGCTGTCCGCTTCACTGTCTGCTGGGGACAGAGGCCGCTTGATGCCACGCTGTGCAGGCGAATCGTTGGGCATGATGGTGTCCTCTTTCTTAGATAGCTCTTCGTGTAATTTATGGAGTTCGTCCCGCTGTTCGCTCAGGAGATTCTCAAGATGTGAAATATGTTCGGATTTCTGGTTGTCAATACGATTCTCATCCGGGTTCATCATCGTCTCCTCCGTATCAAACGTTTTCAGCTGCGCTCGTAGATATTCAACCTCTTTAATAGCCAGCGCCCTTTGGCGCTCAAGCCTAGTTTTGGCGCGAGCATCAGAAGTCGGTGCAGCTGGCGCAGCACTCGCCTGAAGACTCTCCATCTCTTTCTGCATCTTCAGCTTTTCTGTCTCGAGGTTGTCAATTACCTCGATTTTCTCGGCGATCTCGCTTTGGATAGCACCAATCCTATCAACTAGGGAAGCGTTTTCAATTCTGACCTCCACCAGTGCTCTGACAACGGACTCGGGCGAGTCAAATTCCGAATCCTGCCCATCTACCTGCAATAGGCCGGCCCAAGAGATTTTCTCGTCCTGCAACACTTGATTCTGTATCCGTAGATTCTTGATTTCGGTCTCCAAATCTCTCATTAACCGTAGTTTGCTTTCAAGTGCAAGTTTTTCTTCCTCAACTACCTGTACTTTCTTCTGGGACTTTCGTAGCGGTCGTAATTCGGCCTCTAGTCGCTTAACTTGCGACAATTGCTCCGACAACTCTCGTTGAAGCACACTCAGGGCTTCAGGCTCAGAGCCTTCTGATTTCAATTGTATGTTTTCTGTCTCCAGTTGATCTACCTCAAGTTCTCGCTGTGATAGCCGTTCTTGCGTAGTCTGCAGCCCTGCCTTCGTTTCCTCGAGTTCATTTCTCACTCCCTCCAGAGTCTGCTGTAGAGACGAACGCAGCGTTTCTAGTTCATTGACCCGACTCTTATGTTGGAAATCCCGGTCCGCTAAGTGCGACCGTCCGTCGTCACATTCTTCTTGCAACGCCTGGTTCTCGTCTTGTAAACTCCGTACCCGTTTCTCGTAGGTCGCTCGTTCTTCTGCCCAATGTTCTTGTAATTGTTTTAGTTCCGCGGCAAGCGACTCGACTTTTCGCTGGGCTCTAGAGGATGCACTTTCAGTGGCCTGGGCATCAAAATTGCGGTGGTCAATATAGAGTTGCCAATATCGGTTGTAAATATCGTATAACATGAGGAAGCTCCCACCTGTGCCTTTCTAAAATCTGCATCTGACCTTGCTTGCAAATCTCGAAGTTCCTTTTCATGTTGCAATGCTTCTAGCTCTCTACTCTGTTTTATATTTTCAAGTTCATATTTCAGTGTGCTAATCAAAACACGCAGTTCCTCGTTTCCAGCGTCTATAGAGCAGAATTATCATTTAGCATCTGTAGATTAAACACACCCTAAAGGGCGCAGTACGACCATGGTAGGGCTCAAAGCGTACCAGGCTTGACGGGCGGTTCTTCAGCACGTATACTTCTTCGCAGCGGGTGTCTGGGGGACGGCCGGGAAGGAGACGGCGACGCTGAAGCGCCGTATAAGGCTGGCGATTTGGTGAAACGACTACTATTCATCTGCGATTGAAAAGCACAATGTTAGACGTATCTCTATTTGACAAGTGAGAAACGAGACGTTTTACCTTCAGAGGACGCGACGAAACCAACACAGCTGCTAAGTAGCCTTCTCCAATAATTAAGAAATCCCAGACGGATTAAAATCACCAATAATCTGTCCTCAAAAAGTAGTAGAGGAAAATGGCGCGCTAGAATGAGCTCTTAATAGAGCTGTTCCGCCAGTTTACTTCATCATTAATTCGTACGGAGTACGGAGTAGTTGACTTGCCAAGACCTAGTTATAGTTAACAAAATACCGTGTCACATGACATTGGTAAATAAGGTTTGTTCCACGGAGTGCTTCGTAGTTGCTTTTACAATCCATCGTCAAAAACCTTTACTTATTTATATGTTCAAACTGGCGACTATATTCGTAGTCTATAAGCTAGGTGGTAAAGAGAAGGTATTGACTGCTTACGGCACTAGAAGCGTAAATAAACTAGTACGGAGTACTCCGTGCAAATACAGCAAAGTGTCGTGCCAGTCGTCAGATGTCTAGACATGAAGAGATGCCCTAACGTCGGATAATGTCATTGATAAGGAGTTATGTACCGAAAGAAATTTTTTTGATAATGGTGATAGTGACTGTTAAAGACCTAGATCTGCTGGATTCATTTGTTTTTTTAAGCTATTTTTATTGACCAAAGCTCCGTCATTCTTAAAACTCCGAAATAATAAGCTGATTTTATCATGAGCTGTTCCCAATAGCTATTCGCCGTGGTACTTTTCGTTTAAGATTTGCAAAGGTCAATGCCTGCAGTGGCTTCGGCCTGGCCATAGGCCTTCAAACGAATTGCCTGGGTCGCGATGAAACCGGTAGTATCGGTGGGCTGGAAATCTTCCAGACTGTCCATACTGCTTTGTTCGGGACTGTATAGTTTGCTGGTTTCAGAGCTTCGACCTAGTACACTGACGGAGCCCTTATAACAACGAAGTCGGACTTGGCCGTTGACGTCGTCCTGGCTGGCGAGGATACTCTTCTCGATGAACTTTCGCTCAGGAGAGAAATACAAACCGTTATAGAGAATCTTGGACCAAGTGATGGTGACGAATTGATCACGGAGGAGGCGAACTTCGCGGTCGAGGACAAGACCTTCGAGATCAAGATGCGCAAGACGGAGGATTGTCATGGCAGGTGAGTCACTAAATGATGTCAATGTTTTGTTTTGTTTTGTTTTGTCTGACAGATGTTTGGATTTCTTACTAGCATCCGCGCTGTAAACGGATTAGTGACTAAAACTAGAAGTTAGATCTAAAATGGTAGTACTTACAGATTTGAGACCAATGTATCGGTTTTCCACGATATCAATACGACCAATTCCTGCAGACAGTGCGTTAGCGGGAGACTTGCCTAACTGAAAACAATAGTTAAGGAAGATGCAGAGATGCCTACCATGTTTACGACCTAGCTCGTTGAGAGTAGTGAACAACTCTAAGGAATCGGTAATCTTATTTCCGGCCTTTGGATCAGATCCTAGAACCACACCAACAGGCAACCCTTTTTCGAAGAAGATTGTGGCATCTTCGGGAGTGTTTGGAGCATTTCGTGGGTCGTCAGTGAGTTTCCACATATCATCTGGTGGAGTCACATCTGCTTCTTCTAGAATACCAGCTTCGTAGGAGCAATGGGCCAGGCTGAACGTCATCAGCAAGGAAAGGACAGCTTTGAATGTTATATTGGGCTCTCTTACTTCTCATCCATAGACCTATTACAAAATCAAAGATTAGCTCGATTCCCTATAAACTAGATGGATTATAAAAACCCACCATGGCTTTGCCTTTGTAGATGTAACTGGAATATTGTGTTTGGAAGCGTAATCAAGAAGATCATTGCGGCCAGCGAAGCGATTGTAAAACTCCGGAAGACGCCATGGGGCGATGACGTTGATAGATGGCTTCCAGATATCAGCTCAACAGGTTCCTCTGGGAGGGCGAAGGAAAAGAGGCCGAAAACCCACCTGGATGGCATAGTATGCAAGCTCAAATCTGACTTGATCGTTGCTGCAAATATGGTTAACAAGGAGAGTACATCGGACGAATAATTGCTCAATATATACCCTTTCCCCGTGCAACCTACAACGAATATCGCATTAGATAGCGTCGAAATTAATATAACGTCGGTAAATACTTACCATGGCTGACAGCTGTGCAGCTCTCCTTCTTTGCAACACGCATCATAGCTCTAGCAATAACGGGGCGAGCACTGAATTGGAAATAAGCCGGCATTCAAGAAGTGATAGTCTAATAGAAATCCTTACAGACTCGTTCTAGATCATTGTTAGCTACCCTACTCCAAAACAAGCTAGTAATCAAGTCATGGACATACCCAAGAAGATATCTATCTTCCCAAATAGCCTATTTTCGGTTATCAACCGTCATTCATAGAATATCCACTATCTGAGGCTCAATGACTCACATTGCACTGAATGGCGCGGAAGCACAGGTCGTCGACGAACTCACGCTTGAGGTCCTCCACTACCATTTTCTTCGCGCCAATGGCTAATGCTTTGCACTCAGCTTCTTTGAAGTCCTCGGCTTGGCCTACATCGGCGAGGAAGCAGACGACCTCATGGCCCTGCTCAATGAGCCATGCCAGAATGCAGCTGGTGTCCAGGCCCCCGGAGTAAGCAAGCAAAACCTTTTCCTTGGTCGCCATGGTGCAGAGAGGTGAGCTGGGGTCAGATAACTAGCGAACTAGCCGTGCAGGTCGAGTCGAGTGCTGGTTTGGGTTCCGAGTCTCGCCAGCAAAACAACCGCGGGGACGACAACGGCGGGCGGGAGCGGACCCTTGTTCGGGAGCAGTTAGGGTTTAGGGCTCAGGCTAGTTAGAACCTCCGCCATTGGTGCACGGCTGCCGGCTCACCGCCGTGAACCCCGCCTTCGCCCTGTTGAGTCGAGGCCCGTCGTCGACCCTGTTGTGGCCGCCCTCGCCTTGCTCTTCATCCACAACAAGACTTAACCAGGAGAGATACATCGCCTGCAGAGCCGATCTGCACGACCCTCGAGCCGCCCGGGGTGACCTTTCACCTCAAATTCTCGCTACGTCTGATCCAAGCCCCAGCCTTGGGTGTGGGAGAGCAGGATCAATGGGGCACATGCCGTCCTGCTTTTCTCGTCAGAGTCGTATCCTCCACAGCCCTGTTTCTTCCTGCATATTGTGCTGCCTGGAGTTGTATGGGAGAAAAATAACTTTCTGACCCAGAGCACCGTTTCGCCGAGCCCATGTATGAAACTCCCGGCGAACAAAAAAAGTATACAAGATGTCAACAAACCCATGGAAATCACCCCAACAAGGTTTGAACCCTGGCAGATCACACCGTTGGCATCAAGCTCATGACCCTGTTCAATAATAATAATTGCTAGGGCGAGATGGATTAAGCTGGTGCTGAAGTAACTCCAATTTACCTAACCACGTCCCTGCAGTTTCTCTGACGCGACCGTTGCATCATACTCCGTAGTTTAACTAACTAACTACATCGAAGCTACACGTCCCGTGTTTTCGGGCAAGAACGGGCGGCGCGGCGTTTGCGAAGCGTTCTTCCACAAGAAAAAAAAGCGCTTTGGTGTTGATATTCAGATACCTCCAATTCTAGGATGAGTCTGGTCCCGTCCTACCGGAAGGTGTTATGATAATATTATCCACCCGGCTGTATTTTCCGTCCCTATCGGAGACGCTTATCTTAAGGCTTCTCCATGCGTCATGCACGCTGACATCGCTGAAATATTATTGACCCTCTATCGAGTGGATCACAATTGACGCCAAGGGCGCCGCCCAATCCTCATCAATCCCATACACCGTACTCCAGACTCCGGGCTCCAGAGCTCCGGGCTCCGACCTTCTCAGCGTTCAGCGACTAAAGTTATATGCTGCTCGCTTGTAGGCGCTAACTAGAATTGTAAACCTGATGACCATACGGAGTAGAGAACGCGCTTCTCTCCCAGCCTTTGCTGATATATTAATGCGCATCCTGCGGCTCGAAACGAACCGCAAAGTCGCCGATTCTAGCCTTACTTCTGAGAGGGAGCGAACCACTATTGGCCCAACCAACCAAATCCTGTTTCTCCAGGTCTCATTGGCAGGATGGCTGCTTTGAGTTGGGGGCTGGGCAACCTTACCGGTGCCGAGAAGCAGCTAGGCATGTGGTTTTTTGGCTTCAGACGAGAAAAGAAAAAGCAACTCTGGCCGCGCCTTTGGCTAAAGCCCGCGAACGGGTGAAAGCGAAGAAGCGTATGCTGAACGTTGCTGAGTATTTTCCTCGGCCTTTTTATTTCTCCTTATCCAAATTCCATGTGTGGTGTCGGCACTCCTATTCTCAAAGCGCCGTCTTTGTTAACTTCTATACTCCCTTTTTGGGAGTTTTGGAGCATTCACATCTCCGCTTCGACCTACAAGTCTTCAACGAGGAGCTGAAACCTGAGTACCTTTAGTGCCGCTCTGAATTTCGAAAACATCTTTGTAACAAACGACCCTCTCATTGTCATTGATGCGGGAAATATTTTGGCTACTAACTACGGAGAATCTCTTGGAACGGCTCAGTCCTGGTAAGCACTATCAAAACTTTCAAGCCTGGCATCGTTTTCTTTATCTCTTTGTGTTCAACGTCCCATAGTGATACATCGTACGATACCAGGTTTCTGACAATATTACTTAAAGAGTTTCGTCTGAAAATACTAAACGTTTCACGAGCCATCCGACTATGTGATATTTGACCCATTTCGCGTTTCGTCCAACCAACTGTTGTGCCTTTTCTCATGTTTTCTCTTGACCTCCAGGCAGGTGTAAGAATCTGGCGTGTCTGATGCAGTGATTCTGGCATACTAAAATATCTGTTGGGCCGGAACCGTGATTTCGCAATGAGTATGGAGGTACAAGCCTTGTCATTCATGGCAGGCACCCATTCTATGGTCGCCATCAAATCCGACCAATCGTCGTCGCCTGCCCCTTGTGAGCCCGCCGTATCCGGACCAAATTCTCCTAGACGAAATCCCGCACGAATAGGAAGATTCGGTCTTCGCAGGTCACATTCTGTATCCCAAACCCAAAACGGTTCTAAAACTCTCATTCCAGCCCTCGAGGAGACAATTAACCCGTTCAATGCTGGGAAGAAAAACGAGGCAATAAAACAGAGGCTACAAAGGCAGTTGCCGTGCCAGGATGCTCTTTCAAAAAGCATGACGGCGGCCGGCGGCCGTGAGGGACGGCAGTTTACTGTAGGAAACGTGGGTCAAAACGGTAAACTCTACCTAAGGTATGTTTCCCCAATATCTGAATCCTAAATATTATATGCCGTTCCCATTTTAACTCTACCTGCGTGCGCCAACAGACCAGTACCAATATCAAAGCAAGGTCTCCATTCGCTCGGACACTCTCAACCACTAGACCATGCTGGGAAAGGAAGGGAATTGATATCTAGTGATGAGCCTAGATATACTCTTGGATCGAGCTCACAGCTATCTGGTCTTCAACAGTTTGTTTCTGGAAAGGATATGCTAGGAAACGATATACTTAAGTCAAGCGGCGCAAACTCTGACTACCTTGTGTCTCACTTGAGTAGGCGGCATTCGCTCTCTACAATCGGTGACAAGTCAGAATCGTCGCATCCAAAGAATCGGGGTGAGCTGAGAATTGTTATTGAGCGCCATGATGACCAAGGATGCAAGCCAGTCGATGAACTCGGGACTCCGTCGCTGACTGTGTCCATACCGCATTATCGACTTGGTGGCTTTAGGTTTACATCTGGAGGCACACCGGTGCTTCGCAGTTCGGGTTATACTCAAACTTCGGTGTCAGATAATTTCCGGCCTTCTACTTTGGCGAAGGCGGACGAACTGGAGCTGCCACCATTACCGAGCGAAATGGTGTCAAACTATTTATCTTCATTCGGCTCGCCTCTATTTCCCTCCCCGCGTGCGTTGAGCTCAATAAATATCCCCTCTACTCCTTCCAGTGCCGTTTTTTACAAATTGAAAGAGCCTATAGAGCCATCAATTTTTGACGCTTTGTTGAGCATTATGGATGACCCCTCTGTTGTACGCTACGTGAAGGGCACCGCGCATGTTGCCGCTGCGACACCAGCCCGCATTGTTGCTCAGATCTCGTCGGATTCCTTCATGGATTATGAACTGGTTTCGGATTTCTTTTTAACATTCCGCTCCTATCTTTCTCACAGCAATTTATTGTCGCTTCTGTTAGCACGACTAGAATGGGCAATCAACCGACCTGAAGAAGACGGCCGAATCATTCGAATCCGCGTTTTTGCAGCCCTTAGACATTGGATCCTGAATTATTTTATTGATGACTTCGCCCCTAATCGCGACCTGCGCGTTCAGTTCTGCGACCGACTAAACCGTATGTATAGTGAAGTCAAGTCCGAGAGCAAGAACAGCAACAGTGATCTTAAGATATTGATAGATCTGAAGAAGTGCTGGAATGGTAGATGCTCACTTTATTGGGACAGCCATCAAAATCTCGATCTGAATAATCCTGATGATCTTGTTGTACCCGGCGGTGTTGACGATGGTCATGAAGTGGATGCTCGAGGATCAGATCAAGGAGGGTCCAGATATCAATCTGAAGTTATATTGATGATGCATCAGTCTCCTGCTCTCCCGGTACACCCAATTGCCCCTTCTGCAGAAGGTAGTGATCCATGTAAATCTGACAGTGCTGGTTGGCAGAGTGTGGAAAAGCCAGCTTCTCCGATCTCTCCTGGTACGTTAGAGCCGACGTCTTACCCCTTTTCCCACGCCACGGCCAATCGGGAGTCGCCTGAGTCAGATCCTGCCAGAGCTCCATACCAGGTAGTTTTGCCTTCTCCAAAGATATCTTCGACGTATATACCTGGCCAATTGACCTTCCCTTCCACGCCTCCTTGTTGGCGTACACCGGCGCACTCCCATAAGCGCAGTGGAAGTTTCTCGGATTCTGTTCGTGATGGCCGGGTTTCGCTGCCGCTTTCAAGTTTCGATTCTCAAGGACAACCTTTGTCTCAGATGCCTCAATACACGGAAAATATTATTAGGGGAAACGTGTACGGCCCGCCCGACCCTTTTCTTGTTTCTTTTGGCCCTCCATCTCCTAGTCTCGAGGCACCGCCTTTAGCTTCGGAAAAAGTGGACCCACAGAATCCGCCAGATGCGCCTAAATCTCCCGGGCCTACTGTGAAGAACTGGATTGGAACACTTCGGCGAGCATTGAACCATCGACCATCTGGGCAACATTGTCTACCACGCGGCACTACTGCAAATGAAATACGAGGGAAGACGTCTGCTCTTCCAAGGAATGTATCCTTCTTTCCCGATGGTTACGGAAGAAGAAAGGCAGGAATGGCTTTCCAAAGCAATACGCGTATCGACCTGCTCTGCGAAGATGCATACCTTTCTTACCAAGAGTTTGTAGAAAAATCGGAACGCTCGAGTCGTTGTATAGGTCAGAGTATTTCTCCGTCTGCTCTAGAAAATGGCACATCGATTTCCAACAAAATACTTGCCCATTCAGGCCATCTTAAAGTTCCGCGACGCGATAGTATTCCAAGTCAATTGACAACTGGAAGCAAGTCAATTGTAATAGTGGACGATACACGTACAGCCGCACCATTAATGACTGGTGGGCTGGAAGTCTCATTGGTAGACACAGAATATAACCTGCTACATGATCTTTCGTTGCCAATAAGGGAGGGGTATAACCCTTCTGTTCCACCTGTCCCTTCTGCCCGAGCCTTCAAGCCAACTGCTCTGGACCAACTATCGGGATCCTTTCCATACAGCAATATTGAGCTCCGAAGATGTACTTCTCACGAGAGCGTGATGACGGCCCACCGCCCAATTCCTGACCACAAGCATTCAAGCAGGTCCATCAATTCTAAGACTCGCTCATGTAAACCCTCTGGCCCAATGCTTCGTCGGCGACGAGGTGGAGACCTGCGAAAAATGCAAAATACACTCGAAATTTCGGAAATTCAACCGTTCATCAGTGACCGAACCGAAAGCCCCTCGATCACAGGCTCCATGCTTCAGATGGTTGAACCAATCGAATTTAATAAACGAAACGAAGAAAATCTGAGAGTTGGTGCCCGACTCCAACGTCGAAGTTTGGATGGATTCCATTGTCTGCGGCGATCTTTCGAGGCCACAATCGCCGAATTTGCGGGGATCCCTGACGATGAGGATGGAGGAATTGAGTCCACGCTGCTCAAATTGGAGGGCAGGTGGCCTAAACGCCCGCCCATCCATGGACAAAAGGGCCGTACAAATCGTGACCCTGAAAACGGCAACCATGAACCCCTGGGAGCTATGCCCGTCCAACCAAATATTGGAGTGACTCAACCTAACTCTAGTGCTGGCTCCGAAGATTCATATTGCTCAATTCCACTACTTGAACGTGGGTTAGCAGATGAGTCCATGAAAAGCCCAGGTTTAGACGATTCCAGTTCGAATAACTCTCGATTTTGTGAACAGAAGCAAGTCATGTCACCAGATACAGAGCTTTCGCTATCTATTGAAATTGTCGAGAAGACACAAAGTATGGAGCAATATCCTCGTCAGCTAGGCGCCACGACACACTATGACGCCGAAAACGTCGTTCTGGTAGATGATGAATTCGAAACGGAAGACTATTCTTCAGAACTATCGTCGGAAATTTCGATAGATGCTATTGATGGCGTTGAGGAGTCTAACGGCCATGGGGCCGCCTTGTCTCCAATAATGTCATTTGCAACTCTTGGGGTTCCAACTCACCCTCTTGCTGACCCGCCATCTCCTCCAATGACTCTGGGACGGCTTGTGCCCATGCCAGCCGATTTGCGCCCAATTGGCATTCAAAAAGCGCCCCCAACACCCAACTTCTCACCCACTAGAGTGGTTCCTGCTGTGGATTCTGGGGAACCCAAACAGATGTGCTCTGATTCCAGTAACATACAAAACCTTGAGACACAACCACAGAACCCCCCAGAACAATTAACAAGTCCATGTCACACCCCTTTTATTCTTGCGTATGACTCAGAGCTTCTCTCACACCAGTTTGCTATTATTGAACAGGCTGCTCTCGGGGAGATCGACTGGAAAGATCTAATAGATATGAGATGGAGCCATTCGTCACAAACAACGCTCAATTGGGTCACCTATCTGGCAGACCAGGATCGCAAAGGTATTGATTTGGTTGTTGCAAGATTCAACCTCATGGTGAAGTGGGCCGTATCCGAAATCGTGATGACCATGAACAGGGCGTTACGGGCGAATACTATCATTAAACTCATTCATGTGGCAGTTCATTCGCGAAGGCTTCGGAACTATGCCACAATGCTACAAATCACCATCGCGTTATGCTCAGTTGACTGCACTAGACTTGTTAAGACATGGGAACTTGTCCCTGAGGGTGAGAAGCAATTGCTTAAAGAGATGGAATTCCTCATACAGCCCACACGAAACTTTCATAATTTGCGGTTAGAAATGGAAACTAGCAACCTTCAAGAAGGCTGTATTCCATTTGTCGGTGAGTGAAAGTTCCGTAAATTCCTTAATTATTATTTGCACTGCTAATTTTGGAACTTCATAGGCCTTTATGTCCAGGACCTTACGTATAATGCGCAGAAGCCAGCCCAAATTGCCAGCACTCGCGAAGGCGAACCCTTAGTTAATTTTGAACGCTACCGTACCGCTGCAGCGATTGTGAAAAACCTACTTCGGCTGACGGATGCCAGTAAAAAGTACCGATTTGAACCCGTTCACGGTATCATTGAACGATGCCTGTGGGTTGCAGCCTTGACCGACGATAAGATTATCACCCTCAGCAAGGCACTTGAATGACCACTCAATGTCACTTCTTTAAGACTTCCTCCTCCTATTCCCTGGCTCGACTTATTCTACGACTATTCTTGGTGACCGAGAAATTTGCGGCCACCACCCTTCATCTTTATTCCTATTTTCGTATTCTTTGGCTAGTATTTCTTCGAAGGATTTTATGCATGATCTATACATCTTGATACCCTAGCGAAACCATTTCCAGAGGCTAATGTTTAGTGCGTTTTTGGAGTCTAGCCTAGGGGCAGCATGTCTGAACTGTATATATCTGAAGGGTTAATGTCACTATTATTGGCGCTGCCTAACGCAGACACGCCATTATAGAATTTTCAAGAACTTCCGATCTTTCTGGTAGTATGCTGTCATTTTTCTGAATAATTCGTACGGCTGTAGATTTCACCATAGTGATATAGTTACATCACAATGAAAAACTTTAGCGGGGTCAAGATTGCAGTCTGACAACTTGGCTGCCAGCAACTCATGGTCCACGCAAATCTAACAACAACTTCTTTGTGGCTCTCTTTCGCACATCACATTCCATATTTAATACTTCCATGGTGCTAGCCGGTTAGATACAGCAGCCTTGCCGCCGCCTACCACTAGGCCCTATGGATCCGTTTGACAGCCACGGATAGCAGTTGATGCCTCGTGCTCAAAAGATGGATCCGGCCAGCCCACGCAACGAAGTGTCGCCGGACGCTGATACCTTCGAGCAAGATGAAACCGTTAAACCGAAGCCAAGGACTCTTCCTGACGATCTCCCTACGTCCCTGGATGACCGCCGTTCCGTCCCGACCTACGCTGCCGAAACCGAGATGTATGATGGCTGGCAAGGTAAACAGAATTCGCTGCATTTTGCTCCTTGCATCGCATTCTTACTACTCTCTTATTATATTATGTTAATATATCAATATTGATCTTAATCTACGATACTCCATAGTGAAAGTCCTAAATGCTGATTGAAACAGGCCAGTCCCAGTTCCTGACCAGCCCTGTGCCCGCGAGACCCTTGACCTTCAATCTTGCACTCGATGACCAAACACATGACGATGATATTCTCTTTCGAACGAGGTACGGTAGTCGGGCAGAAAATGGGCACGCCGAAGATAATGATGCGCGACTTATGGAGATGCTGGCAGCCCAGGCCGCGCACCGGAATGCCGAGACGGTAGAGGCCAACGAGGATGATATAGTAGCAGATGAGAAGTTGCCAGATGAACAGAAACGAGACATCTTGCAAAGGATGTTGAACATGGCAGCGAGTAATGGGGATGTTGATAAGGTGAAGAAGATATTAAGTGGCGAGGCGAGCAAATACGTGAACGTGAATCTGCCTGATGAAGAAGGGACCGTACCGTTAATCTATGCTAGCTGTTTCGTAAGTAGTTCACTGAGATACAGCTACGTTGAAATTGGTGCGATGAGAAGCTCATATCTGATAGGGTCACCATGAAGTAGTTTCGACGCTGCTTGAGAATGGCGCCCGTGTTGATGAACAAGACCGCAATCAATGGAGCGCATTGATGTGGGCTATGACCAACCGACATAAGACTATTGCAAAAAGCTTACTCGACTACGGCGCATCTCCAGACATCAGATCTTCCTCGGGTGGGACGGCCTTCGATTTTATTCAACCTGGAACAGACATATCAAACTATCTTCAAGAAAACGGCTACAACTTCGGAGCATCTGCTATTGAGAGTGACTTCTACGATTCTGGATTTGCCCACGGCCGGTTTGAGGAGGAAATGGCGGAAAATGAGATGAAAAGAAGGATGATGATGGAAGAGAGTGCGATTAACCTAGAGGTGGATCTATCCAGCTTAGGCCTTGATGAGAAACATGATGTATGGCCACTGCACTCTCCCCCTTATGATTCTCTATCTGGCTAACTTTATGGGACAGTCTCCTGATGATTTTGAAGACCAGCAAGAATTTATTTGGGACCGCTGCCTCCACGACCAAATGTTCGTTTTCCAGGAAAGCGAATTAGATCGGATACTCAATATTGTGATTACCACAATGACACCACAACGATCCCCTTCTCAGAAACCCATTCCTGCGAATGTATTATTCCTCTGTGCTCGATATGCCCATTACCATGCCAGCCCCGAGCTGCTTGCCAAGTTGCTAGTATCGGCAACTGAGAGGATAAATAGTGTGGTAGAGAAGCACCAGTGGGATATGACGATTTTGGCATTTTGGATATCCAATGCTACACTGTTGCTTCATTATTTAAAGAAAGATGGCGAATTGGTGTCCGCAACCGTTGAATTCCAATTGCATCTTGCAGAGTTGATTAATGATATATTTATTTTGGTTATCCGCGATGCAGAACGCAGAATGGATAAGTTTTTTGATAACGCAATGTTAGAGCATGAAACGATACCCGGCTTTGAAGATGTTCATTTCCAAAACGAATGGAAGATATTTCGGTCACGACATAAGGTGAAGCCAGAACCCCTTGAGAAGAGGTATCGGCCACCTTCGCCGAAGAGACGCGCAGAAGTCTCTCCGCGTAATATTACATCGCTACTTTCCTCAACACTTTTTGTGCTCGACCTTTACGATGTCCACTCCGTCATTACAGCGCAAATCCTCTCTCAATTACTTTACTGGCTGGGAGCCGAGCTCTTCAACCGAATCATGACCACGAGACGCTATCTCGCACGCACAAAAGCCATGCAAATACGGATGAACGTATCGGCACTAGAGGACTGGGCCCGCTCTAATAACCGGCAGCCCGAACACTATGAAAATGGATCGACCACTTCCACGGGCGAAGGCACAGTTGAAGCAGCTCGCAGACACCTTGAGCCTGTAATTGAGCTTCTTCAGTGGCTCCAATGCTTCTCTTCTCTGGGAGATGACCTGGAGTCTTTGATTGCCACATTGCAGCAATTGCCGCGGTTGACAGCTACCCAGATGCTTCACGCAGTGAAGCTCTATAGATCAGAAGTGGGCGAAAAGGGGCTTCCGAAGAACGCTATGCAATATCTAACTTTACTACAAGACGATCCGTCTCTCCTATATCAATCTTCTCTTCCAAGACCGGAAAACAGTTCAACGCCAACAACACAGTCGGCGACCGGAGAAACACCCCCCACCGCCACGAAAACAGAACCAACAAGACCTGAGACACCACCAGCGGCGTCTGAACCCCAACAACAAGCTCCTTTGCAAACATCCCCACCGCCCCTCAATACCACTTCGGAGCACACATCTTTATTATTTGATCCGTCAATGACATTACCATTTTCGCTTCCAACCAGCACGGACATGCTGGTTAGCTACGGGGCGGGTTTTGGAGGAACCAATCGAGATCGGGAGAGAAAGTACATCCCCACGGTTCCGACGGAATTTCTGGCACGGTTTGATAGAAACTGAGGGTGGATTGGCACTGTCTTTACGCACGCCTGCTCACTGTAGCTCGTATATACCTACGCTCTTGGTAGACATTGCGCCGAGACTGCATAATTTGTGTACATACATACTGCTTCGTACATGCATCCACATCCATAGCAAGAAGCCCGAAACGGCTAGCGCCGACAATTGAAGATACCTAGGTTCCAAAGCGGACGTTGTGAGACGCGGGCGTTGATTGGCCCGGTGTGAACCGCCTGTCCAATCAGGCGCGGTGTGCGCTTGTTGACCTTCCTAAGACAGCATAGCGTGGGACATTCAGCAGGAATCGGAGGCTAAGCGCATGTCTGCGAGCGTGATTGGTCGGACGGGGCGATGTGGCTGTGGAGACGAACACCAAGAAAAGCAACAGGCTGTTTCGGTAGGCTGGAGGATCAAGAGCGGGTTTGAGAACATAAAACTTGCAAGAATTCGCGCGGCCGGAGGAGGCTCAGACAGTCGCTGTTGGAGCTGGAGTATCAGCGTCGCCGGCGGCCGTGGCGCGCGTGGAGCGACACGCCATTCGACGGGTCATCCCTGCCCGAAGCGGCTAGCCGGCACGACTGGGCCTGCCCGGAAGCGGCCTAGCGTGCCCGCAGGTCGGCTGGACATGCCCTGGTGCCTTCCCAGAAGGGGAAACGCTAGTTGCGGCGACGAATCAGGAAATGGGGGCTGCGTAATGTACTGGTACCTGCGCTGCGCGCAAATCTGGCCGGCGTGCGGGTTCCGATACGTGGTGCCATTCATCCCAACCTGCAACGCACGGCGTGTCGTCTCTCGCCGGCTTCATCTTCATCGCAGCTCCATCCTCCATGGCCGTCTCGCCCGCTCCTGGAGGCCGCCCGACGCCGCCGCCCTGACCGCCGCGCCTCCTCGTCCCCGCCTCTCGCCCTGCGGCGTCCGCTGCCATATGACTGTCCCTGCCAGCGCCTCTGGCTGCTTCTCAACTCCTCTCCCAGCTCCCATCCCACTTCATGTTGCTCACCCTCAAGCCCTCGTCCCTGAACCGGCCTACCAATGAATCCGTGCCGCAAGCTTCCTCGCCTTCTCTTCGGAATCTTCCCTCCGCCGCCTCGACCCCCCGAAGCTCCAAGCCGTCCTCCCTGTATATGAACAGACACGAGCAAATGGCGCCCACGTCTGCCCCGCACGACCACCCCGCAGATTCAGCCCATAGAAGCCTTCCTCCGCCCATGACAATGACCCTCCCGGCGATGGCCCAGGTGCCCTCGACTGTCGCCCAGCTCCCGTCCTCGCAGTGGCAGAATTCGGAAGAATGCGTGCGGCTATGGTTTCTGACCAAGGCCGAAGAGGATCGGAGGAGGCAAGAAGAAGAGCGGACGCAGCAGGAGAGCTTAAAGCTCGACCAGCGCAAGGTGGAGCAGTCGATGCTGCGGGATTCTCTACAGGCCGGCGTGCCACCGTACATGGTCCCGTTCATCTTTACCGGTTTGGGCGGTGGCAGCTTACAGTGGGCGCAACAATACATCTCCCAAATGAGCGCAGGCTTGGGACAGCCTCCATCCCATGGGCAGTCTCAGCAATACTCACAAGTCATTCCTGCGCAACAGCAGCAGCCACGCCAGGAATACAATCAGCTGCCGCCACAGCCACGGCCTTCATCCCAGCCTCTACCTGCTCAACCACTCCCTCAACAGTCACTTGCTCAGACGCAACAATCTAATCTGGAAGTACCTCGAGATAATCGTATGATCCCACCCAACCCTTACGCTGCCAGCCGATCCGTCCCCGCTGTAACTCGACCACCTGTGCAGCAAACCCCGCCATCCCCAGCGCAGAGTCCATATACACGTATTTCCCCGCCCGATCACTCAGCCACTGTGTCTGCAGCACCGTTTTCGCAACCCACAGCACCTCTTTCCCGGATAAATTCTGTTGAAATGCATGTCCAGAACCCACCAGTGACTTCGGGTGCACGAGTCCCATCTGGAACAAGCTCCCGCACATCGCAACAAGCCGGGTCCGTTAAACAAGAAGCTCAGCAGGCACAGTCATCTCCTCTATACTTTCACCACTGGGTCCCTCCTTCCAACCCCAATACACCATCCGGGAAGAGTCCAAATATTTCTCCCAATACTGGCCACCCAGCATCACATCTGCGTTCAGAATACCAGAACTCCCCCAAGAAACGAAAATCACAGACTACTCATCAGCAAGTACCTCCTCCGCCTTCTCATCTGTCAGACGCCGGATCCACAGATCCTTCTCCTGCGAGGTCACAGCAACAGGGACGGCGGAGCCTTGGTAATTCGCGCCAACGAAATGGCTCCTTGTCACAGAATGGAACCGATACACCAGCACCGCAACCTGATACCGCCAGGTCCAGTGGCCAAATGAACGTTAGCTCACTGGTTAGTAATGATGAACGCACTACCAGTCAATCTAGCCACCGGGATGAGCCCAACTCTGCCACATCAGACCATAACCAGCACGGACAATTCATGATTCTTGGAAGATACCGGACGAATAGAAACTCGAGCGAAAATTCCGTTGCTACCAATACTAGTGCCGGGAATGATGCCTCTAGTCATCGTTTAGAGGAAGATCCAAGGAAGCATAGTGCTGGCTCTCAGGGTGGAAGTCACTCGACTCATGTGCCCTATACCAATGGCTACCATCACCCAAATGATGTTTCAAGTAACATTTCCTTTGATTCGACGAATAAACTTAGCCATTCTGACCCCCGCCTAGTGGACATGGTTCAGCAAAGTTAAAAAAAGCATTTGAATGCCACGACGTTTTTCATTTTGCGTCACCCTACCCTTTTTTTTGGAGGGGGGCATTTTTGTCATTAAACTTAAGTACTCCGTATACTTGGCATTTGTGCATATGATTTGATTTATTCTTTAGCTTTTGATACCACTTACAGTTTCTTTTTGCGTTTTTGAATCTTTTTTTTATTCATATGGTGTTTGATAGGAGCATCATTTTATTTCTTTTTTAATAAATTGTTTTTTTCTCTCCCTCGCCATACTTATTACTGTCTTTTCTCTTGACTTTTGTTTTTGTCAATTGGGTGGTATAGTCAGCTGGATGCTTTGTTTGATAAATATTATACAACGTATATAATACTTGCAGCGATTTTATTTTTAGCTTAACTAGTTGGTCTTGTCTAAAGTTCTTCTGAAGCTGGTTTGTTAACACTCGGGATATGCTCGTTTCAACCCCTTTTAATACCGAATCGAATAGAAATTTGTCATTATCAGCCAGAATAATATAAATTGTTTCATTTTCACTTTAAAAACTGCCAGGCAGCTACATCTCAACTTGGGTATTTTGATGCAAAAAGTTCAAAGCGGCGATGATGTTTTGTATTTTTAGCAGAGACCTTTTTTTCGTCAAGATATGGCTTGTTATGATTCTCAAAGGATGCCTGGTAGATAACGGACTACACTTACAGTGAAACCTCTTCCTACATTACTAGATCCATCAAGTTGGTCATTTTTTGCGAGTACGTAGATAAACTGTGATGCTCATTTTGTTTCAAGAAGGTGAAATATTTAATGAATAAATGAATGTATTAATGGAGCTTATTTGGAGTTGAAGATACCTAGACTATCAGTAACCTATACACACAATTCTTGCAGTTCAATCCAGCCGCCTCGGTAGAATCAACTTCACTCAGCAAAGAACGGATGATCATTGCGTATCTCCCATCCTTGACAGACGTAGCCCATGGGGGTATGTGTCAGATCTTGGCCTTGTCGGCGTAGTGTCGCCCATTCCTGCAAGAAATCCAAAGTTTTCTTATTCGAGATATGTGGCGTTCGGCTTGGCCTATCTACCGCTGTGTCTGGTTCTCCGTCCTGGTTTCTTTCTTGCCCCAGACGGAGATGATCTTGCAGTATACGGTAGTCGGGATACTGAAAGTATAGCCTTCCAGCAAGAAAACCTAGTTCTAGCGGAAGCCACGACGGCGGTATCCAGTTTGTAGGAAGATTCGGCAGCGCATAGTAGTTGAGCTTGTTGAAATTCACCATTCGTTTTGTAACAGGCGCTGCATAAATAATTAAGTGTACGTGAGGAGGTGAACTTCTACGAAGAATCGGGATAAGGGCTTCTGCCTCCTCAGGAATGATCACAATGGCAGTCTCAGATCGCGTACTCCAAAGAATCCAATTTGCAGACCGCTGTGCAAGAAATTATCAGCTTATTTCGACCCCCCTCTACTAATAGCTTCCGTCACTTACCGTAAATGTGTCGTTCTTATCGCCATCTTTCAGTTTCACCGTTCTAAAGAATTCATTTGACGCATAAAGGCGAGGAAGCAGAGTATTAGCGTCAATTTCATATTTCATACCGAGTTGCGTAGAGTTTAAAAGGGTCGACGCCTTTCTATAGGCACCAAAAAGTTCTAAGATCCCGTTTTTGGCAAAGCGTAGAATGGAGCCGTGCAGTCCGGGAAAGCTTAAAGCTGACATTCTTGGAGGACGTTGTACTTCTCTCTCCTCTTCAATTTGGTATGCAACCTCACGTTCTTGCTCGACTTCCTCCAGTGCTGAATAAAAGGAGGGAGTGTGGTCGGCGATGGACTCCCGCTGTTGTCGCTGTAGCTCCTGAATAATCTCTCTAATGCTACTGTCAAGCTTGATCCCACCAAGCTTCATTAAAGAATTGCTGTTATTTTGCACTTTTGGGCCATAAAGATGCTCCAAGGTTTGCTGTTCTGGTTGCTGTAATGCCTTTAAGAAAGCTTTTCGGTGAGCAGGGTTAGTGAAGAGATCTCCAAATTCTGCTGCCACCCGTTTTCGTTCACAAAAATCGCGACCCTGAGCAAGATACAACGACTGTAGCTCTTGATTATAGACACATGTCTGGTTAAGAAGCCACATAACAATGTGTGATGAATCAAGAATATCTCCTGAGTGGTGTTTACAGGTGTCTAGGATGCACTGATGGACTTCGGGAGGTACAATGAATGTAATTGACTGTGTCGTGCCTAATTGACGCAGTCTCATAGCCGCTAGAAAAATGTGTCAGTATATTTGTGCCTTGAAAGAGTCATTGGAATAGCGAGGATATGAAACATACCTTGAACAGTATGGTCTTTTGTTTGGTTGAGCCCTAAGGTCAAGGCGCCGCGAGCTGTTCTGGGAAGTTTGAGGTCTGTCCCACGAGTGTGTGCTTCATCTAGATAAACTAAGCAGCTTTCTAGATTATCAGCAAATGGGGTTGCAAGAAGGGGAATGCATTTGCCATTCTTGTACAGAACCCTAGCTGTATTATCATATCCAAAAAAAACAACTGCTTGGGCCTCATTGTCTATATCTAACCATTTGGTTGCTAAAGTTTGGTTATCCATTTCTAGAATAAAAGCCCCTGCATCAATTAAAATACGGATTTTTTTGTCATTCAGGTGCTGAAGGAGATCAATTTCTGAAAAGCGTGTATTGTTCTGCTTAATTGCAAGCATATATGCACGATTTCTTTTCTGTAGAAGGTATGTTAATACCTCCGCATTAATATGTGTCAAACTTGGGAGGTCGTGTTGCTTGATTGTGAGAGGAAGTAACCTTCGGTTGTCATTCGTGCCACTAAATCCAGTGGTAATACCGGGTCTCCTCCGTAGTGCAGCTTCAGAGAGCTTCTCACGACTCTTCTCTGAAGGAAATAGCGGAATGTCCCAGCCTGATGATTGTAGTTTGACAGTGAACTGCCTGGCATGTGTAGGGAAAACACAATTATTAAGGAAATGGTTAATAACAACGATTGTAAAACGCAATTTGCTCCATATCTGTTCAATTTGCTTGTCATCATCCACGTTGATAAGATTCCAGTGCCTTAACTCCTCTGGTAGAGTTGGTGAAGCCTGTATCCAACGGTCGTACTCGGTGACAGGATCATGAGACTTTAATATGGCTTGCAGACTCTGTTTCAGCTGGTTATGGTTGAGACCTTGGTAATAGAATGAAAGGCAGGTGAATAGAATAGCCACATCAGGGTGGCCCCATTCAGCCTGCTCAGATGGGACTCCCTTTGCATGGAACGGTACAGCAACAGGGTCCCTCTTTGGATGCAGCCCATACTGAACGTTCCACCTCTTCTTCAAGCACAACAACAAAACTCCATGGACAAGCAGACCACGAAGTAAATAGATCGTCTGTCTAGTGGGAAGTGAATCTAAAAACATCTCTGATATGCATTTAGCTACCCAAGGGTCAACCGTTTTTTGAGAAAGGAATGTTTTGATAGCCTGTTGCTGTTTAGCCGTACATTTATGAATGGGCAGCAGCGATATGCGACCATCACTGGCATCATCCACAATATTTTGAACAAGGGCTTCGCCAACGTCATTTCTCAAAAGATATACGACTGGAAACCCAGTCATAGATCGCTTGACCACGTCAATGCTCTGTGGAAAACCTTTTTTAAGGTGCGGCAGATGATGTGTAACAAGGTGCAAAACAATTTGAATCACCTTCCAACGATATGGATGTCCGTCAACTGCTAACTGAGACCCACTAGGGTAAATAAGTTGAGTTTTGACAGCCAAAGTAAAATCACATTCGTCAAGGATATCACGGCACACCATTTCCATCTGGCTTTGAACTGCCATCATTTTCATCGCCTCGCCAACTTTACCATCTGAAAGTCGCTGCAAACCACTGAGCTGGAAAGACATGATATGTTCCGGTACACCAAGTATGATACCAGAGTTTCGAAGTGCATTGTTATGAAGTTGTTGATATTCTTCAATGACCTTTGTTGTCGTTTGAGTTTGTCGAGAGAATGGAATATGGGTGATTTCCCTGCCTAGAAGTCCTCCAAGTCGAGACTGAAGAGTTTGCGCTGCTTGGGATAACAGTGTCTTAGGGACAAGCAATCTAGCAAGAATTTTACTGTCAGCAAGTAAACAAGCGGCCATTGGCATTATTACAGATGTCTTTCCCTGCCCCATATTCATTTGGAGAACAGAATTAGCGTCCGATGTAGGCGATACCATCTCTAAAGCAACAGTTACCTGGTCTTCTCGAATTTGCATATTAGCATCTATTTCCAAGAGCAGCCAGTCAGGAAAAGCGCTTGGGTTCCAATTGATATGCCCAGGATTGTTATACTCTTGAATTAGCCTTTCTCTGTCCTTCCGTATTAAGGCATCTTTCATTCGAAGAAGACGTTGTAGTCTGTTGATAGCCTTGGCATATATTATGAAAGAATCTTTCATATTCTGGCCAAAGGTGTGCTGGGAATTCGAACGCAATCGTTCGAGAATTGTGATAGGTGTAATGCGTGGCCAAAGGCTACCCAGTTGAAACCACCGATACCTTTCGTCCTGTGCGGACAGCGCAATACATATTTCCATATAGTACCGACGTACCAAGTTGCGAGCATTTAGGATCAGGGTATCAAAATGAATATTCAGAGGCTCCTTATGTTCCTCCGTTTTCTTAGTTTTCAGGGCAGTGATACTTTCCTCCAAGTCTCGGCCATAACTTGAGCTTACAGGACAAGTTGAATTAGTGAAAATTTTGATAATTCTCTCAAGCTCCTTAACCTCAGAATCTGGGAACACTACACGTGGAAAGGGTCTGACCGAGTGTTGCGCTTCGAAATATGCAGAAGGGTCAATACACTTAAAATCGCCGTCTTCGTCGTGTTTAGGTCCTATCCGGCATAGCAAGTCATCCGCCAGGCGGGGTGTACCGGTAAATTGTCTCATCTGCACTTCAAAATATATTCTTGATCGAGCTGGAGGAACATATGGCCTGGATGGATCTTTGCGATAAAAACGGTCGAGAATCGCCTGGACTTGGGAAATGTGTTCAGAAAGTTGCAAATTTTCATAGAGGCGGCCCCATTCTGGGCGCACCGCTTCAAGGGAGTTCTCAATTTCCAAATATGAGGATTGAAAGCCAGTAGTAAAAGGTGCTGGTGTGGGCCATTGGTCGATGAGAAACATTACGAAATACTCACTCTCGCAGTGGCACTTTTTCTCATGTTCTAGTACGCAGTCCAAGTGATTTGTGCCGGCTCTCTTTGAGACGCTTTTGGGGGTGACTGGACGCAAGTACTCCTTGTAGTACGGCTTGATTAGCTTTGTCAATACGTCCGAGGATGGCTTTTCGTTCATTTGAAACCCAGTGAATGACGCATATGGAGGGCAATCCAGCCTTCTCAAATCATCGAGCAGAAAAAAGGCAATCAACGTCCTTAGAATTCTGATATCAGCGTCTTCGCGGAAAGCAATCAAAGCCAAATGGAAGGCAAGTCGATGAAAATCCTTTAGCTCACAATTCCTACAGAGATTAACCAGGCTGCCCCACTCTTCTGCAATATTGACATTTAAACAATCTTGTATGAGATGTGGCATGAACTCCTTAACAAATCCCCCTATAGCTGGCCACCGTTCCAGTATTTTTGCTAGATCAACCGTCTCACATGCAAAAGAAGGCTGTGAACGTAGCAAAGTAGCTATTTCACGAACATTCAAAGTTCGTTTACAAGTCACCCAACGATCTCGGCTATGATAATGTGAATTAGGCATGGAGATTTGCTTTGTACACAATGTATCAGAGCACTCATAGAGTGATCGGCGCCATTGAGACCTATCTCGGAGATGATCGAAGGGCAAAGATGAAGTGAGCACACTTCCTGACCCGTCACCGTAAAACGGTAGTAATCGCTCTGATTTTTTGAAAATGGCATCAATGATAGGCTGGTACGCATCATGTTGGATAAATGTCGTTAAATGAGGATTCCAGGCTGTAACTTGTTGGCATTTTAAATTTTTCGGGTAATACAGTCGTTTTGGTGTTAGCTCTGAAAGCCTTTTTAGTATGTCGATAATATCTCGCGCTAGGGGGCACCAGGGCTGGCAATATCCTGACTGCAAACAATGCAAAGCTTCTTCCGTTCCAGTACGGCCTGTTAAAGGGTCAGGTAAAACAAATGATGTAAAAGCATGTAGTTGCGCTTTATTGTAAAGTATTCGGGGTTCGGGAAGGCAATGCAACCGCCCGAGTACATCGTCAATTGTATATCTCAAGTAGCTTCCAGTATTCTCCAATTGAACGCTAACATGTGGTCCCAGTCGCTGAATATTAACCTTACCATGAGTGGCAATGATACTGCGTTGAGAACGGTTGCGTGTATCCCGGAGAACAAGCATACTCTGTAATCCATAGAGAACCCCTGCGTCTTGGTTCGAGTCAATTTCAGAAGATAGCTGCTTGCATTGAAGGAGACCACACTTATTAACATGAAAATCAAGATTCATGCGTTTTAACTCCACTGAGAGAGGAGAAGAACGAGGTTGAAATATAGTCAACATTTGAGGCAGCTCAAAACCCTTGAAAACCTGGGCTACTGTCTTGAAGAGTTTACTATGCGGATCAATTAGAGAAACTGTCCGCCGATATGCCTTTCGGTCCCAGAAATTGAGGTTCCAGTCTCCGGGCCTACTCTTCCAAACAGACGGCATGCGTCTTATTTCTAGAACTCCAGAATTTAGATCCAACCAATGAATACAATTGGAAACCAAGGAATCAGGGAGGTCAAAATTAGAGTCAGTTCCAAAAACATGTCGAGGAATATGCTCTAGTGTTGTAGTCAACGAGGTAGCCTGCATTACGAGTCCCTGCGGGCGATATCCTAAGTGAATCTGGTAGTTATTTTTGCGACCCTCAAGCACGTAGCTCATTCCAGGTATATTCGAGGGAAGAGCACGGAGTCGCTGGTTTCCAAACAGTTCTTTCAGAATTGCTGAGTCCCTGATATCTGCGGGCAATTTCCCCAGTGATTTTCCATCAACAATCAGATGCCCTTGAAGAAGATGTAAATGTATGACCTGTGACTTCATGTATCTTATCGGCTTGACTGACGCTGAGACCCACCATTCATGTGCTTTAGGCAAAAAACGCCACTCGGTGAACGCTCGAAAACATTTTTCGGCCTCTGGCCATACCATTTTAAGAGCGGATTCAAGACTTTCTGGGTACAGTGAAACAGACTGGCGAAGCATGGCTTTCATTCGAAAAGTCATTTTGATATCCCGAACCAACAAATTTCGTGTTAACGTAGAAAATTTACCCAATTCTACAAGATTCTCTTGCATGGTAAGGGTAACCCCGATAAAACATTCGAAGCTCTCTGCATCCAGTGCTATGTTGCCGTATGCTTGGAGGACAAATGTTCTGCGGCATAATAACGCTGCCAAGAAACCATATCGGGCGGCCTGCTCCGCTACATCTGCCTCTTCCGCCTCGATTGCCTCCTCACGAAGGAGTGTAACCCACGTAAATGTCACTCGGCGAATTTTTATTAGAAGAAGATTTGCCAAGGACTGCATTTTCTGGGGACAGAGTGTGCGTACGCGAATAGCGAGAGTCAGTAAGGTTTCCATATAGTTGCTTTCACGCCAATTTGCAGAGACGGCTTCAATGTGTTTGTCAATTTCCTGTATCAAGCGGCTACAGAAGCTGTTATCTCTAAAAACAACATGAACTGCCCGGAGTACATCTGTGTCTACTCTGGGTCCTGCTTGTAGCGCGAGGTGATGAAAAAGTACAGTAGTGTCCTGCAAGCTGAAATTCAAATTTGATGAGCCGAGTTCGGCAAGTATAGATAGCCATCGTCGATGTCTGCCTGACATAAGATTTTGGTGCGCCATAAACTCGTGAATAGATACCTGGTATGGGCATTCATTCATACTTGCGATAGTCTCATAGGAAGTCGGCCCCAACCCATTAGGAGCAAATGCGGAAGAAGAATAAAGGTTAGAGAATGGTAGATGTTTAGGTAAACGAATCTCAAAATGGTGTACCAAGCTTATGGAGCGAAGTAGATCTTTTATCCAAACATTAAGTACCGAATCATAATATGCGAAAGCCATTCCAAAGGGCAGAAGCACACTAGATGCCGCCGCAGGTAATTTTCTCCAGTTATAGTGCGTTCCTAAATAAGACTTTGTGGACGAAGCCAAAGAAAGCTCGCAGTTCGAATTGTTGGTACTAAAACTCTTAAGATTAATGTACTTTGAAAGTAGCATCTTCGGGGCCTCCGTTGTTGAAAATATGGCTTTGGAGCAGAGATGGTGGACTATATCCCATGTTAGCTTCCGATATGAAGCAAAAGTCTTAGGGATACCAAGCTCGAAGAGAATGGCACGTCGCTTGGCTCGATTCCTCTCTGATTTTTCAGAAGGAAGAAAATCCTCATGTATGCTTATCTTAAGGCGTCTGCGCTGTCGAATATAATAGCAGTGACTGCAGCCTTTGATTTTGTGGGAACCGTCCTCGTTCCGCCGTTGAGTACATACACTTTCCTGTTTCATCCTCGTCAGATCCTTAAACCTAGCATTCACATTCGCAAGTTCTTGTTCCTTTTTCCTTCGAGAGGCGAGAGATGCGGCCTCAATATGTTGCTGTAGCGTATGCAAGCCAGCAGCATCATCCAGGTCAAAATATCGATCAACAAAACATCCAGGCTCTGGATCATCCAATATAGTCATATTACCGTGCTGTGCAACTGTGCAGCGCTGGTGGAGATATAACTGAATATATTGTAGCCGCTTCATGTCTTCAAACGATGATAACAGCAGTACATCGAATATCTTGGGGTGGAAGCATGGGTGATATTCTTTGAGGAGAGGGTACAAAACAGTGGCACATTTGTCCATACGTACCCATAAGTCAAAGATATTAAGAATGAAAACGCTTAACTGCTCTGGATTTTTATCGTAGGCGTTTCCAACAGCCTTTAAATACGTCTTGCTTTGACTGGCGAGATTCATGCATAGGCGATCGCACGCATTTCTCGAGCTTGGCACGTCTCTATCTTGAAGTTCGATGGACAACTCCATATCGGCGAGCGAAAAGTAAATATTGAGTAATTCACCAAGAGTGTCCGTGGTATTTTTCTCAATTTTGGGAGTAAATAAAGCTTCGTCCCCAATTTTTGGTGGGTCTTTCTTTGGTGGATATTGGTTAAGAACATTCTGAAGATAAGATGCGCAATTAGGAAGTGTAAGATGTAAGTCCTCTCCATTAGCAGTGGGGGGAAGATTGGGTATTTTACGGCGAATGTTCGTCCTAAAAGCACGCCACTGGGCTTTTATGGCAGCTGTGGCGGTCTTAATAGATTCTTGGCAAAGAGTACCAATCGTACCAAAAAGATGTGAATATACATGACGGGCACGTGGGCCCGAATTCTCCCTGTCCACTTCAAGTTTCGCGAGGCGACGGCACAGTTTTGCTTTCAGGAAATGGCAAAGTTCTGTACTTAAAGAATTGGCAGAATCATTGAGCAGTCGGGCTAGAAGAGCGCAGATCAAAAATTTGTATTGTGCGCGGCCAATTTCATCTCCAAGAGTCAAATATAACAATCGTTGAACTGACACGCGAAGTACAAGCCAATGAGGGCTCCGTCGCCAAGGAAGGTCAGCATTGTCCCAACATACGTCATCTTTGATACGTTTTCTGAGTATTGACGGATAGATGCGACTACCACTAGTTTCTAACAGCGTCATAAGAAACTGTGTGATAAGAGCGGGGTCTGTTGTATCGCGAGTCTCCAAAATGGTCGCTCCAGCCTTTTGTGATTTGGCCGCGAATTCATCGAGAGTCTCTATACTAGCCTTTTCAAGAAATACAGCAAGGCTGTTCTGAAAGCTGGTATTTTCGAATTCAGAGCGAGGAATTGAGACTGTCGCCCCAGGGAAATCCCACTGCAAGGCAGCTTGTGATTCCAGAACCTTTTCCGCCATGGCTGACGCTTCAAAGGCTTCAAAGATAACATTTGGGGCATCCTCACTTTTAAGAAGGTGCTGGATTAGAAAAATATTTCAAGATAGGGGTTTGTATCGCTTACCGTATGAGAATCCCAGCATTTTGGTCGACGACGTGTAAAATAATCGCATGGTGCGGCTGCAAAAGCTTAAAAGCATCCAGTAGCTCCACCTGGTTGACAAAACCAGCATCGTTGATCAGTCTGAAGGTATTTAGCGAGTCTTCAATCAGACTCCACGCAGGTAAATATTCGGCAGTCGAATTGTTTTTGAGAATTGAAGTCGCATCAATTATACGATTTGTTAGATTTTCTCTTACATTCTCGGGTGATGCATCTTGTTGTCCGGGAAGTTTGGGTGGAAAAACAATATGATTGAAGACCTGGCCTAACGTTTCATCAGACATGATTCAATTGACGCCAAGCTAAGAGAAATGCAGCTGATGCATATAAATTGACTTGAAAAAAATCCTGAAAAAAGACAAAAAAGAGTCTGTTTAAAATATTCTAAACAATACGTACATAAGGTAGGTAAATATAGTAAGGAGCCGGAAGTTTTCACCTCTTCGTTTGGAAGAAGCCGTTAGAATTCTCATGTAAACAATACGAGTTGACCCATCGGCCAAACCTCTCTGAACACGGCAGCTTGCTTCGCTGTTCCCCTTTGATTGGCGGGGGATCTCAACAAAGCGTTGAAGAAGACGCCTGAGTGTCTGGGAAACTTGTAGGACATGGTGTAGAATATGCAGTTGTTTTGAGCCATGTACAGGGCAGCGATATCGCAGCGTCAATATCTCTGCAATGTTCAGTTTCCCGCATTGACAAACAAAGCCACAGTTGAGACAGTTTGTGGGATACTGCCTGGAGATGAGGTTGAGACAACCTTTGGCTGCTGTTCTAAAGCGGACTAGCTGCCAACTTGGCAAAAATTGATAGGAAATTAGGTAGCGTGGCTGATTGGCTGACTTTGCAGGTAATGAGTCCAAGGTCAAATTACATATGTGCTCCGTCCCCCGTACGGAGTACTCAATATCGCTCGTCAATCAGTAAACTCCTGGGTGTCCTAAATGCTAAGCCGGCTGTTCGCATATGCATAGTTACTGATAAACTCTTTAGGCGATACATACTGAAACAAGAGAAATTTTGAAAATAAATAATGAGTGAAACATTGGCAGATATATGAAGTGGAGGATATCTTCCTCTTTAACTGTCAGATTCAAATCCTAGTCTTGAAGTGAAAACCATCTGTCCCTTTGCTCTAGGGGCCGCATAGGAAAGCCTGTATTCAATATCTATATACTTATATTGCCTGTAAATTCTAGAATAAGGAAAGGTTGCCAGATGGCAAGATAGATTAGAAAATATTAAAGGATAAAATCAACGTAAGTTTGCCAAGGGGTATCTAGCAATATTGCTACATTCATTGAAACCAGATATCTAGAAAAAATCGGGGCCGACCGAGTAGATAGCAATAATATGGATGTCTTTACATAGGAATTAATAAGAGGTTCAAAAAGAAGCGACAGAAAGGCTCTGGGGAAATGAGAGGGAAAGAGGTGTCGGAGAACAAGGAATTCAATGTGGGTATCGATCGTGAAAATGCTATTCAATGACACATAACGTAGGAAACGGAATGGTTTAAAGATAGTTGGTATCGTTATTGAAATGTCAATCGGCGCGACCATTGGATAAACCGAAAGTGGACCAATATGAATCGATATATATGGGAGTCCAAATAGATTTAGCTCATGGAGCTTTCTTTCGGCGGTGCACTTTCCATTCCGCTTTCGCAACACGCATGAACAATTCTACATCTTTAATAGGAACCCAGCTTGTGAGCACCTTCATGGCATTTTCGAAGTCGGATTCAAGTAGGATATCGCGCATGCCATCGATCAATGCGGCCGAGGTAGCATGCAAAACATCAAGGCTGCGGCCAAACGGGGGCGCCTCAGTAATTTGAGGCTGTTTATGGCCATCAGGCAGCGTGCCGTTAACAGAGTGAGAACTAGTCTCGGGCCCTGAGGGGCTTATTTCGCCTGAATCTCCAAGAAGCATGAAAACATCCCAAACACGGAGCTGGGCTGGAAAAGGTACCGAATAGTTAAAGAGAGTTAAGTACCATCTCGTTCCATAGGTCGTAGGTGGTATTTCGAGCTCATTCTTAAGGCTATATCAGTAGCTACCCTGAATGAAGTACTAAATGACCGATAGACTTACCAACTTCTCTGCCACTTCTCCACCATCGAGCCATTCTGTCTCAAAATTTCCTAGCGCTTCTCTTAAACCAGCAAACTCAGACCGATAGAGACGATCCAGTCCCCTTAGTTCCCAGAGTCTTACTAACATAACAAACGCATGCTCCTCATCGTAGTAAGCAAGCAAAGTTGCAGCAAGAGATGCCATTCCTTGAACATAGCCAGTTTCAGGAAAGTAAAGAGACATTGCGTGAAGAACACGAAACAGTAGCCGCTGGCCGCCCCTGTAGCGTCGACGAAACATAATGTGGCTACTTATTGTGCGTGGAACGTCAATGTCGATTTGGGGATCGTCAGGAGATGGCTCATCTTGTAATTCATTGAAACGAAGGACAAGTGTTTCGTCGGTAGGACTGTTCTTCCGTTTCCTGGCACTAGCGGAGAGGAAAGCATGCCAGGCGGTTGCTCTCCATCTATCAGGAATACCCTTCCAGGTTCGCTCGATGAGTTTTGAACTAGTGGTATCGAATTCAAATGTCATGCCAGAGCCATCCTGACTCTTCGATGTAAGTCTTGCCATCTTTCTCCATTTTTCTTCTCTCTGCCATTCCTTCTTTTTAATAAAACGAGCATAGGGCGAGTCTTCGTCTGGAAGGGTATCTTGGCTCGAACTGTTAGGAAGGGTGAGCATATCTCCGGCTTCATCTAACAGCTTTCGGCTTTTGTTATGAGGTAGCTTATTAGCAGCATATCGAAACTTGGATGTGGATCTAGACGAATGTAGTCGAGAACTTTGGGAAGACGTTGGTCGGTGAGACTGATCTATTGATTTTCGCGAAAGTGACCGAGCAGAGAATGATTTGACGCTGGCACCTCCTGAAGGGGTTCTCCGTAATGTTCGCTTTCTGCGAGGGGATGTAGCCGCCAACATCAAACTCGTTGAAACGCGCTGAAGGGGTTGTGGGGGACCCACATCGGTGCCATCTCCAGTGTCCCGCCGAGGAACAATAAATCCGTATCTGTCAACATCCTCGCTATTGACATTATTCCAATCTTCGATCCCTCCCGCCAATTCGGTCTCCTCACGTTGTATGGTACTATTGCGCCTTGACGCATGGGTGGCCGTTTTGGCGAGCTCTGTAAGTGAACTATTCTCTGCACCACTTGCCAAGTCAGCCTCCTCTCCAACAGAAGATGGCTCCTCCCAGAGCACATTTTCGTCCATGGCCAGTATCTGGCTAATTTCGGACTCGTCGATATCACCATCGCCAATTTCGTACATTAGTCTGACTTTATGAGATAGTATTTCTTCATCGGCGGAAATGGGCCTATTGGAACTGTTTTTCGAGTGGCAGCGCAAAGAATTTGCGGATCTGATTCGCCTAGTAATCGAGGGCGTCGGAATCGAGATACTATTGCCAATCGAATTTCCATCCGGGGAGCTGACCAGTTTCTCGGAGCCTTTTTCTGGGGTCGGGGGCTGCGACGCTTCTTCCATCGTTACCGACGTGATGTCATCCAGCGAACCGGAAGGGATTTCAAGTTTTATTCCGCGGAATGGTTCGAGAACCGGAAAAGGTGGGAGGGAGGGCACATCGCTACTTCTCCTTCGACGGCTTCCCCATCTAAGACTCCTTTCCGAACGTCGCGAGCTTGGGCGCACAGGTGCTTCATTCACAACAATGCTAGGTATGCGAGGCGGCTGCCGGAAACTTCTGATTGAATGGCCATCACTTGAGAGTCTAACCTTGCTCAAACTCATTCGTGGAAGCGCAGTTCCGGGTCTTGGTTTCTCGACAGGTACGTCCATCATTGGAGATAATCGGGGGATGTTTTGTCCTGCACGCACATCTCGAGGTCCTTCGACAGGTTGCACACGTGAGCCCTTTTCTGGGTCAGAAATGTTCCCCTCTAGTCGCTTGACAAGTGAAGGTTCAGTATCTGCCATGTCGACTAAAACTCTGATAGAACGCGTAAGCTAAGATCTAGAATGCCACATGTGCGAGAAATCTCACGAGCCAATTGTACCTGAGAGGTGGTCAAAAATAGGGTGGTAACGTGGGATGCGGCATGGGTGTGACGGGGATTCGACTCATGGCACCGCAGGCTCGATTCGATGAGACGAAAGACTCGCAAGTCCTCATTCCTTTATTCCGGGCAGGCCAATTGGATATGCCGCCGTTGTGACCTGGCGAAGGGAGGAAAAGAGAGACATTGCACGCTAGGATCGACATTCGCCGAGCTTCGTAAAGGGGGAACCAACACCCCGGCCCTTTTGGGTTAGAGCCAAAAGATCCGCACGCCACCATCGACGCTAGGCGTAAATAGGACTGGTTCCATTCCGCACTCTGGGGACAGCTGCAGACACCAAAAACATCACCAAATCCTCTATGCGGCCATAGAACGTGTTCCCTGTGAAGAGTGTGTTGGCGGGCATACTTTCAAGCACAATGTCACAGAAGGCCATATAGGCACTGTGACAATGTTAATTCTCAGGACACTCCGAGACATGCCCAAACCCGGAATGTCTTAGGGCCGTTCCGTGGGTGGAGCCGCCAGGTTCCCAGTTTCTGGAAGGCGATAAGAAGCAAAACACCAAACTTGACCGGGTTTTTCCTAGAAGAAGTAATTCAAAAAAGCCGCCATTTGAGTGTAGGCGCTAGCACTTTGCGTAAACTGTTTACTCGACGACTATCTCATCCATGGATTTGAAAACTACTCTATCCTTTCTTTGAGCTCTATGGTCTAACTAGATAGTATGTTACAAGTAACTATGTTGCCAAGGCCCACATCCTCAGTTCTCTTTTGCTGTCGCAGGCTCTGCAGCTGCCTGCAGCCTCTTCTCCTTCAACTCCAACAAAGCAGTAAGGTTCCATGGCGAGTCAAGCATGTCAAAGAACACTTCCAAGAGTTGAATTCGATCGCCTTTTTTGAATTGCTCATCGGTTAAAACTGTCGCCAGCTCTGCATATGTTCTTGCCACATAATTGGGAGCCTCCGGGGCCCCAAAAAATGTCAACATTTTCTGGTAATTCCACTGGGTGGAGATGTCGTTATATTGTTGCATGGGGCCGTGAATTAGGCGCTCGATAGAGTACCCGGCATTGTTAATCACAAATAAAGTCGGCGTCAGGCCCTCGCGTACAATCGTTCCAAACTCTTGCACCGTCATTTGAAGGCTACCATCTCCCACAAGTAAAATCACACGTCCTTTAGCGCCCATTTCCTTCCGTGCCAGAAGGGTGCCAAGAAGTGCCGGGACAGTGAAACCAATGCAGCTGTAATAAAGCTGACTATAATACTTGCAGTTATCTGGAAGCTTTAAATCCAAGGAACCGAACTGCGCGGTGCCTACTTCGGCGATAACAAAATCATCGGGCTGCAGATATTTGCTTAGTCGGCCCCAGAAGCGCCTATGGTCAAGAGCATCAGTACAAGAGTCGTCGACTTGAGCACCCTAGGTTGAGGTCAGCATCATCTACTACGTCAAGGAAGGAGGAAAAGCATACCTCAGGGGCTTCTTGCAGCTTAGGAAGGGGGTCTGCTCTGCGTTTCAAAGGCTCATTTTTTAACTTCTGGAGGAGCTTCTTAACCACTGGCCTGAAGTCAAGATCTTTCCACACTTTACTTCCAACTGAGCAATAGCTGGGGTGGAGTTTTATTAATTTATCTTCTGGAAGATCTGTGGAGAATCCGCCGGTGTTCCCAGAGATAGGAAAGTTGCCAATGTGCAAAATGGCATCGTGGGATTCCGCCTGTAATTTCGTGTTCGAATTTGAAACAATACCCGCATATAGCCCGGCGAAACGAGGATCGGATTCATTGATAATGGATTTTCCCATTGGAGTAATATAGACCTGGGAGTTTCCATTAGTACATGGGTTAGATACCCAGTCCAATACATCTACTCACAGGAGCATTAATAGCGTCAATCAGTTCCTTCGTTTCATCCACCAAGGCATGACGCTGAACCAAGGCATCAACAATGACTCCCGGATTTGACGCCTGGTCGATGGTACGGATAATCTCGGACACAACTTCATTTTCCTGTTCATCTTTTCCTTCATTACGAATCTCTAGATTCAGGGGTGTTGATAATCGCGAAGAATCTGTCATGAGATCGGGAACTTCAACTGGAATGAAAAGGTAGACCGGTAACCGCGTCTTGACACAAGTCTCTATCACACGATCGATTTGCGCAGGAGCAGCTGCCGGATCAGTGAGAAATGCGGCGTCACTTCGTACTGGCTCGCTCATTTTTTGATAGGTTGTTTGATCCCAGTTGTCCATCCATAAAGTATGGTGTATTCTGACGTGATTCTGCTGCATAAACCGGGAAGTATTTCCCACGATATGGATCACCGGAACATATTCGCTAAACGCCCCTGCGATACCATTGATGGCACTCAGCTCTCCCACCCCATAAGTAGTCACAACCGCGCCTGGAATACCCCGAGTGCGCGCATAACCATCGGCAGCGTAGGCAGCGTTAAGTTCGTTGCAGGTGCCCACCCATCTCATATCAGGAACATTGTATATGTGATCGAGAAGGTTGAGATTGAAGTCACCCGGTACTCCAACGACATGGCGAATGCCGAGCTGGTGCAAACGGCGGAAAAGATACTCGCCAACGGCAATCTGATTTTCTTTTACCATGACGCCTGTGGTAAGGCTGGGGTTTTACAGGGCCACGATTCGGTAATTGACCAACAACAGGCGAAATGAAGAGAGAAAGCAGGGGGCGGCAGGTGTGCACAGCGTGGTTGATAATAAATCTCCGGATCCTTGCTTTTTTATATCACAATCGAAACCGAAACCTAATCCCTAGCCGCTCGGCCACTTTGGAACCCCGCACAGATGCCTTGTCTGTTTGGGCGCGTTATACCGAGAGGCCGAAGCTTGTCCCGATGGCTAGAATTGCCGATCTGGTTCCTAAAGAATCGTTCTTTTTGACATAAAAATACTATGCGATTAGCCACGCTGCACGGCATCTCACTAGCCTCTCGTCTTGCTTACCTCCTTTCCTGCTCTCCCAGGCGTTCTCGATCCGTTTGCCATTCTTGCCTCTTCTTTCCCTGCCTCCTGACTTGCCCAAGGTCCGTGTCATGTGCCGGGCGCGGCTACACCCGGCTTATTACGTCATCCGCGCCCTACAACGAGGCACCGCCGAAAGCGGCTCACCGTAAGGGAGCCAGAGCCTAAGGGAACCACAAGGGTGTCATGTGAGGCGGAAGATGTGTGCCGGGTGAAATCTTGCCTATTCAAAAAAGGGGGTAGCCTGGATTCCATCAAGGGTGTATCAGTCACATAACACCTCAGCAAGTTTTGCAGCCGAAAGCATGGTATCTATACAGTTTCCAATGCAGGGAGCAGACGCCTTGTATGCATTTACAAGCTTCTGGAAATCCATTGGCTGAGGATTGATTCAAGACGATATTAAGATATGGGCTCTGGGCATGGCACAGGACCTTAGGGCTTGTCATTGGCTGGTTACCCGCGACGACTTAGCAAACAAACGATAGCGAAGACAATGACAGGTAGTTACACCAACAAATGACGTGATCTGCTACAGAGATAAATCGCACCAAATAAAGTAATCATCCTTGTGGCCCCATCTCCCATAAAAATATTTTCTAGGTTCTGGACGAAAGAATGCTTCAGCCTTGATTAGTTGGTCTGGCTGTGTAGTTGCACAATGACATGGTGGTCGGAGACATCTTCGACGACTCTAAAACCTCAATAAAGAGCACAAAGTGATTATTACTGTACAGTACTGACACCTATACAAGTAGGAAGAAGGCGCAATATTGGAGAGTGTATATGGACATAATGTACCCCCAACAATATTGCCCCATATCGGCGCCGCACACATACTACATACTAACAAGACAATGACACGCTTGTATAAAATTAGTTCCGCCGCAGGTACGTGTTCCATCCCAACGACGAACCGAGAAGAATTAGTAGAAAAGCAAGTGATTCTTAGATTCTGGATAGAATGGAGGCTGCTAGGCCTGACGAGTAGCTGCTATCAATATGACATGTAGACACAAAAGAACTCAAAGAGGGCAAGCGATCTAGTAGAAGCGAAGAAGGAAACACGGTGTTATACATACGACATTACTTTGCCACGGGTTCAGAAGGGAGAATTTCGATTTGACGAACCAGGAAGCTTTTCTCATCCGTAAACTGGTCATCCTCCGTTCGATCCTCAAGGAATTTTGGGAGAAACTTTAGCAATCGATCGCGGTTATTTATCAGAATCCGCTGCACAGCAACGGATTTATTTGGGTTTGCTACAAAAACCTATGTTAGGTAATAGGGGCTGTCAGATGTGAAGTACCCAAGAATAGGGGGGCCTCACCTTGAAAATATGAAATCCTTCGTATTGGACCATTTTTCGGTCATCTTTAAGTAGATTCATGCACAATTTCAAGTGATCTCCGCTATCAACATACGTTGTCATTACGCCATAATTCGCCCGGTCAAGGAGAAGCTCGCCGAGTAGTTTAATGCTCTGTCGCTTGGTGACATAAGAGTCTGAAAGAACTAGAACTTTGTTATATGTCGAAAAGAACAGGTCAAAATTAGTTGCGAGGTAACCGGCCACCAAAGCTTTATGTCTCGTTAAAATCTCCTATAGAGGGAGTCAGTGCGAGTTCCATGTTGAGAGTCTCTTCTCCTGTGACAGCATACTCGAAAGGTTGTGAATGCATCCGCGCTAACTTCAAAGCTCCCTTGGTTTATCCATCGAAAGAAATTCCAAAACACCCCTTCCCCCGTTTGTGGCGTACCTGGCTGGACGTCGTTGAGCCTGATTGCAGGCTCGTCCCTCGCAGACTGGTCGTACAGTACAATTCCAGTAACAACTTCGAACTTAAGTGCTTCTCTCAGTATTGTACCGCAAGGCATCGCACTCCGGCTATTTTCATAGCCGTAGCATAGCTCTGTCAGGATCTCAGGCCGTTTGTTGACAATGTACGAGATCACGGGGGGGTCCGAGGATGTGACGTGGGGAGGCTTGAAGCGAAGAAAATGGGAAAATATCGTTTGAGTATCTTTCCTGGACTCGAATGGAAGTTGATGAATACTTTGGGCAAGTTCATATAATAGATCATCAGCGATGAAAGCCTGCACCAACTGATGAACCTGGTCCGGGAGGCTATCTATCTCTAGAAAAGCAATATTAGCTACTGTCGCTCCTCCTTTTATCTCAATACAATCACCTTGTGTTCCCTGGACAATCAATTTTATATGTGCCAGATGCTTTGCGAGGTCTTCCTCGACCTGTAGCCCGAGTCAGAATGTCACCGTGGGGCAGGCTAGGGAACCATTTTCACCTTCGAGCCTGGTGCCTGCCACAGTCGCGCTAAAAGGTCTTTTAGAGTCCTTGCAACCTCAACGGGCTGCCTTGATTTATTTCGGCTGAATAGAAAAGCCATGAGAGCGTTTACACTGGCTAGAGCTGGATACGAGATGATCCGGCGCGCATCTAGTTGGAATGGAGGGGAGAGGGAGGGAGGTTTAGCATGGGGCCGGAAGGGATAGCAACGAGAATAGAGGCATCAATACCCCCACTTATTATTGGTTTGAAGAGGGCCGAGAGAAATCCACGCTGCCCAACGGGGTGTTCAGGTGGTTAGTAGCCAGACATTGTTGGCGCCCGCGGCGTAAACAAACGGGTGATGTTAGGGCCAGAAAGTTACATTTATAGTTCGGCCCCATTCGACGCAACCGCCGCGTCGAGCCCCGCGGATGATTTTCCTGGGCATCACGAATTTCCACAAGCAAAGATCGAGCAAACACAGAGGCCATTTACTTACTGCTTAACATGACTATAACATTGCCCACGCATTCGGACTGCTGTGACGACAATGGCATCGACGACAGCTCCAGTGAGTCGAGCCCCAGCGAGTGCCTCGACGTAACGAAGGACGATGGGTGGGAAGATGTCGAGCCGGACGAAGAGAACACTTCTATTGTCAGTCTGTTTAGCAACAAAATATTCCGAGATGCCCAATCGATGCTAGAAGACTGTAAAGAAAATTTTAATTTCGACCTTTTAAAGGTGCGAAGGGACTTCGGTGTGTATCATAATTTAAATGAACCTAGCACGAGAGACCATAAACTGATTTGAATGCTTGTGTTTTCAGACCTAGATTTTTTGGGCACTATAAAGCTTGTTAACTATGTGCGCTCCGAGGTTAAGTCAGGTAACATGACTCCAGATGTATCGTCGACCTCTCTATTCGAAGACGATAAATTCCTGAAGCCAGTGTTGGATGACGATGCGCTTCTATATAGCTTGGAAGATGTTTCAGACAGCCTGTATGATGAGCCGGCAGCAAATCCGGCTCAACGCATAAACGTCCTTGAAGCGGAGCTTGCTCGTCTTAGAGAGGAGTTCGTCGAGTACAAGCACATGGTACAGAAGTCCCTAGGCAAGCAGCTGGGGAGCGAGGCCGAAAAGGACTTGCCAGTCTTATCGAATCAACAAAATAGGGAAAAGGGCACAGATTCAGAAAGATTTAAAAATGCCGAAGCTGGGTATTTCACTTCTTATGCATACAATAGTAAGACTACCATTTGGAGACAGATTTTCTGGGCACTGACAAGGCTTCCGTACAGCGATACACGAATCGATGCTGAAGGATACGATACGTACAGACGCTTATCGTGATTTCATATATGACAATAAAAGTCTTTTTAAAGACAAAATCGTCCTCGATGTCGGCTGTGGTTCTGGAATCCTTTCTATGTTTTGTGCAAAGGCTGGGGCAAAAATGGTCATTGCCGTGGATAACTCGGACATAATTGATAAAGCGCGTCAAGTTGTGTATGATAATGGCTTTGGGGATGTGATCAAGTAAGATTAACCTCCGTTTCCAACTCATATACACAATCTAACTTGTAAATGTGAGCAGATGTTTACGTGGGAAAATTGAAGAGGTGGTTCTGCCAGTACAACAAGTGGACATCATTGTTTCGGAGTGGATGGGCTACTGTCTGCTATTCGAGGCAATGCTAGACTCGGTGCTCTTCGCACGAGATCGCTATCTTACCCCAGGTGGTTTGATGGTGCCCTCCCATGCAACACTGCGAATAGCTCCTATTGCAGACAGCGATTTTATGGATGATAACGTCTCTTTTTGGAACTCAGTGTACGGATTTAAAATGTCGAGCATGCTGGAGAACGTGTACGACGAAGTTCTAATCCAAACAGTTAAACCATCGGCGCTGGTTGGAGACTCCGCTCTATTTTTGTCCCTTCCTTTGCACAAGGTGACAGTTGAGCAGCTTACCTTTACCAAGGATTTTGAGGTGTCCGTTACAAAGGACACTGACACTCTCGATGCTTGGCTTGTGTGGTTTGATATGTTTTTCATGCCATCCTGCGAGAGCGAGTTAGAGGGCAACCCGGTTCCAAGTGCCATGAAGAAGATAGACAGGGTTGCTTTTACAACTGGTCCTGATGGACAAGAAACTCATTGGCATCAGGGGATATTTTTGGTAAAACATGGGAAATATGGAAAATGCCCCTTGAAAAAAGGGCAGCATATCAAGGGAAAAATTGCATACAAAAAGCAAGAAAAGTCACGATTACTAGACATTTGCATTGAATGGGCTGTCGATGAAAAGCCGTCTGTTTCTCAGGAATGGGCATTGCAATGATCACACTAGCATGGTTGTGCATGGAAATGGAATTGAAAAATAAAAAGTGTTGGAAAGTTATAGAGATGCTCATTTTAAAATATAAAGCTATTTGGTATCATTTGTAGCCAAAGTGACGCTCGCTGCACCTAACTTCGGATCTAATAATTATAATTATCAGTTTCAAATCGGAGACTCTACATATCTATAAGACATGAAGATATTTTCATCGTCTTAATCTCTACCCCGATTCTTCGAGCTTTTTTGCCCATGGGAGTGAGGATGCGATGAACGGCTCTCTTCTCTATGATACCTGCGAGAATGGCGTTTTTTCCTTCTATCGGGGTAAGCAGGATTCTCATCTAGAGTAAAGCCTTCGAGAGCATAATGGGAATGAGATCTTCGGCGATTTTGTTTTGATTGGCTTTCGTCCAGTTCCAAAGCGTCAAGCTCCCTTTTTCTTTCCTCATTCCATCTTTTCCTGTCGTTCTCAACATCGCGGAGCTGGCGGACCCCCTTCTTCATCGCAGCCAATGGGTCATTCATATCCATTCTCATTCTTTCTCGCTCTCGCCTTCTAGGGTCTTCGTTGCCCCAAACATCCTTAGAAGGAATATCTTGGGTTTGAGCTGCAATATCCTGGTTTGAAGTGGAGTACCACGGCTTTTCCATACCCTGCTTGTAACCTGCTGCGTTAGAAAACCTCATTGTGTACTGGTCCTCATATTCTTTCTTTTTCTTCGAGGCTTCTTCTTCAACTTCGAGATTCTTCTTAGATTGTTGAGAATACTTGTCTGGAAATAGGCTGATGTGGCCTGACGCGTCTGTTAGTGGGGTATCGTTCACCGACTTATACATGGCCCTCTTCGTAGTTGCGTTTGTTTGTAATAGAGCTTCTTCTCTAGCAAGTCTAATGTCCCGATCGGTATCATCTTCGCCTACTAGACGCCTACGCTTACGATGTCGGTTTTCAGAAATACGGCTAGATGACTCCTGATTTGGACGGCCGTTGTGGCTAGGCGGGGAGGGTGACCGGCGCTGGCCTCGCAATAAAGCAATTCGCCTTTCGGCATCAATCTCTTGCTCACGTCGTTCATCCTCTTCTCCTTTTGCTTTGGCTAGCGCCTCATCCCTGCGGACCCTTGCAATGTTGTCTTTGTTGTAGACATTCCATGATTTTTTTCCTAGTAAATGCCTGCTATATGTCAGCAACACAGTCGCATCCGCCAACTAACAGCCAATGATAAGACATACAAAGGCATCTTGTCATCGCCAACTTATTATGTTGAGCTTCACTCTTTCCCGTACAGAGTATACTCTTCATGGCGGATCATAAGCTGTGACGTTGAGGGTTTAGGGTTGCCTCCCTGATGAACTAACTAAGTCTGATGACTAAGCAAGGAGCTTGGATGATGATGTCGTAATAGTTTAGGACAGCATCTGTACGGAGTACTCCCAATCTCTCCCCCTGATTTAACTACACTACTCGTTTGTTGCTCTTTTGACTAAGACACAATTAGATAGAAGTATTTAACAAATTCCCTGAACCTGAGTATTTTCATATAGGTATATGGCTCAGACGTGATTATCCATCTACTACCTCAACACCCCACCTGCGATTTGACACTGGATGAGCTTCGTGGAAGTGGCATACCTTGACGCCGCCTGAAAATTGTTGACGCCATGTTTAACCGCAATAACCTTCCATCCGTCCCAAATCCATTCTCTGCCGGTGGTCCTCCTGGTAGCGATGGGGCCCGCCCTCCACGCGATCGATACCCCTCGCAACAATCTGGACGCCCAGATGGCTATGGCCAAGATCCTCGAATGACCGGAGGGTATGAGCCATCGCATAGCAGGAGTGACCGTGATACTGTAATGACTGACGTTTCTAATGCATCAAGAGGGTACGGAGGGCCATCTCCTGGTCGGACTTCCGGCTTGCCATCAAGACAGGGTGGTGGTAGGCCAATACCACCTAGCGGGGGTAGCGATCAAGTCTGGACTCTGCGACCAGCGAAGAGCCCGGACAATTCATATACATATGGTAATCTGTAAGTGGTCTATAATGAAGTATATAGTCTTATCATTGATACTAACCAGGTCATCTTGCCAGAGTATGTGTATCACCACGAGATATTCCTCCCTCACGAGACAGCTCAGATGTGTTGGTACTTGTAAATAATCTATACGTTTTCTCCGCTCGCCCGTTGGAAGGATTTCCTCCTGGGCATATCAGCATGTCAGATCCACAACGAACGTGGGCTCAAGTTGCTTTGACCGATATGGTTGAAGTTAGAATCTACGACATTTTTAGCCAAGGCAGCCAGGCATATCTTGCATCTATGGATCTGGAGATTGGTTTTGCTGGCAAGAAACGTACGGATACACCGTATGACCAGGATCAGCTCTCAAGTGTCGTGATTAGGGTACGTACTCTTTGGGGCAAACCGCAGCATATGCTGTGGATAGGGCTAACGTAACTAGAATTTTGAAAACCAAATTCTCGCCCCTGGTCAAAAGATATTAATGGATGATAAGAGTATCCCGCTCTTGTTAAGCGTTCGAACGGTTCAATTGGGAGACTTGTCCGAAAAGCCTTCATCCTCTGCCCCGACCTCAGCAGACCCCGCTACCAGAGGCATACTTACGAGGCACACTTTGATTAATTTTTTCAAAGATGCGAAGACTGGTATTAACGTAAAAGCTTCAAATCGGAGGCCCGCTGCAAATTCCATCATCCAACCAGATTTTAAGTTTGAAAATATGGGAATTGGCGGTTTGGACATGGAATTCAGTACTATTTTTCGCAGAGCTTTTGCCTCTCGTATCTTCCCACCAGGCCTTGTTGAGAAGTTAGGTATTCAACACGTTAAAGGAATATTGCTTTACGGCCCTCCTGGGACAGGTAAGACCTTGATTGCCAGGCAAATCGGCAAGATGTTAAATGCAAGGGAGCCAAAAGTCATCAACGGCCCCGAAGTGCTAAACAAATACGTCGGCCAATCTGAGGAGAACATTAGGAAGCTTTTTGCAGATGCTGAAAAGGAGTATCGTGAGAAAGGAGAAGAAAGCGGCCTTCATATCATTATCTTTGATGAACTCGATGCTGTTTGCAAACAGAGGGGCAGCGGAGCTGGTGGCGGTACAGGTGTTGGCGACAGTGTCGTCAACCAGCTTTTATCCAAGCTTGACGGCGTTGATCAACTAAATAATATTCTATTAATCGGAATGACCAATCGAATGGATATGATAGACGACGCCCTTCTACGACCTGGTCGTTTAGAGGTCCACATGGAAATTTCGCTTCCGGACGAGAAGGGAAGAGTTCAAATCCTGAATATTCATACTAAGAAAATGCGTGATGGCAACCTCATGAATAGTGACGTTGATCTCGCTGAGTTGGCTCAGCTAACCAAGAATTTTTCAGGTGCAGAAATTAGCGGCTTGGTGAAGTCCGCTTCCTCGTTCGCTTTTAATCGACATGTCAAAATCGGAACAATGGCTGGAATTAGCGATGACGTGGTAAACATGAAGGTCAATCGACAGGATTTCCAAAATGCACTGGATGAGGTCAAACCTGCTTTTGGCGTATCAGAGGAGGAGCTAGAAAGTTGCATTGCTGGCGGTATTATTCATTTCTCATCAGCTATCGACAGTATATTGGAAGAAGGAAAGCTGTTTGTCAATCAGGTTCGGGATCCCGAGTCAACTACTCAACTTTTTTCGGTATTGTTGCATGGACCTCCCGGAAGCGGTAAGACCGCATTGGCTGCAAAAATGGCTATAGACTCGGATTTCCCATTCGTGAAACTTATTAGCCCAGAAGATATGGTGGGGTTCGGCGAAATGGCGAAAGTTCAACACATGAGCAAAGTGTTCAACGATGCTTACAAGAGCCCTGTCAGTGTGGTGGTTGTGGATAATATTGAACGGATAATAGATTGGGTCCCCATCGGGCCCCGCTTCAGCAACTCGATTCTTCAGACTCTTATGGTACTGCTTCGAAAACAGCCCCCCAAGGGCCGTCGGTTACTCATTCTTGCTACGACGACCGAGCGGTCGATACTAAAGCAGTTGGATGTATACCACTCCTTTAATTCGGATATCCCTGTGCCAAATGTGAATACGTACGAGGAGCTAGCGCACATCGTGAAGGAAACACAGTCATTCTCTTCTCAAGAAATGGAAATGGCCTTGTCAGGTATTCGTGACATGACACAGAGCAACAAAATTAATGTTGGGATTAAGAAAGTCCTGCTGGGTGTTGGAACAGCCAAACAAGATTCCAATAAGGCCCGACGGTTTGCTTCTGTTATTGCTCGCGCCATGGATGAACAGGAGTTTGTCTAAGTATTCCGTTGCGCAAATAGCCCCCTTTCGCATATAAGAGGACTCATACCCTCGTCTAGATCTACATACCTACATGACAACTTGATTCGTTCCTTCATTAATTAATTTTAGGTTTGCTATCGTAGGTAATAGTTACTTGGTAGTGAAACAAGGCTCAGAAGTGGCAAGCCTCATTTATGAGTACCACTACTAACTAACTATACAATAGTGCTCAAGGTATGGAAAATAAATACGCAATCCAAATTTCCAGTAGCACAGTCGGTGAATTATTGGAAAAACCAAACTATTGTTATTCTGAAGACTAAGAAGGCCCGCAAGACCCGCAAGAATATCTTCATCGATTCTTCTGCCCACCTTTCGATACTCCAAAGCGAAGAATATACAAAATGGTCGGGCCGCGACAGGTTATCAAGTCCGCAAAATTCACATCGGGATAGGATATTTAAGTCTCGACCTACAGTTTGTATGGCGTAACTATAATTAGCTAGCTCTAAACTATCCTGTAACTCAGGGTCACTTTTGCCACTGTTATTTACAACCGTAGATCTTTATTCCTGCAATACCAAAGCCTCACGAGGGCCAAGGAGCTCAAATAAATACGAACAAGGGTTACTGGCCGTCTCTTAAAGCTCCTAGAATCTGATAGCGAGCATCACCAGGCTGAAATTGCCATATTTACGATGCCTTATTGGCGAGATCGGCAGCTTTACTCTGTACTCTACTCTGTACTCCGTACGGAGTAGAAAGCGGGCATCCGTGCACCACTCCTCGCCTATATTCTACGGCCAAATCTCCACGCACGCCACCATCACCCCCTAGTGTCAATAATGGCCGTCAATCGTGGCAATAGCCACATGGCCCTCAACCTACCTGGCCAGCTCATACACTATGGTCACGGGGGTGTGTTCGGACGATACCATCGCCGCTCCGCACGCCGCATAGGGCTGACGGGCCCCGGTCCGCACGAGCAGTTTGTACAGGGGTATGCATATCCGCTGTGGGACCAAACCGGCCATGCGGGGCAGATCACGCCGTGCCCCTGAGAAACAGGGCCAATCGGAGTGGTTTCTGGGCCAGCGGCCGCAATCCCCTGCGCCGTCGTTAAGCGCCGCGCGGCTAGAAGGCTCAGGCCCCGCTAAAAGCGGCACGCCGCATGGGCCAAAAAAGGGGGTGGAGCGGAGCGGGGAACCAGAAAGGAGGGAACGTCGGTGGGCTGGAAAGTTTTAAAAAATCGTAGATTGCATGTGTAATAAGCAAGCAGTTTGCTAATATAGATAGGGCCAGCCCGTAACGCCAAGGACAATAGCCAAACGCCCGGTTTTTCCGTAGTGGTGCGCGCAAGGCACCTCCCAGTACGGAGTACGGAGTGCAAAAGCATCAAAGCAACGCGAAAAATCACCAAACGCAAAATGAAAAACTGGTCAACGGGAGGATATCATGGGGCTCATTAACTCGCATGGGTTGAGGTTTCGAAGATGGACCATTTCGGTCAGTACCTCTCGTCATATGCGTATTTGCTGTTGGCGGCGCGGTATTCACCGGGTAAATTTCGTTCGGCTTTCGATTTCATGGCGCTATAATTTCTGGTTAGCACAAGTACGCTGCAGAGCCTAATATCAAAAATCGCAAGGGAGACGCGGCAATGGCCAACGGGGCTGGATTCCGCCGCTCGCCAAGAAGAGCGGAGCGGGAACATGCATGGGCGGAGCGGGAAGGCGGGATCGGGGAGAAGCAAACAAGGTTCGCCAACTCACCCAATTCGCTTTTGCGTCCACTCCAGATCCGACTTGGTTTCCTTTGCGGCCTTGATCCCGTCCGCAAAGTTTGTTCTCGCGCCCGCAATACGGCGCTTCATGAGAGCCTGCAGTTCAAGGAGTTCTCGCTGCTTGGCGTTAAGCTGACCAGATCTACAGGCACTATCAGAACAGCACATCAGATCGGCAAGCCAAGGGCGCACTCACAGCTGAGTCTGTTTGGCAATTCCGCTATCCAGCCTACTTGCATCGAACACGTTACTCATGCGATCATTCAGCGTGTCGATGACGTCAATGCCGGAGTATCCTGAAGACGAGACGTCGAAATCGCCAGCGCTCCCTGTCGTTGTGCTCACGTCTGAAATTTCCGGTGGAGAGCCGGCAACGCGAGAAATTGGATAATAACTCGCAACGCCAGGAGCCTTAGACGGCATGTTGATGGGAAGAGAGGATGTTGGCTGACTGCCATGGGAGCGGAAAGCTGTCGCCATGATGATCGATTGTCTGGGGCGGCAATTGGGATATCAAAATTGGAAAGCCGGCAAAGGGAAGTTTGCAGAAAACAGATCAATAATGACAAAGGGCCAGTGGAAACAGGATATAATCTCTGGAGGCAACAACGATGTGACAGTATGGGTATCAGACCAGACTTTGTGTAAACAGAAGGACAATCAGGACCAACCAAACCGGGGGACAGATGGGGAGCGAAGATGGCCAAGTGATGCTGACTGAGGAGGAGCTGAGGAAAATACGGAAGAAGGAGGAGGGCGAGGACGGGGAGGGAGAAGGAGGCCCTTTTATACCCATCTCCGGAGAGACAAGCCAGGGCCACGGGGCCGTCTCCGCCTGCTGTGTCCAGCGGTCTGAGCCGCCGCGGGTTGGGATCCTGTGCGTGGACTCGGATGATCCATTCCCGCTTTTTCCCTCCTTTCTTTCTTCGACCCGTCTTATCCCTTGTGCTCCAGCCCCCCTGCAGGGCCCCCCCCATCTCTCTTCGCCGCCCCCGATTCGTCCTCCGGGGCTGCTGACCCCGCTCAGCATCGGGATGGGAGGCGTCCGCAGCGCCGCCGTTCGCACGCGGATTCGCCAGCCAGGCCTTGCACTAGGCGATTCGGTCCCGCCCGATCCGTCGAGGGAAAAAAGGACCCTGCTAGAGGCTGGAAACACCCTCCACGATCTACTGTCGCCGCGCCGAATGCGGGATGGCGCCGTGCTGCTCGGGTTCCGGATTCTGGGCGGGCGGCAAACCAAACGGGAGGAGAGGCGAGGCGAGTGGCCCGGCGCTCCCTCCTGTGAGACGGACGAAACCCGGGCGCTAAGCCGGGGGGTGTCTGGGAAACGGTTACGTCGAGGGACGGTGTGCGGGCGTTGTGTGGGAGCAATACGATCTATGGGCGCTGGGTGGGAGAGATGCGGTGACGGCGGTGCGTGGAAACTGCGGCCGATTGAGTTTTTCAGTCTCTTGTCTCTTGGACCGCGATCAAGCGATGATGGCCCTGGCGATGGGCGCAAGACTTGTCGTTGCAAGCAGCCTTAGTCGTCGCCATGGAGGGATCGATGGATGGACGTGCGCACGTAACTAACTACGTATGTACGTCTGGATATCAGCCAGGGGGGGTCCATCAGACATGCATGCTGTGCAATTCATGCCTGAAGCCGCCAACAAGGAGGCCAACTTGGGCTCCAAGGACGCCATGAAGCTCCAGCCCTGGCTGGCGAGGCAGCACAGTGTCGAGCAATCAAGCAGCGGGCAAACAATCTCAAAACTTCTCTCACCACCGACGACGACATACAAACATACTGTAGGCAGATACATGCATCCAAGCCATACCCCCTACATATACATATACGCGCATCCACAAGGCTGGCCAGCTGCCCATGCGACCGCGAGCTTCGACAGACGACGCCGCCAGGCCAGATCGAAGCGCGAGCTTGGGTGTCAACGTCGGGTCTGGCGTGTGTGCCTAACGAACTCACTGCCTGGTGTGGCCTCCAGCCGGCGAGGAACAGACAGGCAGAGCATGCTTGCGTGCAGCAGGGCGAGCCCAGCTGATGCAGGCCATCCCTGCTGCTTAGCTGTACACGCTATAGCCATGTCCTGGACGATCTGCGGCCACCAGTCCAACTTCTTAACGTTGGGGATCACAGAGCCGTCCGCAAGAGACGAGTGTAGCACTAGGTCGTAAGCGCAACGCTGCACCTTGAATGGGCACGCCGGGGCAGACACGGTTGAAGGGCTTGACTTCGGCTCTGCACGACGACGCCGCGTCCTGGGGATCGCGAGCGCCGGCGGACAGATGGACGGGCAGCCGCCCGATGGTTGGGCATCATCCACGGGAGCAGCAGTGGCGATTGCGGATCAAACCAACTGCGGTGTGGACACAGAGCACCAGGGTGTGCGTGAGTGAGTGTGCGGCGTCAAATCAGCGCTCTATGTACACTGCAGTCCCGTTATATACAGGCCGTGAGAGGAAAAAGAAAGCAAACGCTGTTTCCGAGTTGTCCAGGCCTGCATCACTGGCTACCATAATCCTCTTTTGCACGAACCCCCAAACCCAAGAGAAGAAAGCACATTTTATAATTAAAAACTATATTCCAGCCCCGGTCTTGTGTGAGAAAGAAATATTGAGAACGAAATATCTCCAATCGGCATGTGGTCGAAGATATGCTCTAAAAAAATCGGTTACCCTCCAAAGCCGGTGGAGAAAAGCTGTGAAAATAAAAGATAGAAAAAAAGAGAGGGAAATGATAGGCAACATATCAAGGAAAATAGGGTTTGCATTGTGAAACTGGAACATGAGTGCTAAAGGGGTATAGAAACGCAATATAAAAACGATATTAGCCAAATCTATCAGTATCGCTGCTAGCTAGAGTCATGTTGCGCTAGTTGCATCGGACTAAGAAGCGCCTATACTCTTGTTACTAGTGGCTATGCCGTCAGAAGGTGTTGCTGAGACAGCTCTATCAGCTACATTCCGGATTGGTAAGATCGTCTTTGGCGGCGACTTGCCGCTACTGTGACTTTCACCTATTTTCGGTCTCACCAGTCGCCTCAGCTGTGGCGCTAGGTACCGGTCCAGCATGCTTCTCAAGACGTCTGACCTGACTGGTTTTGCTAAATAGTTGTTCATGCCGGCTTCAATACACTTTTCTCGGTCTCCCTCTATGGCACTCGCAGTCATTGCGATGACTAGGACCTCATTCACATTTGGATCGTCATCTTCGCGAATTTTTCGTGTAGCGTTATACCCATCGAGGACTGGCATCTGAACATCCATCAGAACAACATGGAACGGGTTGCCGTCTTTAGAGCATTGTTGTAGTGCCTGCACAGCTTGCTGGCCATCGCTAAATACCTCACTCATAAGTCCTATATTATGAACGAAATTCATAGCGATTTTTTGATTGATTGGGTTGTCCTCCGCGATGCAAACGCGGATCTGGTCTCGAGGAATACAGGTCAGGTCTCGCACGACCCGCTTCTGGGCTGGGCTCTTCTTTTCTCGGGGGGTTATAGAAGATATATCCTGAGACCACGGCGTTTTGGCAACCGCGTTTTCGCCCGCTTTCTTGAAGGTTACAGTAAAAGTAACTGTGGTGCCGATCCCCACTTCAGATCGTAGCCAAATCTTTCCCCCAAGAACATCCTCAATAATTGCCTTGCAGATGCTTAAGCCCAGGCCACTACCGCCATAAGATCTTGCTGTTGAACTGTCGGCTTGCGAAAATGGTCGGAATAATCGCGCCATATGCTCGCTTGAAATGCCGATCCCAGTATCAGTGACGGTGCAAGTAACCCGTACCGTATTGTCGCTCTCATCAGTGACTTTGGCCTGCACGGTTACAGACCCCTTTGGCGTGAATTTGTAGCTGTTACTGAGTAGATTCATGAAAATCTGATGCAAACGGACTGGATCTCCCATCACAACTAAGTTCTCTCCAATGTCATCTAGGTCTTCAATGGTTTCAAGACCCCTATCACGGTGAGTATAACGAAGGGCTCGTACTACTTCCGCAATGGTCTCCTTCAAGTTGAGGGGAACAATGGATACTTTCATTTTCCCTGCTTCTAGCTTGGAAAAGTCAAGGATGTCATTGATAAGCGTGAGAAGCGTATCCGCGCAAACTCGAATGGACTCGACATATACGTCCTGTTGACGATCAAGATGTGTCTGTTTTAATAATTCAGACAACCCAATAACACCAGTCATCGGTGTTCGCAGGTCGTGGGAGATGTTGGCCAAGAAGATGGATTTAGCCTTGGCAGCTTCTTCCTTCAGCCTAACGTTATAGTTGGCTTCAGCCTCCGCTTCTTTTGCCTTTTGCTCCGCTTCTCGGGCTTGTGTTAGAGCTCGACGTTGAGCCTCGACCATAGCTGCGTTAGCCGCACTTGAATCTATATTAGTATTGGCAGACATGGTATCCAGGACAAAATTTCATCGCTTACCTGATTTTGCGGGCTCCTTGAAACAAGAAGGCATTTGCAAGGGAAATACCGACTTGGTTGGCCACAAGTCGCAAGACAACTAAATTTCGATGCGTAAATGAGTTGGGTTTGCCTTCAATGTGTATGACCCCAAGGAAGTTGTTTGCCTGCATAATGGGTAATGTGATAACAGATCTTCCTTCAGGATTTCTAGCAGCATAGGCCTCAGAGACATTTGGAAATCGCTCATCCTCGACGATATTGTGCACCAATACCGGCTCTCGAGTTCTTAGAGTGTAATGGGTGATTTGCTGCGCCATTTTGTCCTCCACTTCAGCGAATGGTAGCCCATCTGGATAGGCAGCCTCCCCTTTGTCTATCTCCCCAGCTGCAGCTACACACCAACCTTGGGTTTCAAATTCCGTGATAACGAGAGCCAGTTCCGAACCACTGGATGATTCGAGAATAATACCGACCATTTTAGAGAGTAGTTTGTCTATTTCAAGCTCCGACGACATCACTTGGCTGAACTCAAGGATACTTGATAAATCGATAATATCTGTATCTAGTTAGAAAGATATCAACAGGCTAGGCCTGCAACTTGCTTACCAAGACCAACTCGTGAGATATCTAGGGTTCCATCTGTCCAATCCTGCTCCTGTTCTAGCCATTTTCTACCACGATCATCTTCGAGACGGGACATGTTGGGGGCCGGGTCCGATACCTGACTTGAAGTCACAGCCAAGGTATCAACAGTTTGACACACGGCATCCCTAGATCGTGAGATATTCCCCATTCTTAATAGCCATTCGTTTTTCTCTGTTAATTGCTGGACCTTTCCAATGGCGCTCATTCTATTCCAAGCGGGAATGGCATGCCCCAAAATAGCCTGTGCGGCACGTCTTGCACCGCGGCGGACGAGGAAATCGACTATATAACAAGTAAGGATTAAGGGAAATGTCCAGAATATGAAGAGTGAAGAATTTACCTTGAAGTTCGAGAGCGATTGCTTCTTCAAGCGGAAAATTGTGAAGCTGTGTGTGGTCAAGTGTGGCCTGCGGGATGTTAACGGAAAGGTTTAATTAGCTAGGTAGATCACTGCTCACCTCTAGGGCTTGCATGGTTGCAGAATAGTCCTCATTCAGTTCGCAGAGCAATGCCTTGACTATTAATGACCACATAGCAAAATTTGTATGGCAAGCTGTTTCCATCAATTCGATTTCGCTTTTAAAACGCTCCACGAGCTTAATGTCCTCCTGTAGGCCTGGCCGGCCCGGGTTTTCGAGGCGACGGGACATTATCGCAAGGGATAAGTAGAAATATGTCTGAGTTGCAAAACGAGAAGACCAGAGGCATTCGATATTATTCACGATCCCAGTACCAATTTCCACGGCTCTGTCGTAATGACCGTACAAATAGAGTGGAATGAGCATCATCGCACGGTAAGAGTAGAGCGAGTGCATGTTTGAACCTCGAGAAGTAAGAGACTGTAGGTAGTGCTGTTCATCATGCAAACCATCGGACAACACTCGTTCAGGAATGTTCACAAAGGTCTTCCCTTGGAGAGCGCGAGCTGCTTGCCTAAAAATGGGAAAATTTTAATACCTGTTGTCGAAAGGAAGAGACGCCTGGAGGAATTTACCTGACAGCCATGATGATGGGTCCTCCTCTCACATCAATATCCCAATCACTCACCTCCTCACTGGTACAGTTGCAATGTTGCTCAAGTTCTGCAAAGTCATGTCCAACTGAAAAGCCAGTGGCAACAATAATGGCGATAGTGAAGAGCGTTATATGTCTTTCTCCGAGCAAGTGTGCAACTTCCATGGATTTTTCAAGCATAGGAATTGTTGATGCCAAGGGGACTCGCATATGATTTGCGAAAACATTGTGAATAAGAATCCCACGCGAGGCGAACGAAGGCTCATTGAATTTCTCGAGGAATTCTAATGCAGCGTCGCTGAGTTTAGTCCCTAACTCGATGTCCTTATAGCGGCTTGTCAGAATCATAAGTAGATGCGTGCACAAATAGGCAATCTGAGCAAAAGGGCCTCGAAATATATAAATGTTCATCAGTTCAACTGCATATCGACAGAACAACTTTGGCTGAGTCCAGACACACAGTCCGAGTGTTTCTGCCATAACAGCTCCAATAGCGAGTAAAGTTCCGTCTTCGCTGAGAGGCCGCGAAAACATAGCCTTTAAGTCTGCGCTGTGGAGGTATGCTCTCAACTCTGCGTAGGCCTTATCAATTTCTTCCCAAGACGTATCTCGGCTTAATGTCACTCCAAGATCATTTAAGCCAGCTAATAAAATATCTAATGCTGCTCTAATGTTTCCATGGGTTGCATAAATGCGGCTCTGTAAAACCCAAGCGCGGCCTTTGCATGCTGGTGTGTGGGCATTTTCAAAGATGACGGATAAAGTTTCGGTGGATTCTGACACACGGCCCTGAGCAAGCAGCATTTCCGCGGATCTGAAGTAAAGCTCTCGAGTTTCATCATAGAAGACATCAGGTTTAGTGGTATCCCAAGGATCGTCCTGCAAAAGAAAAATGGAGGTCTGGTAAAACGTTAGGGCAGTAGTGCTGGCGCTTGCTTTTTGTGCCGTGGCAGCAGCCTGGTATAATTCATCGCGATATTTAATGCGGTTCGTCACTTGGGCTCTTATCAGCTTTGCTGCGTGGGTGATGTGGAGTGCTCTAGAATACAACATGGTTGAATCCAAAGCAAAATACTTCATCAATGTCTGTGAAATAGCAAAATGCATTTTTTCCTGGTCATGGCATCGTTTCATTAAAGCCGCTGCTTGCGCGTAGCGATCAAATGAGAATCTATCCGATATTATGTCAGTCACATTTACCAGCCGTTACCGTTACAGGAACACAAGATACCTGAATTCGTCATCGGTATCCCCTGGAAGGATAATATACGACTGTAGTAAGTATTGGAGTCCAGCGACGATACCGTCGGTTGTTTGTGTAAGCTTGGTACACTTCCGGCCGTCGGCATGTTCACTGTCTTGATCATCTGTGTCATCCAAAAACTCACTGGTCAGTAATTTTTGTATCACAGAAAAACTAAATGGGCTCCCCAACAAGGCGGCCCATAAAAGAATAGATCGAGCTTCCGAAGGAATCTCTTCAAATCTCTTAGCCACTAAGTCGATTTCGAGGCCTTCACCGTATGTAGGTGCAGCAAGTTCGGTGAAGATTCGATCGATATCATATTGCCATGTAGAATCCCTCCAGGAATACCAGATGCAATTTTTGCGGCTACAGGTTTCCAGTATCAACCTGACGTAGAACGGAATTCCTTTGCTTTTTTCTTGTACAATGGCCGCAAGTGGTATTAGTGACTTGTCTGGGGCACGATGAAGCGTAGCAGCGACGTATTCGAGAGTATCGTCCTCGCTAAGAGGGCGAAGCTCGATTCTTGTAATCTGGGGGCCTTCAGTATGGAAAAGCAGCCGAACATCAGCAGAAGTGATCTCTTCCGGACGGCCCGTAACAATAAAGGCGCATCGTAGCTTTGTCCGCATTATTTCGAGTAATAGGTTAGAGGTTTCGTCATCAGCATATTGAACGTCCTCCAGACAGATACAAATTAATTTATAAAGTGTTATTATTCTTAGAACATCCATGAAAACATCTGCAAATCGAATGTTCTTCGCCGACGGAGGTTCCTGAGAGAAATTTTTGGGAGTTTTCCCAAAGTTAAGACCGGCAAAGCCGATAATCCCACTTTCAGCCATATCGTCTGGCGAGGGATCTGTAGGTCCTGAGCATAGCACCTGCCCGTTGTCTGAATATTCATATATCAATTGCTCTGGAAGATCGAGAGTTCGATGAAGACCTCGCCATACTGGTCTGAGTGTTAGGCGGATGGATTTGTGATAATCGGTGGCAATATCGCGCTCAGAAAATATCTGTTGCAGCAAGGTCGCAAGAACTTTTATAAAAGGCTCAAAAGGAACTCTGCGGGATCGATCAAGTCGTGCAACGGCCATATAACCACATTTACGAATTTCTGGCTGAACCCTCTGTATCAGGTCTGATTTTCCCATACCTCCAGCACCTGATATTGTAATTATTTCACACCTACCACCATGACGGTATTTAGATTGGGCCATGAGCTTTCCAAGCCATGGAAAGTTTTCGAGTTGAGTGCTAAGACTAGTTGGAGGAATGTCTTTCTCACTATTATCGAGGGAAATGCGAGAATCTGTAGGACTTTTGACACGGCCCAAGGGCAAATTCTTTTGTGTTGATGTTGTGGATTCAAGGCTCTTAACTGACTCTTGCGGTGAAGCTTGGGGTAACGGAGGACCTCCGAGGGCAGATTTATTCCTATAAGCTGCCAATCCAAAAGATCCAGAATCGCTTGAGGTGTCCCCCGCTTCCAAGGCATCAGGCCGTTCACCTGATGCAGAAGATCCTGAGCTGAATGAATGTTTCACGTTAAGATTATTTTTAGCGCTGGCATTTACGGATGGTCCCTGCAAACGCTGTTGAGCACCTTGAACAATGTCAATAATTCGCTCACACTCCGCTTTTCTTCCAAATAAGGCGGTAGGCAGGGTGAAAAATGCTGTAACATCTCTTCGCGCAACTATAAAGTCGGCAAGCGCAGTAGAATTGCCGTCGCCCAAAAGGTCGTCTATGTTCTGCAAATCTAGTTTAACAGAAGAGATTGTGTGATACCTATCTGTAATCTGCTTTTGAACCATTTTTTGAATAACAGCAGAGAGGGCGTCTGGTATGTCTAGTCGCTTGCTCGATACTGAACTTAATTTTTTGGAGAGAACGTTTTGTACCACCTCAATGGGGTCATGTCCATCAAATGCAGGTCTGCCAACCAGTATAGTCCAGAAAAGAACACCCAAAGCATAGATATCGGTTCTGCTGTCCGGCTCTGTGAGTAATCTCCCAGTCTGTTCAGGAGCAATGGATCGCAATTTATCTTTTGCGCCCGATTCCCTGGATAACGTGGACCAACCCTCACTGAGGGCGTTGTCAAAAGCTCTTGAGCCGTTTCCGGTGTTTGATAGTTTAACAGCCCCGGTTTCACGATTGAAATAGAAAGCGTCTGCTCGGATTTCACCATGGACATTTTTCAAACCATAGTGCAGGAGCTCAAGGCACTCACATGCCCCTATAGCAAAGTCCAAGAAGGTAGGCAATGGAATTTCGTCCACCATTGGGAAAAGTTCCGGGTTATATTGGCCGTTGAGCTGGTAGAAAGTGGGTCCTAAACTAGATAATTGCCCAAGATAATTTGGACCAGGAAATTCGAATATTGTAACCAGGTAGGAACCTCGGTGACCAGGCGAAGATGGCAGGCGAACCATGTCAATGGGGCGAATTGTGTGTTTGCATTCCGGATCCGACATATCAATGATTGTCTTCATTGAGTGAAATTCCCGCTCCAAGCGAATGACATGATTTGAAACGCGCGCAACCACAGGCAAAATCGCGTCCGTGTCTGTGCGAGGTGAGGTGACCCCACTACCTCCATCACTGAGGCTGCGTTGGCCATTCTGACGAAAAAACGGTCTGGATTCAGCCTTGGGGGAATCCTGTGGGGGAATGGAGTCCTTTGAGTGGGACGAAGCAGAAGCGGGGGTAGATAGAACGCCTTCAGAGTCGGAGGAGTATTTGATGCCAGTCACCTGCCAATGATCGTATGACGAGTGGATAGGCTGGAGCGTCGAATCCCAGGTATAGCCAGATATCTGCCCTAGACGCTCAAAAAGCTGTTCCACGGTGAGAGGGAGGTCTTCACCCAAAATGCGATTTCCGTCCATGGCTCGTTAATAGGAACGGGGGGGGGTGTCTAGAAAGGCGGGAAAGAGTCAGCGCGGGTTGGTCAAAGCTGTGCTTGAACTGAGCGACATGCAGCCGGTTACCGTGAGGAGAAAGTACCAGCTCGTAGTCATAGTGCCGCCGTGACGGCACAGAAGAAGCACGCTCGACTCTCGATTGCTCACGGCCTTGTCATGGACGCACGACTTTGAGTCGCTGCTGGTGGCTGATCGCCTGCGGTGCAGATGCTCTCTCTATTGGGCCTGGCCCGGGTCCAGACGCACTGAGGCTTGGCGCACTAACGGCTCGGCATATCCTTACTTTCTAGGCGATTATGTCAGCGGCGTCCCGTGGTGGCAATGAGTCAGCATGTGCTGACATAAGCGCGCTAGTACAGTACCTCCGGAACCGGCGTTCCGTACGGCCTCTGATGTCATGCAGTTGTGCGGTTACACATGCGGAGGATTCGACGGCCTGTTACATTGCAAGCTCCGCGATCATCGTTCCAGCTGGAGAGCGGTCATACTTGTTTGTCGGTTTTGTTGGAACTGTGCCGTGATGGGGATTATCTCCCCTCTGGAGATGCATACAGCACCGCGTTACATACGCTAACCAACTAGCTAACTCGTTAGCTGGCCGTCAGATGTCACCCACAATGGCGCCGGATGAGCGAAGGAGCGAAAACCCGCCCCGACATCATGGTAGCGAAATTGGGACAACCAGGCCAGGAACGCTGGATGGGGCACGCGATCCAAGCGTTGTTTTCGGCCACTTCGTCGCAGAGAACTTCTGGGTTAACCAGATGCCGCAATCGTTGACCAACACCGAGATGTTGTTGGCTACATAGGGAAAAGACTTGGGATACGACACGGCATCTCACCGCCAGCGCAAGACTGTTAGTTAGTCAGTCCCCCATTCGTCGTGACAACAGACACTCGTCATTGTCCCCCAAAGCTTATTGTTGCACATCCATACGGAGTGCGGAGTACATACAATATAGTTACGTACAGAGTACTCCGTACGGAACACTGCATGGAACGAACGTGGGTAAACGTTACCTTATAGGAGATAGATAGTATTATTTGGAATACTTTTCGGACGTGTACGGCGGACGCAGCGCATCGTATGGTGACTCCATATTGACTAGCGGATTAATGGTCAAAGGGATTTGATACCTCATTTGGTCCCACCCCCCTGATCCTCAGACCTACATACATACACGCTGGGGGGGCATGCAGTCTGGCTGTGCAAGGGTAACGATTGGAAATGACATGACCGCCGTGTGCTCCGTAGCACGGTATCATATTATTATTGCCGGCTCGCCCGCTGCTGTTAGATATCCCAGCACACCTCTTCGCACGAAAAGCGCGCTGCTTGGTGACGGGAAGGGCCTCGTTGGTGCTGGCGTAACACGGGAGGTCGTAAAGTGCGTGTATTTCCGGAAAGACGCAAAATTTCGAAACTTACGCGCTGCGATTGGCTGGCGAGCGGTAAAACGTGGTTTGGTCGGGAACAGAGTTTCGGGTGTGCCCTCACCGTCACCGCTTGCCATGGCCTTGGGTTCGATTAAGGTGTCTTAGCGTGCTCTAGCTGGGACTCCATCGCTATTGCGCGCGCTGTCTGGTGCCAGGGGGCCGACCGTGCAGCCAGTTGACAGTACGGAGGAATAGGGTGCTCTGCGAGCGCGGAGGCGGGTGCGCGGGACCTGCTCGCTGCCAGCGCGTATCAGCCAGCGCCGCTGCTGGCAGCGAGCAGGGTCCTCCCGTGCGTGGAGCCCCCGGTGGCTTGCGGCGGGCAAGGAATGCAGTGCACAATCCCGTCTCGAGAACCCGACGGCCAGGGATGCGTCGATTGGGCGGACATCATCGGAACGATCCTTAGCCGCCGGCTTTCACGCGGTTCAATAGCAACAGCAACAATAGTAACAATAATGCAATTTCGGCTGGCAATAATACGGAGGGATGCCGCTGTAGACACAACTACTCCTGCCATAGTTCGCAGCAGCCATGCCAGGCAGCGCTGGGATTGGAGGCCCTGTCTTCCAGGCGGGTGGAGCTCTGCTGCCAGGCTTCTCTGCCGGCCAAGCTGGCATGCTCGTTGCCAGCAGTCCGCGCTCGCGCTGTGGCCCGGCTCCGGGTTCTTCTTCCGTATGTGGCAGGTCGCGCAGACGCATCCGACGTGCAACAAACGCAGCGCCGCGAGCGTATCAGCGACAGGGGAAGCGAGAGCGTAACGATCGTGTATGGAGATGTATGGAGGTATCAAGCGCGAACCCGGCGGTAAGTTACGGGCGGTACGGTCACGCTGCGGACGCCGGACGAAATCACGGCGTATTGCGGCGTACCGCTAGCAACGGCCACGACGTAACGACCCCACAAAAACGGTGCCTTGCCAGCCAGTCAAGCTGCCCTGCTGACCTCATCCGCGCCCGCCAGCAGCCCGCTGGCACGCGTGCGCCGAGACGGAGGGGGGTTAATTTACCGTACGGCCGCCGTCACGGCCTTTTGCAGCGAGGCGATCGCCCCTAGATGGTATCGAAAGATGGTGTACCAACGAAACGCAGGCCACTGGCGTCGTCCATCCGACGCTGCACTGCGCTGTGCTGTGCGCGCTGGCGGCGGCGCTTCATGGCGGGCTGCCTGACCGCCCGCCAGCACCACGATGACTGCACAGCTGTGACCAGCTCCAGCTCACCAGCATCAGCCGCTGACACGCTCGCCCGCAGCCGCACAGGAGGGCAGACGCTGGTGAAGTGGCACCTGACGTCACCACGCCAAGGCCCAGGAACACTAGCCCGCCAGACACTTTCGAATTCTCTGGGTCTTCCTCACTCAATGCCGAAAACAGCAAAAGGCACGCCGTCTCACGCATCACCCCCCGACGACCCCCGACCACCCCCCCTCCCCGGGGCGACCACGCCAAACCAGCGCCCTCTGCTAGCGTCCGCTGCGGAAAGCGATGCAAGCCACTTGTTGGCCCCCTACTGTCCAACTACAGACCCAGCACTCCGCCAGTGGCTGCTTCCTGTGCAGGCTGGCTAGACTTGATCTCTCCCGGCGAAGCATGCCACGATGCGTACGTTGTCTACCCCCAGTCCACCTCGTTGCTCCATAATCAAATCCTCCTGTGCATGCCGTCTAATCCCTCCAGCAGGCTTCCCATGCCCGCCAATGAACAACGATGAGAGTTCCCAAACCAGTGACAGCGCTACGTCGCAGAACGCCGGTGATCCCGCCGAAGCGCCGCCATCCAGCCCTCGCGACACTTCAGCTGCTATATTCGAGGACAGGGGGAAGAGCATGAATACCCTCGAAGAATTACGCCAACGGATGAAGGACAAGATGATCAGCCAGCAAACCCAACTGGACAAACAAACAGGCTCGCCGCAACCGCCCCGATCCGGCAGCGAATATCATCGCCAAACAGCACGAGAGCTACTTTCTAACCCTCCCACGCCGTCCAGAGCGCCATCGTCGCCCCATAATGTGAAATCTAGAGGCCCCCTGCACGTCAGGGGCTCGTCCCAGGAGTTTGACCCTACATTCCCATTCCCTACGATGGGATCGCAAAAACGACCGCTAGATCACGCTGCGAGACCCCGAGAAGACCCCCGTATATTAGGTTCGCGATCTACCCGCACTCCACGAAAGAACACGATGGGAGGAAGCGGGGAGAGCCGTACCGCTTCGGACCGGCCGTGGACTGCACCACCGAAACGTGATTTTCTCCCTTCAGATGCCACGGACGTGATTGAGGATGCTGCCTACCCAACCCCTAATCTCTACGACTTGACATTGACATTGAATGCAGACCCAGGACTTAATAATTGGTGGTCGAATGTGTCTCGAATTTTGAGAATGCATTATGGAGCCGAAAGGGCCAGTCTCTCTGTCCCCGGTGACGCCACGGACCTCGAAAATGTGCCCTGGGGCCAAAAGGCAACATATTACCCTCGCTCTTGGAGTATCATGAACCGCAATGAACGAAGTGAAAAGGAAACTACTTCCGCTGGCTCTCACCGGGTAGCCACCAAAACATCAGGTCCGAAATATACGACGGATGCCGGTGACTCTCCATCTCCAATTTCGCGTCGTCCCCATTTAATGTCACGTCATTCGTTTACTGGGTATACCACACGTCGAATCGAAAGCGAGAGGCGTGATTTGGATGAAACCCCTCCACCGAGAGTTCAAATCCGAAGGAAAAGCTTATCTGGATCAGAGAAAACAGGTAGTAAAGGGAAAACTGAAAGCACAGAAGGGACGAGAACGAAGCGAGTGCTAGCCGCTGGACCTTCACCAACTCAGTCTGAAACCAGCGACGACTACCTTCAGTCACAGTCAAGCATTACTGGCTCAGTAGCAACCGTATTCCAAGTGCCCCGTGGACTGGAGGTAGAGCAGAGCCCGCTAATAAAACGAACTGGGATTCCCAGGCTCTTCGGCCGTACAAAGCCCGCCGTACTGACCAGAGAGTATGCGGATGACCCTTCCACAGCCCATACCCCGACTTCAATACATCGTCATAAAGATGTCGTTCAGACAACGCCTCGTGGCGAATACCCTTCAAAGGCCCCAGCGCTACAATCGGCCGCCCCTAGCCAGCGTTTATCCAACACCCGTACAGCTATTACTAAAACACCGTTATCCGTGCTTGGCGAGGACGTCGAGTCAGAATATGTCTCTGCCGGCGAAGCATACGAGGAATACGAACAAGTCCCACAATCTCCTTGGTCCCAGTCCCCTGCGCCATCCCCAGCTCCTCTATTAAAGCCCGAAGAGAACCCTTTTTTTACTAATCCAGAAGTAGACGAAGATGCTTTTGCTTCGAGTCCACCATCTCACGACTACTCTGAGAGTCTACCACCCCACGCCATCGGTGTCGATTGGTCCAAAACGATAATTCACATACCACTACTATACTCCCCTCCCACAAGCCAAGCTGATGATTCTACACTGCGATTTCCTGTTGCTATCATTTCCATTTTAGCGTCCATCATTCCATACCCTACGAATCTCAGGCTTTCACTTGCGTATCTTATGCCACATTTAACTACTTCTTTTTGTCTTGCACAGCAATATAGCGAGTTGGAAAAGCTGCTTCCTGGTCCTTTAGGACGCTATAATCTCCTTGGCCTCGGTGGCACGTTTTCTGACGAGGGAAGTGAGCTGGAACTTGTTGCGGGGCTGGCTGGGCAGGCCAATTATCCATCAGGGGAAGACGGCGCTTCAGTCAGTCGTTCGGTTATGTCCAGTCCTATTGCTCCATCCAATCTGGGACGGACAAGTTCTGCAATATCTGCTCCAAGTATAGATCTTGCCAGTCCTGGACTACGAAGAGAGATATTTTTAAGCCCAGGAGCTTTTCCGCTCAGTGGAATTGAGACCTTGGACAGCTATTTTATATCAGCGCGGCCTAATATCCAGGCTATTCAACAGGCGAAATCGTCACCCGATTCGCAAACAGGAGAATTTCCTTCAAGCCCTTCAAGCTCCAGTTCGCAGCCTGGAAAAGCTGCGGGTAACGATGATATCACTTCTAAGGATATATCATCTATCTCAGAAGTTTCCCCTGTTCACCCTCTGACCACCACTTCTCGTTCCTCGTCTGCATCTGTCGCTACCCAATTACAACGTGACCTACAGTATCGTCCTTTTTCCGATACAATAGCTCAGTTGATGCTGAACTCAGTGCCATTGCATCTGTTCCTTGCCAAGCCTCCCACTGGTGAAGTGATTTGGACCAACGCCAAGTTCGACGGGTATAGAAGATACCCCCACGAATCACGTATCAAGGATCCTTTCCAAAATGTGCACAGCAGGGAGTATGACAACGTAATATCTGAATGGACAAAAGCATTAAAAACAGGATCTCAATTTACAGAGCGGGTTCGTGTGCGCCGTTTGGGCGATGAAGCGTCATATCGGTGGTTTATTTTTCGAGCAAATCCATTAATATCAGCCACTGGAGAGCTACTCTATTGGATTGGTTCATTCCTCGACGTGCATGAGCAACATATAGCGGAATCAAAGGCTGCTCAGGAAAGAGAAACTTTTGCCACTGACGCCAAGTACAGAGCCCTAGCAAATTCGATACCTCAGATTGTCTTCGAGGCAGCTGAATATCGCGGCCTCATATCGGCGAACCAGCAGTGGGAGCTGTATACAGGCCAATCTCTTGCAGAGGCTAAGAATCTAGGATTTGCAAAACATATCCACCGTGATGACCTCAAAAAGTGTGGCATCCTCCACCCTCCCCAGGTAATCCCAGAATCCGTCAGCGCCACTGAATTTGGGAAAATCATGTTTGATCCTCAGTCAGATGAGACTCCCAGACCGGAAGACGGGAAAGAACAGGAATTTTTCTCCCCCGACACTGCAACACCAACTACTGCGCCAAACGCGGAACGTCCCTTTGGCCGCGGCGTCACGGAAGCCCTCCAACATTTGGTTGAAAAGGATGTTGTTACAATGCAACGTGACGAGAATGGCCGAGATTCATACACCACGGAAGTTCGGTTTCGCTCGAGGAAAGGGGATTTCCGTTGGCATCTTGTTCGTCTTGTAAAAGTTGAAACCGCTGATTTTGGAAATGGCGAGGCATCGTGGTACGGAACATGCACTGATATCAATGATCGAAAGAAATTAGAAAAGGAGTTGAACATGGCGATGCAAAAGCTCAACCACGAGATGGAGTCAAAGACCAAGTTCTTCACGAACATGTCTCATGAGATTCGGACGCCATTAAATGGAATTCTCGGCACAATTCCTTTTATTCTAGACACGCAGGTGGATAGCGATCAGCGGCGTATGTTGGACACCATTCAGAATAGCTCAACGAACCTGAGGGAACTAGTGGATAACATATTAGATGTGTCGAAGGTGGAGGCTGGAAAGATGAACATCCTTCGTCAGTGGTTCCACGTGCGTGCTATGCTGGAAGATGCTATTGATACCATTGCCTCGAGAGCCATTGACAAAGGCCTGGAGTTGAACTACGTATTTGAGCCCGAGGTGCCTTCGATGGTGTACGGAGATAGATTTCGCATTCGTCAAATACTGATTAATTTGATTGGGAATGCGGTTAAATTCACTTCTCAAGGTGAAATTTTTATTCGCTGCTCGATCCATGATGATCCAAAGACGAATCTTGAAGAATCAGAGATTTTACTTAATTTTGAAGTGATCGACACGGGCAAAGGGTTCAGTGTCAACGATGCCCAACGGTTAATGCACAGATTCAGTCAAATCGAGAATGACAACGCGCAGCAGCATGCTGGCAGTGGGCTTGGGCTCTTTCTGTCGAAACAGATTGCCGAGATGCATGGCGGGCGGCTAACACCGACAAGCATGGAGGGCCGAGGCGCCAAATTCTCCTTTTATGTGAAAGTCGGCATTACTACGGCTCAGACGGCTGAGACCATGCAGCGTCTGCATGAGGAGCTGCCTGCCCGGCCTGCGTCAAGGGCTCCCACTGGAGGCTCGACCACCAGCCAAGAAATATCACCTGGGCAGATGTCTTCCGGGGTACAGTCAGACACCAGCCCTGAGTCAGTCAGCTCGGCGGGCTATCTTGCCATGCCCCGTAGATCAAACGACGAAGCCGCTCCGGAAGCCCTTAAGCGCAGGTCAGCAGTGGCTGATTCGGCAAGAAATTCTACGGACTCTGCAAAAATAAAATATCAAAATATATCTCCCGCGCCCGAAGCTAAGGCTACGGCTAGCAGGAATGATAGTGGAACGCTCGAAACGGTAGACTCAGCGGAGATCCTTGCTCACCCGACAATGTACTCTGTATTGATTGTGTGTCCGTTCGACCACGCCCGGGAGGCCATCACGCAGCATATAGAACAGGTGGTTCCGTTTGACGTTCCGGCTAATGTTACTTCGATCCACGATTTGGACGACTGGAAAGAACTAAGCAACAATGCCGAGCCGCCAACGCTTACGCACATGGTGCTTAATCTGCCCGACCTCAAGGATGTTAAGGAAATGATGTCGAATATCCTCGAAGCCGAATGGCCCCCACCGACGGTTGTCATTGTTGCAGACGCCTACATGAAACGCGATATCGGCGAATCCTGCGACGAGTTCAAGGCGGCTGGGAAGAAAGCCGTGGTTGTACCCAAGCCGCTGAAGCCATCGACATTTTCGCCGATCTTCGATCCACTCAGCAAACGCGAACTCAGCAAGGACCGGAACCAAGCCATGGCGCGGGCGATGGACGACAGCTTCCGGGCGATGTCGAAGATTGTCAAAGAGATGATCGGCAACAAGGGCCACCGGGTGTTGCTCGTCGAGGACGATGAAACTAATCGAGCTGTAAGTCGATGTATTTTTGCTGTTGAACGTTGTTACTGAAGCGAATAATAGGTGATGTTGAAGTACCTGGAGAAGATCAAGTTGATATCGGAGACGGCGGCCAACGGGCAGGAGTGCATCGACATGGTGTTCGCCAAGGAGCCGGGGTATTACTCGCTGATAATCGTAAGTTGGATGGCGACCAAAGGACCAAAGGACAGTGCTGACAGAACAGTGCGATATCCAAATGCCCATCAAGAACGGATACGAGACGTGCCGCGAGATCCGGGCGTGGGAGGTGATGCACCACCTCCCGCCGATTCCGATCATGGCGCTGTCGGCGAACGCGATGACGGACCAGATCGACGACGCGGTGCGGGCGGGGTTCAGCGACTACGTGACGAAGCCGATCAAGCACAATGAGCTGGGGCAGATGCTGATGGCGCTGCTGGAGCCGGAGGCGACGGCGTTGCTGCTGGCAGGGCGGCGGCAGTGAGTGTGAGCCCCTGGGCGAACGAACGTGTATTAATTTGTGGATAGGGATTAACGAAGCGAGCGGAAGCATACACTAACTAGCTGATTGCGTTGACTTTACTGCATGGAGGAGTCATGGGGGGCTACTACATTAACTACATACATTCGATAATGGGACGGCATCGGAGCAGGGACAGGAAGACAGACAACAAAACAAGACGGCGTCGGATGTGTAGGGACGGGCGCTTGCCCGGGAGGTGGTTTCGTATGTTTTGATAGTCATGGGGACATGCCGGTGTGTTATAGACTATGTATGCATTCAATTCTGGATTTACCACCACCACCACCAATGCTACCACCAGCTACAGGGGCGCTATGTTTTGCCTGTAGCCAAACACCCGAAAGCGCTTGACGCCGCCGTCGGGCACGATGGTCAGCTTGACGTGGGTGACGTCGGGCACGATGCACGCGGCGTCGGCGAGCGCCTCGCCTTCGAAACAGTGCTGCGAGTCCGCCTGGCACGCAGGCTCGCCGCGCACCAACTCGACCCAGCGCGTATCGTCCGACAAGGGATCCTGGTTGTCCTCATCCTTGCCTTGCCGATGGACGATGGCATGCACGCGCACGGCGCGCGGGAAATTGCCGCGAAAATCCTTCGTATCGACCTCGACTCGCCGAACGCGGCCGGGCATGCCCAGACGCACGATGGCCCAGTCGACATGGCCCGGGACGCGCGAGCGGGCGGTCTCCCAGCCGTCGCCCATGTTGACGCCGCGGCCGGGCAGCAGCAGGTTAGCGGCGGGCGTGAAGTGCTGGTTGCTGGCAGCGACGACCACGCCGCCGCACAGCGCCGACGACAGCTCCTCGTCGACCTCGTCGTCGGCGAGCATGGGCGGCGGCACGGCATGGCCGTACACGCGCAGGCGCGCGATGCCGCCGTCGGGGTACATGCGCAGGCGGACGTGGGTGACGGGTGGCGAGCGGGCGGGCAGGGCCCAGGCGTGGCGGGCGGATGGGCCGCACGGCTGCTCGGGCAGCAGCACAGTCCAGGCGATCTGGTCGCTCTGGATGCGGGCCTCGATGCCGTCTTCAGTATCTATGCACGCGGCCTCGACCAGCACGCGCTCGGCGAAGTTGCCGACGAAGTACGCGGTGTCGACCTCGAGCCCGTCAATCACGCAGCGCGCGGGACCCAGGCGCACGACGGCCCAGTCAAACGGCTGCGGGTTGTGGCGGCGCGTCTCCCAGCCGTCGTACCAGGCGCCGGTGGCCACGAACACGCCGGGCCGGTGCACGGCGGGCGTGGGTGTCAGCAGGTTGGAGGCCGGCGCGAAGAACTCGTTGCTGACGGCGACGATGCGGGCGTGCAGCGCGGCCGAGGCGACGTTGGTGGCTTTGGCGAAGTGCGCGTCGATGCGCTCGGGCGCGACGGCGGACGGCGAGCACGAGCCGGCCATGGTTGCGAGGAGGTAGGAAAGCCGGCGATTATAGTGACAGGCAATTAATTAGTTAGCTATATTACGCTCGACTGGCGATGAGAGGAAAGACGCAAGCAACGAACCACTACTCCCCTTCAGCCTAACTAACTACGTAGTTAGTTCTGGAGCCATCGGAGCTGGCCGACCTGCCCGCCCAAAGGTGACGCACAGGCTGCCAGTCAATTGTTTGCCATGTAACCATGCATGTGATGCTAGTTAGCTCCAACAATAATAACAACAACAACAACAACAATGCTATAATCTATCAGATGTAGCAAACAAGAGCGCGGAGGAGTTATCACATAGAGAAGAGAATCATTTTGATTGGTCCGGAACATAAACCCCGCACTGTCTCTGGAAGAGGCGCTGCTAGGGCTGCACTAACTACAAACGTACTAGGTCTAGGGCTAGTTAGTCACCTCCTGCGCTTAGCCTAACGTTGCTTTACAGCTCGTCGGCCGGCAGCGGCACCTCAATGCCCACAATCTGCCGCAGCGGCGTCCCGTCCTCTGACTTCAGCGGGAATTCCACCTCGCACTTCTCAATGGGGAGCTTGCAGGTTCGCGCCTGGATGTCGAACAAATGCTTGCATGTCCCGGCGGGCTCGTAGGGCGAAAAGCCTTCGTTGATTCTGGACCACCTCGAGTTCTCCCGGCACATGTTGTCCCCAACCAGGCCATCCCTCCTGTGCTCGAAGCACTGTATCCATTGCTCCGATCTGCACCCCCCTTGCACTTTGGCGAAGAATGTCCAGGTTTCAAAGCGGCACTCGTGTCTAGGGGGGCATTGGAGAGTTGACGCAAATGATGTGGTGAATGTGTTGGACTTTTCTTTGGTGTTCGAGTATTTGCCGACTACATTCAGGGAGAATTCCCCCGCCTTCACCACGAGGTTCGCGTCCAGACTCCAGCCCGTTGTCACCCTGGTGAGTGTCGCGTTCGATTTAGAAATCGACAGCGGCAGTGGGCTGTTCTTGCCGGGGTTGCGTATGGAACTCTCAAGGAATGGGCTGTTGTGGACTGTGAGTCCATCGAGCCGAGCAAGCAGTTTTCGCCTGAACAGGCGTGCTTCCCCACAAGCATGTACTTCTTTCATGCAGTTCTGCCCATTCGGTTTAAATACCTGTCGGTCGACATCCACATATGGCTGCGGCTCGCGAATTGCCGTATTTCGGAGAAGGTCTTTGAACTTCTGCAGTATGGTTCGGCGGTCTGGGCTCACGGTGTTCTGTCGCACCTCGACGCCACGCTTTGGTTTCATTCGAGATAGTTCCGGTGATTCCCAAAACACTTTGATGGTTTCCACTGGCGGTGCCGCTGCGCGAGTGTTGATTTCCATGGAACCGCTGTCGTTAATTTCTGTCGGCAGCGCAGAAATCTGCAGCGCCAAAGCGGTAACAAAAAGGAGAGGCGGAATGTTCAACATCGTGCAACGGAGATGGTGTTCTTTCAAGCAGAATAATGAAAAGAAAATCCGAGGAACTGTCTAAAGAGAAGATGTGATCTGTTCTGATATTGCAAACTTGAATAAGGGCGATGGAACCCCCTTATATATTGTCTCCGAGCGTCTGTTGTTCGGACATGCTGGCTGTGTGATAGTCGAAACAAAGTTTCTTCCATTTTGGGAGGACACACGGATCGCCCAGAATTCTAAGTTACGGGGCCCTACGCCTACCGCCCGCTTTAATTATTAGCCGACGCGAAACAAGCTGGCTTATTCCATTGCAAAAGTTTACAAGAGTGATGATCCCTAGTGTCCGCGACCGGGTTGCCATAAGCATTGTAAGAGTGAACAGGAAGCTGGCCCTTCTTCCAAGAGGCAAGAAGGATGTACTCGCCCATACCCTTTACAGAGACATGTTTCGTGAATGACCCGGATTAGCATGATGACCATAAGCCTTACCCTTTTCTCTTCCATAGCTGAGGATTTCCATTCCAGGATCTGGGGGCCAGCAATTGATCATATCCACCGAAAATCCGCTTCTACCGACTTCTTTGAACGCCAATTTTTTAAATAATAATGAGTTGCTGGCTCGGAACCTACCGATCACGTTGCTTCTCAGGAAGACATAATTCGCCTAAAAATGGCACTCCACGCTATGCTCTTGTAGGTATTTTACTGAGAATAGCAAAGCACCCCAAATGCTTAGCCAGAAGCCGAAACGGGCTCATCTTTCTATCTAGGAAATGTTTACCCGCTCAACCGAGGCCACTTTAACGGTTGCGGTACCGCCGTTACTCGGTGGCCTTTTGACCCATATGAAAGTGGAGGCAGCACGAAGCCATTTCCACTCTACATTCTTCAAAATAGCATTACATAGCTCCTCATTCGAGCACCCTTTCTCGATTCTCTACGGGTTGCAGTAGTAAACCGGGGGGCCGACACTCGGTGGCTTTTTGAGCCATACATGTGAAAATGGAGGTGATGTTAGCATTTCCATTCGGCATTTTTTTTAAAATCGATTAAGTACGTCTTCATTTGAGCATTTCCTTTATCACGGAGTAAAATACGTATTTAGCTGGTCTTCATTCCACTACAGATGGAATCATGGAGAGCCGTCTCAAGCCATTTTCGCAGATTACCGCAGGGCAAAATTTGCTTGGTAGTAAGTAAGTGGGTCACAAAAACCCCCAAAGATGACAATATTATTACCTAGGCCCAAACTAGCCCCGCTCTCTACTCTGTACACTCTTTACTTGCATAGTTAGTCGCCAACGGAATGCCGATTTGGTACGTGGTCAACTAACTCCAGCCAAGGCATCGTTTCAATGTTGACTACGGCGTACAGAGTATGGCTACTACGATACTGAGTCTGGTTAAATGCACACCCGCGGCGTTCACCATTTTTTTATGGAACCACAGCTGCGCCCTGCGCCTCTCCCTAGATGAGTATAACAGATTACGCAATTTCGGGAAAGGGCTTCCAGAAATATGTTACTGCCATTTTCTATTCCCATGGTAAAGTATTCTGTACTATAGGATATGTTGATGCTAAAGTTAATAGTGACCTCTAAACTAATAATTTGAGGTATTATGGATTGAAGCTGTACTTAACTGAATATAATAAAAGAAATTAGATTGTTAATCTTATACCATAGCAACGATTACACCAGGCTTTCCAAAGCTGCAACAAAGCCAATAAACTTCTTCGAAAACTGATGCCATCCTGTGAATATACCTCTCTGTACAAGCTCTTTATCTTCTTCAGTGCATCAGTGGTTATCATCTTTCCATATATCTTTCCCCATTCTTCTATTTCTTTTGCCTCTACAGGCTTTCTACCATTTGATAGGGCATACTCATGTAGATATCCAACAGCATCCATGCAATCATATGGCCGCTCCTCTGATTTACTCATCCTATCTATCTTTCCTTCCACACAAAGCGTAATCCCAGGGTGCAGCGAAGACTGTGAGCCCTTCCTCTCGAAATACTGCCACATTCTGCTGTATGGCCGCTTGGATAAGTCGAGTCTGTAATTCTAAGGGAATAAAAAGAGTGGTCGCATTGGTTAGCCAATTTGCGCCTAGTTGAATCTTACTTTCTTGCTGAGCATATTTTGACGCATCTTTGAGAAGGCGGCTTTGCTCATTACCACCGAAGAAATCGACATCTTGAGTAACCTCTCGATTCTGTAGGTGGATCGTGTTGACTGCTCCTCCAACTGCAATGCCAATAACATTTGCATTTTTATTTCGAAGATAGCTCGCCATATTTTGAAAGGCGGCCAAGAGGGCGGTACGGTTGATGTTGAATTGACGATGACAGATGGGCATGCCATGCAGATCGCGCTCGGGAGTTGGGATCATCTGCAATCCTTCTTGTGGGCCAGAAATGGTAAAAATGCGGCCTCTAGTATCACTTTTCGAACTCTCATTGCCCATGGCTGGAATCCTTTTCAAACAGACAAACATATTTTTAATGATCGACTGTATGTAGTTCTAATAAATGAAACAAAAGTCAATTGATTAAAATCTGACAGGATGTCTTTTGTAAGAAGAATGTCTGTGGTGCAAGCTGTGGTGATAGCTTTAAAACAATCTCATGGGACTGCCTGATTCTGTCTTTTATCAAATCTATGCTCCCATGGTGGGCGATAGCAATCCCTAGGTTGGGCACCCAAGCCTTTTACCTGCATAGTTATTTATGATTGGGGACGGAGTACACATGCAGAGTATGGCGTACCTTAAGACGACTTAAAGATGCTTGAGCTGCTGAGCAGCAGATGTTTCTCATATGCACATCTGAATGACAATAACTGCCTGTGCACATTGAAACACATCTGTGATTGTACTGCCTATGCCAGCTGTCACTGCTCTAAGTTGAAAACTTGAAGCTCAGAGAACCATAGGCTAGGAGGCTTGGCAATGTCACGGGTAGGTACTCCGTAGTTAGTCAGGTAACTAATTAGTGCGGCTTAGTTGTGATGAGCCCATTTTTCATATCAGGGCCACTGTTGGACAACGCTGGAGAGCTTTCCGGAATCAACTTCACCTCAGACTTTCACATCCTTCAGGGAACACTACTACAAATGAACAATCATCTGCTACCATACCCTTACAACCAAGACCGTTCCCGTCCCTTCTTTCAATGTGAGACCTTGGCCAATGTACTATATGGCTTCCACCGTCGTTTTCAACCTCCTGCTGCTTCACAATCCAGTATAAAGCCAATTGAAGTTGTTTGCATTTCAGATACTCACAACCTGACCCCAAATACCCCCCCTGGTGACCTTATAATTCATGCTGGTGACTTGACTAAGCACGGCTCATTTGAGGAGCTTCATGACCAGCTTCAATGGCTGTCTGCCCTCCCACACCCTCAGAAAGTGATTATCGCGGGAAACCATGATCTTCTGCTTGATCCAAGTTTTCTTGACCATCACCCTACTCGCTCCCCCGAAAATTCCAGGTCGTCTGCCTTGGATTTAGATTGGAACAATCTCAATTACCTCCAGGACTGCTCTGCCACTTTGACCTTTTCAAATGGAAGGAACTTGAAAGTTTTTGGCTCACCTCAAACACCAGAATTTGGTGTTTGGGCCTTCCAATATCCAGCAATCAGGGATGTCTGGACCCACAGAATTCCAGATGACACAGATATAGTGGTAGTTCATGGCCCACCTGTGCTTCATTATGATGTCAGCAAGCAAGGAGATGGATATTTATTAAGAGAGTTAAGAAGAGCGAAGCCACAGCTTGTTGTGTTTGGTCATATTCATGATGGATATGGAGAAGATAGCCTTTTCCATGATGGTGTGCAGAGTGCATGGGAAGATGCAATTCTGCAAAGAAGTGGCATTGTTGCAATCATTCGCATGACTTTCTGGATAATTGTGGTATGGCTTAAAGTCTTGCTGGGACTCCCACAACCCAGCCCAACAATGTTGGTTAATGCAGCTGTTACCCCAGGAGTGAAGAATGTAAAAAAGAAGGAGCCTATCAGATTGAAAATATGACTATTATAACCATCTATTTGATTGAGTTCAAGTTAAAGAAGTTAAATAAAGTGAATATGTGGCTTCCAGCACAAAATGTTCTTTTCTCTGAGCTGCGGGCTTGCTCTCTTATCATCAAATGAGTCCAGGGTCCCTCCTCCATCATGGGGTATCTTCAGCACTTCTTGCAGTGGCTTCACGGATAATGTCCACTCAGGGACATGTTCATATATCCTCTCCTCATTCCGAAACTCCTCTATCTCCTCCATGGTAATAATAGGGTCCGCACGTCTAGGCAACCCTAGCTCTATCCTTCTGTTGAATGCCAATGTTATTAGAGCGGGAATACAAGCTAAAACCGCATATCGAGCTGGTTCGGAATGATCTAGAGGATCCGGAATTGATGATACAGGCCAGCGATTAAACCAAAACCGCTTGAGTTCATTGCGAATACCAGTGGTACGGTTAAGCACAAGGTGTTCGTAAAGGCGATAGAGGGCGAAGAGGGGCGTATCGCCTGGGGAATCAAGTGGAGCAGTGTTTTCGCGTTGGTTCAGCAGGTTATTGTAATATGAACTTCGTGCCAAAAGCTCCTCTGGCGGCGGAGGAGGAAACGTGGGATAGGCATATGGGTTTGAGGATATGTCTTCTGTAGGCGCAGGAGGTCTGCGTCGAAACTTCGCGTACCCCCGTGAAAACCCAATATTCAGTGACAATGTTCAGCAAGTACTCGTATTAAGGGACTTACACATGAAAAAAGCTTTTTGAAGTTCATGAGCAGCAGTTCCGATGGTTTAAAAGGCAAACACCCGCTAGTGGTAAGCTCCCAGGCTCGGCCTAGTAGTATCGTCACGTGCAGCTGCCCAGTAGGTTAACTACCGTGGCTTTGCATTTTTTACAGAACATGATGAAGACATATGATGAGCATGCTATCCAACGCGGTTTTCAGCCCTTATCTTGAAAAAGCAGGGCAGCGACCAGAACTACTTTGGCAAGCTTCTCTTGGCGAAGTGCAATGCCGCCTAAAGCTTGCGAGACCAGGCGCGTTCTAACGCTAAATATATATTCAACCACCTCGGCCACAGTCATCGCAATTCAATTTAGAAAACCACAGCGCCAAAATGCTAATTACATTGTCGATTTAGAGGAGGGCCGTCTGCTCTGCTTCGCACAAACAATCCCTGGACCTTCTACCTCGGGCATCTCCAGTGCAGCTACTTCCGTGCTGAGGGTTAAATTCCATCATGCCGCATGACAAGTTCTTTATTTAGGGACCTGCTAGAATATGTGCTGCGTCAGATGGTTACTGATGCTGAGGGTATGGCTGTTGTGATGCACCAATAAAGTGACATGCATCGTAATCCCCCTCGTCGGATTTATTTCTTAGTCCTGTGCATTCAGCCAAGGATCCTGGAGAAGTTCATTCGCCGTCTTTCGTTTCTCCGGCAGCCAAGTAAGAATCGACCGGATAAACCCCAGAAATAGACCCTTCTCCTTGTCTCTTCCCACCAGGCGGGTTTCAAGCTGCTCTAAGGAAACTTCTGGTATCTTTACATATGCTCCGGCCTTCCAGTTTCCTAAAACCACAACAGTCAGCCTAAACTACCAAATGAATTGTAAAATTACCCACCTCCGGCGTCAAAACACTGGTACGCTGTTTCACTGCGGTCTAAGAACGCTTTTGGAGGAGGCCCCAGAAGCGCCATGACCTGAGCCATGTGCTTGAATGGATCGTATTCCCCATCTTCATCCAGTACGTTATTGAACAGATGCTTTCCTTCGAAGAGATCCCACGCCTTGTACTATCAGTGACATGTATGTAGCTGGAGAAAGGCTCGACCTACAAGCGCAGCAACATTCCAGATATCCACAGGCGTCCCCCATTCCAATTGAAAAGTCACCTCGGGTGCCCTATAGATATTTGGCTGTACAAATGGGCCTGTTTGGTGTGCCCATCCAATTCTTGCTTCTCCAAAGTCACATAGGATAGGGCCACCCCAGTTACCGTTGCGTGGGTTGCGGAAGCTTCGAGACGTGTAGATGGATCGCACATCGTCTATGACCTTCCTTGGGCTTGGGCTGTCTGACTCTGCTTTTTCAAAATCTTGCAACATCGACGGATCGTCGATAGTGAGCATTAAGTTGTCTGTTTTTAGATCTATACGGATATTGGTAATTGAGCAATTCGGGGTATATTTTCCAATTGTCTCTACCCACCAGTATGAATGATCTTAGCATCTGTATGAAGAAAGTGCAGAACTGTCAGGAGGCGTTTTAGTATCAGCTTCACCAGTGGTGTATGTATGGGGTTCGGGTTTAGTTTCATCATATCTAGGATGCTCATATGCATCGGCTGCTGCATCAGACACTGATGGCGTCCATAAGGTCCCTGAATCTCGAACGAATCATAGACGTCGCGGATATAGGCTTGGCCGAGATGGGACGAAGTGACCTTGCAGAGATGCTCGTATATGGCCAGCTCTGCACGCCCCTTTTTGGGAAATTTCTGCAGCTGGGTTGAGATCTTTATAGTAGAATATGAGTGTTCCCTGGAGAACATTAGCTGTCGTTTCTCTAGTATTTTCTGCGCATTCTTACTGCAGATCACGGCAGAGCCATGCTGTAGAGTAAGCCCCATAGCCCAATTTCCCTACAATCCGGTATCTAGACTGGAACAGTTCGCCGATATGGGCGGGATAGTACTGTTCGGGTTCATAGAATGGCAGCTTCTCCTCCTCCAACGGAGCAGTTTGGAAAAGGGAGGAAAATGGTCTCGACGGCGTCTTCAGCGGCCCGGCCTTCAGACGACCGCGGAGGAACCCAAACATCGTGGGAACAAGCTCAACCTTAATATGATATCCGCGACAACCAACCGTGGTTCGGCTGACCTAACTAGCGGATTAGCGTTGACCCGTCCCGGCTGAGTCAGCATACCTTCTTCTCACGCGATCGAACCCCGACTTCCGCCAAACCAGCGATGAAGCCGTTCGTGTGTCTGCGTTGCCGGCTCGCCGCCCGCCATGGAGGCGCGGCGGCGGCAGCAGCAGCAGCAAGATGGCCGAGAGCCCCGCTTGCCCGTGCGTTCTCTTCGTCGCCCAAGCCCGTGCCCAACGTGAAACACGTCCGCGCCCACGCCGACCGCTACGCCCAAGCGTGCCGCGACCGCCACTACGCCGCCCTCGCCGACCATCCTGCACGCATCCAAGCCCTTGCGGACGAGGCTGCCCAGCTGCAGAAAGCCCTGGACGCGCCGCGGACGGAAATAAAATCCGTCCAACGGGAAATTGCCCGCGTGGCTGCGGATCCGGACGCGCGCGATGGAGAACTGGACGCCCTGCGCGCACAGGCTAAGAAGCTCAAGGATGCCTCGCAAGGCCTGGTGGACCGTCGTGAGTCCTGCGTCGAACAGATCCGCCAGCTGGCTCTCTCTTTGCCGAACCTCTCATCCAGTGAGACGCCCGTCGGAGATATCCCCCGTATCGTGGGCTACATCAACTACGACCCATCCAATCCGCCCTCCCACATCTCCTCCCCGTCCCGTAACCACGTCTCCATCGGCACAGCGCTCGGTCTACTCGACTTCTCCAGCGCCGCGACCTCGTCCGGCTGGGGATGGTACTACCTGATCAACGAGGGCGCCCTGCTGGAGCAGGCGCTGGTGCAGTATGCGCTGAGCGTCGCCATGCGGCGTGGCGGCTGGACGCCCGTGGCCCCGCCGACGCTGGTCTACGCGGATATCGCCGAGGCGTGTGGGTTCCAGCCGCGCGACGCCAACAATGAGCAGCAGATCTGGGCCATTGAGCAGAGCGAGAAGGATAAGAGCAAGCCGCAGCGCTGTCTGACGGGTACGGCGGAGATTCCGCTGGCGGCGATGTATGCGGGCCGGGAGATCCCCGCGGAGAAGTTGCCAATGAGGTGTATTGGTGTGAGCCGGTGCTATCGCGCCGAAGCGGGTGCGAGAGGCGTGGATACGAAAGGGTTATACCGCGTGCATGAGTTCACGAAGGTCGAGCTCTTCGCCTGGGCTGATGATTTCTCAGAAACAACTATAGACAACACCCCAGCAACGACGATGACTTCGTCCTCCCTCTTTGCCGAAATGCTCTCCATCCAAACCGAAATCCTCACCTCTCTCAACCTCCCCTGCCGCATTCTCGAAATGCCTACAGGTGACCTCGGCGCCAGCGCCGCCCGCAAGCAGGATATCGAGGCCCTCTTCCCCTCTCGTCTAAACAGCTCCGCCCCTGCAGCCACAGACCCTGTCTTCGACACGAACGGCTGGGGCGAACTAACGTCTGCATCCATTTGTACCGACTACCAAAGCCGTCGTCTGGGGACGCGTGTGCGCAGTGGTAGCACGATGCGCTTCCCGCATACCGTCAATGGCACGGCTGTTGCGGTGCCGCGGGTGCTGGCGGCGATTCTGGAGCATGGGTGGGATGAAGAGCGGGGGGTTGTGGTGGTGCCTGAAGTTCTGCGGAGTTGGATGGGTGGGCTGGAGACCATTGGTCGAAAGGCCTGAGGGTTATGGAATGAATGTGTATGATATGGTGATGATGTACAGTGTATTTGGCCAACTTGTATGGCGGTCAAAATGGATACAAAAAACATATATAAAAAGATTAATAGGTATGTTCCGCGCCTGAAATGCGTATCGATGCTGTGCTTAAACCAAGAAGCAAGACGGTGATATCGACAGGGCTGTGGTTTAAAAGGGGTATATGTATTAGGGGTGAACCAAACTTCCAATCCACTCTTGAATATCCAAAAGAAAACCAAAAACCTAACAACGCGGATGGGATATCGAAGATAGGAAAAAGAATAACATCAAATATAGTAAGCAACAAATTCATCAGCTGTCATGTCCATCATAATATCTCAGGCCATCAAATGCAAATGTAAATGAACAATATAAACATCACAGAAAATATTATAAGAGACCGTCTTTCCATTGGTCTACCCGCCATATGTCCGAACCTCAATCCCATTAACCGTTCGCCTACCAGCCATATATAAAGAGGGAAGGGGGTATAAACCAGTCCAGCCAGCTAATTAATCCCACGGAAAATCCGCCAGCTCGACCCTCGTACACGTCAAGTACGGCAGCAAGGCGCCATGCGAGGCCGGCTCGTCGTCGCCACCGCGTAGATCCAGCTCGAGGAAGTTGCGCATCAGCGGCTTGACGATCTCCCGCGCCAGGCGCTTGATCTCGTCCATCTTGCGCTCAAACCGCTTGAAGCTGTCGCGCGAGTACAGGGAAACCGACGACGGGTGCATTTTCAGGAAGCGCTTAAGCTCGTCGTGCGATAGGTAGGCTTGCGGGTTGGAGGAGCCCAGGAGGCGGTATGTGCGGCCGATGGAGAAGGAGGGGGCGCTGGTCGAGGTGCTGGTGGCGGTTGTGGCGGTCGTAGGCGTGGAGCGGCTGGCGCTGTTGCTGTTACTGTTACTGGTGCCCGTGCCGGCTGACGTGGTTCCGTTTGAACCGGCGCTGTGGATGTTACGGGCCGGTTGGGAGGAGGAAGAGTTCTTGAGAATGGGTGCGGGCGGTGGCGTGGTGTTTTCAACGAGAAATTGGCGGAACAGCGAGACGGCCAGCCAGTCAAGATAGGCATTATTGGGACTGACCCGTTCGCCACGCGACGTTGTCAGAGTCAAACGGAAGAGCTTGCCCTCCGTACGCGCAATCAGGTCTTCGAGATCATCCACCTTATCCTCGATCAAATCCAGCACCGCGTCCGGCAGCGGCGAGTACGAGTTCGGCCCCAGGTGCGGCAGGGCTGCGGGCCACTGGCCCACGACGTGGATGAGAGCTTCTGCGAAGATCACACGGCTGCGGGCGAGGTAGCCGAGCTTGAGGTAGCTGGGCGGGTACTTGGCAATCTGCTTGTACAGGCGCGAGGAGAAGCGGAGCAGGTGGTGGTCGACGCGCGGGCCCACGACGGGGAGGGCGTCATACATGTCGGCAACATGGAGCAACGACTTGCACTCGGCGTATGCGGAGGCGATATTGACGGCGTTTAGGGCGGGCGGGTGGTTATAGAAGATGCGGAAAAGGTTGTCGTAATCGCGCACGATCGGGTCGAGCGGCGCATCGTCAGCGGCGGCGGCGTTGGCCGTACTGGGCAGATGGAAGGCCGACTGGATGCCCGACAGATTCGCCATCGAACGAAAAAAGCCTTGTGAGGGCGGCGGCGGTTTGTTTCGGGCGGGCGGGCGGCGCGAGTCCCGGTCTCCAAAGACAGCGTTGCTGGCGGTGGGTGTCTGGGGAGGCAGAGGCCAAGTCAGAAGCTGTATCTCGTCTGATTTCGCGTAGAGAGGCACCGTCTGATGCGATAGTAATAGTACTCACCTTCTGGACGAGAATGGGTAGCTCGTCGTCCTCTCTGTTCTCCCAGTCCAGCTCATATCGCCAGCGATTCCGCCGGCCAGCGCGCAGCTGCGAGGCATTCTCCTCGCGGGCCACGCCCAGGCCACTGTCCGAATGGTCCCCCGCGGCCTCACTGCCGGCTGCGTCGCCTCGCTGGGCCGGCCATTCCTCGCTGGTGCCGGCGTCGAAGAAGCCGGAGTTCTGGGCGAGGATCAGGCGGTGCAGCAGGTACTTGCGCTCCTGGCTGGCGGCGCGGATCACGACCTCGACGTCGCCAGTGATCGAGAAGACGGGGAACTCGTTGCGCGGCTGGTCGCAGGAGCCGCCGTGGTGCGAGCGGCCACCGCTGAAGCGCCGACGGTGCTGGGCAGGCGGGTGGCGCGACGACGACACGGAGGTGGCAGCGCGGGCGGGCCGGGCGTCGGGGTGGGAGACCATGGGCAGCGAGGTCATGTTAGAGCGGACATGTCGGGAGGGAGGGCCAGAGAGGAGTGAGACGCGTCGAGAGGAACGGAGAGGGGTGGGAGGGTGGGAGGAGAGGTGTACAGAGGTGTAGACAGGGAGGAGGGTGAATGAAGGTGGGAAGACTGATGAGAGAACCGACTTGGCTGGCCGCTCAGCTCAACGTCGCCACAGCGGCAACCGCCCGGATCGCAACGGCAAAACGGCGTCAGGCGATCGCCAGCGCGAGCCCCAGAGCCTCCGGAAGAGCTTGGTTAATGGAACAGACCCTTCTGCCCGCTCCGTCTCTGCCCTGCGGCACAGCAGCATCCCCGACGCCGCCCACTCGCCAGCGACGCCCGACCGCTGCGGCGGCCCAGTGAGGCGTCCATCGTCGAGCACCCGCTGGATTCACGCCTAGCTGAGTATCACGGCCCTTGTCACTTTGGGAATGAAGCTCGCTGACTCCAATCACCGGAGCTGCGCCTCTAGCTGCAGGTGCTGTGGCCACACCAGACGTTGATGCCGCCCAATTCTGGCAACCCCATGAGGCATTCATTTCCGTTCACCCCAAACCTGCGCCGCGTTGCTTCCCGGTCCATCCCTTGCTCCGTGCGTGAAATGCAAAATGCGCCGTGTTCCAGAGTCTAGAGCTCGCTGTGCCGCCGGAATCACTGCGACGCATTACCAATCCGTTAGCTGTTAGGCGGCGTAGGCAGAAGAGAGGAGATACCGTTCAATCATGGCTGAAATCAGCCGCTAAATCACAGTGTATAACGGAGCCGAGAGGTTTTTTGTGATAATACACGAAGTATGATCTGAAATTCGCTAGATCTATATCCTCCGTTATTCCCAGCGCACTCTCCAAACCGCAACACACTGGCTCGGCTCTCCAGGCGACATTTCCCGCCCTTTCCCGGCTTTTAGGCCGTATTGAAGTCAAGGTTCTCCACTAGCAGCAAATCAAAGACCAGGTCACCAATATGTAGTACATTATTTATCATGCCAGATCCTCAGGGTCCACCTTGTTATCCTATTTCATATCCACTACTACTTCCAGTGCTCTGTGCTGATCAAGCATGATGAGGCCATCATACTCTTGGCCCGAGAGTCAAGCATTTTCAAAGTGACATATGTAAAGGAAGCCCCTCTAGGTTCTGCCACATATACAATGTTTCATAGATTGTCCAGTCGATATATTAATTCGCGTTCTTCGAACTATATATAAAATTCCAAAGTACCCACAGGTAGCAAGGGGTTCTAAGGCTGGAGATCTTCAAGAATGAATTTGAGACATCTTTTGAAAAATTCAACTTTTTCTTGCCTATAGGAGATTCCAGCAGTTAGAACCACTCAAAGGTCAAACAGACGACATCAAGGCTATGCCGGGTCCTACGAACAGGGCTCTGGGAGTTCGGCGTCGCGATTGACAGATGACAATGATGATGTCAGTACTGCACTTGAAACATAGAATGTTGTGTCGGCTATACGCAAGCACTGCTTTCATCCTATCTGATGCAGCAAAACTCTTGATGGAGTTTTTGATATACCTCGGATACCCAATGCGGCTCAGAAGCGCGCTATCACTGATTGGCCAACACCGTAAACGTTAAACTTTATACGGCCTACTAGTGGCCGCCGATGTGGGTTCTCTCCACTCCATCGAGCCGCACAGCCTATCGTGAAGTTTGGGACGGGAGGACTGCCAGTCTTTCAAAGCAGGCCCACAAGAGTGGGAAATCAACGGTTCTACCTTCACACCGGTAGCAGGCACGGGCTAAATTACTATGAATCAGGCAGGAGGACTCATTGGGCTATTATTCGCTATAGATTTTGGTCACTAAACCCCTCCATTTCTTTTTGTCTTTCTCTACTATTCGGAGGACGTGAAGGAGCTGACCAATGGGGGACTTCTGATGTTTACAGAACGCAGTATAGAGATACAAAAGAGCATATTATAATGCCGCTAGGGCAGTGAGACTCTTGGTTTGCCATTGATAGATGATGGGCATTCCATCGATTCATCCATGAGTATGTGTATGGAAATAGGCCGTAAAGCTTGTATACAAGAGGAGAGTGACTGGGTAGGTCCAAGCAACAGCAGTTCAACTTTACTCAGATGTTATAGTGGCACATGTTGGTGGGTTCCGGCACGAGATCTCGTACCCAGATGTAGGGAGCCGTTTTCCTCCAATGTTGCGTTATCGAGAAAATCTCTTAGCAGATGATGTCTGCTCGTCTCAGGCCCAAGCAAACATGGTATCTGCGAATGATACAATACGTGGCTGCCTGGCGGTGTGTTTAAGGCAGGCTTATAGGCTGAGGTAGAATGACGTTTTCATAGACGGTTAGGGGCCTAGAAAACAGCGGAAAGACCATTTTTCGAATGGCGACGACTGAATCGCTTCTTAGCCTTGACCGAATCTGAATCCGTGTGTCCTTGATGCTTAACGAGAGTGGATCTTCCCCCCGCAATTTCATCCGACCGTTCGAGTGTATTGGCATGGCTTGACATGTCCGGAGATAGGTCCTTGAAGTTCCCATCACCTGTAGGGTTCAAAGAGCCTAATTCCTTCGACCGCTCAATGGTCTCAAGCCACTCCTTTGTAGAAAGTGCGGAGGCGTTGGTATCAGAAGCTGATGATTTTGGTTCCTCGAACATGAAATGTTTGTCTCGCTGTAGCATAAAATGTAAGTCTCGTAATCAGAAAAGTGATGTAAGGGCAAGTAAACGTACTGTATCTACGATCCAAGACGAATGGCCTTTTGCATCTGCATTACTGCGATACTGGACATCAGGTTGTAGTAACGATAATTCCAGCTTAGCTTTTTTCTCGTCTCCGCCAGCGGGCGCCATAATAACACGACCGGCAGTAGTGACAATGACTAAGCGCTGGCGCTTCTTTGTTGTGGCGCCGCCGAAGAGCCGCGAAAGCTTTTTTGGGCCTTCATTCTCTCCGTTACCGCTCTTGCCTTGGGAACGATATGGCATCGATGACGTTGAGACAACTAAATTTCCCATTTTTAAAATTCGTTCGTTGGGCTGTGTCAAAACTGGAGACCATTCAATATCAAGTCGAGAAGGAGGGGGTAATTCGGTAATAATCCGCGGATACACCCTACTACTACTTTGGGGAGGCGCAGGAGGTGATTTCACATTAATATTTGGAGGAAAGCTGTCGTCGTTTGCATTTCCATTGAGCTTGATTGGTTCGGGTGGTGGTGGTATATATGGTGTCAAACGAGGTGGTTTCTGTCTCCAAAGGCCCCTGCCCCAGGTAATATCAGTAAAGAATTCGTGGTTTTTAATATGCTCTATCGGAAGCCTGCGGGTTGGATCAGGAATCAATAGTCTCTCTACCAAGTCCCGGGCCACAGGAGGGAAGCCTTGTGGAAATCCATAATCTAGGTTAACAATCTTTTGGAAGGTCAGGTATTCATTGGCTGCCTTGAAAGGAGGTTTGCCAGCCAATAGCTGATAGATGATACACCCAAATGCCCACAAATCACTTGCTTTGCAGGCATTTTTCTCGGTGAGAAGCTCGGGACTGACGTATTCTGCGGTGCCCACGAACGAGCTGGCTCTCTCTCGGGTACTTTGATTGGAACTGAGAATTCCACTAGAGCCTTCTTCAGGTCTCCGTGTCGTGTCGAGTATCTTTGCAGTACCAAAATCCGTTATTTTGACATGCATTTGGCTATCAAGGAGCACGTTCTCAGGCTTCAGGTCACGGTGTATAATCCCTCTTCGGTGCATGTAGTCAATTGCATCTAGAATCTCCGCGCCATAAAATCTCGTGCACTCTTCATCAAAGCTTCCAATTCGTTTAAGGAAATTTAAAAGCTCACCGCCAAGAGCTATATCCAGAACAAAGTAAAGAGAGTTTTCATCTTGAAAAGTGTAATACAAACGAACAATGCCGGGGTGCTCTGTCAGGCGATTTAAGGTGTCTTTCTCAATGTTGACGTATTTAACCTTCTTTTCCTTGATGATATGTCGTTTATCAAGAATTTTAATAGCATATTCTTTAAGTGTCTGACGATCTGTACCAGCCACTACGGTGCTATATGAACCTTCTCCAAGTGTTCGGCCAAATTGAAAGTCTCTGACGCCTTTTCGAACAGTTTTGGAAACGGGTTTGCCATTTGGGTCAATTTCTTGACGCACAGCAACGGCCGATCCACGCTCCTGCCAGTCTCCTGGGCCATGAACGGGACCTTGGGCGGAGTTGTACTGTGAACTTGAACGATGAGGGTAGGCATTGTTGTGTGCCGCTCTGGAGCTTCGTCGGGGTGGTAAGGCGGCGTTCTCTCCATAAAATGGAGAATGTTTATATGCCCTGTCAGTGTGGTTGTTGTCCCGAGTCGGTACTCCTGCCTGCAAGGCAGTCGATCCTCCACGCGAGTCATTTCTGGTGTGGAACTCTGAGGCAGACGATGCCGAAGACTCTGTTCGAATACGGTAGGATGGAGCTCTGCTGATCAGGTTTGCAGAACTACTAATAGCAGAAGGCGGTATGTAGTTTGAAAGGGGGCGCGTCGATACGGGTAGAGTATGATCAACTTGTTGCGAGAGACTGGGTTCAACTTGGGAGGTAGGGAGCTGAGATTGTTCGGGGAGCAGCATGGGCGCTGTATTCAAAGGTGGTGAGGATGGAATAGCCCTTGGAGTGGATACTATCAAGAGTGAAATGTTAGTGAAAGCTCCTTGAGTGAAAAGGCATTTCACAAACTAAATCTGCATACCGTCACTTTGTACCTGGAACCCTGGGGCTAATGGAGGTGTAAGAATGGACTGTTCATCTGTGCCACCACCAGAAGGAACGTTGTCAGGATTTGCAATGCGCAGGCCCCCAAAGGACTGTGAAAGGCTTAGATCTCCATCCATGGTAGTGCAAGGAAGGGATGCTCGGCACACTCAGGGGCACTGAACAAGGAGGTGAAATTGGTGAGCTGAAATGATTTGAAGATAGCAAGGTAGAGAGCGAGTAACCACAGGGCAGCTGGCAAATTCAGAAACTTGATAGGATTCACTGGCCAACGGCCTCAGTAGGCATGGTGAGGAGACAACGGGCGTCACTTGGCAAGGACTGTCAGTAGGAGCACAGGACGCCATCAACAATGCCAAAGGCCATAGGAGGTGAATGTATTCACGCTGCAGTGAGACAACAAGTAAGACTGGTTTCTGTCAGTGTCGTTGATTGGAAGAGCACTCAAGCTGGCAGGTGAAGAAAAGGCGAATATCGAGACAGTTGCGGCAGGGAATCTATGCGTGAAACAGGTGGCAGGCTGGGGAGACTCCTGGCGGGAGCGGCGCCGTACAGTCACTCACTCCAGTGCAGAGCGAGTCAGCACAGAGGGCATTCCTATCGGCGCGAGGTCATGGCCACTTTGCCGTTCAGGGCGGCGAGAGCAAGATGGATGAAATGAAGCGAAAGCCGTTCGCATGATCGCCAGCACAGGAAGTACCCTTTCTGCTTAGCTAAGCCGGCCGTTTGGCGTATCCAAACGGTACTGTACTGCCGCCGCAGCGGCGTTGGGCCGAGGGCAGCGGTACTGCATCGTATTGTAAATGGCTGACTCAGCAATCCGCCTTGTACCTGTACGCTCCTTCAGCCGTGCAACGACGCCGACGTCATGCCCACCGCCCAGCAGGATTCCATACGTCGACACCTATTAGCATAGCCATCACCCGGGTGCCAGTGGGAGGCCTGATCGCTCGCCTGTCTTAGATAACTGCCCCTGTGTTGCTATAAATACGGCCAGCTGAATCCAGGAAAAAACCTGCTCTACACGCGCCGGAAGCTCGTGATAACCCTAGTCCATAATCCCTTACCGTCGTCTTTACGGACTGAGAAAAAAAAATTAATTATATTGTGCCGGCAGAACTACGCTGGCTTGAATTCAAACGCTATCAGACTTACTGCCACTGCTTCGTTCCACCTAATAATACCCTCGAGGCCATATGGGTTCGTGGTCGCACGAAAATCAATATCGGAGCAAAATATACCCAGGCATATGGGTCACGACGAGATGCCTCTTACATGACCAACTAACATTATATGCTCAGCATCTGGATAATTTATTCTGACCTACTGCGGATGGAATGCTACTTGCAGGCTTTGGTCTACAGTTTTCATTTAGGCTGAATGCTGGCCTTCCACTCAAAGATACCCCAAGCGAGCAGGCGCAAGATGGAATATCATTTCTATTTCTACTAGATATGCATAATGTAGTGCAGGAACCTGTCCTTTTTTTCAGTATGGAAGAACCACCTATGTGCTGTGAACTAGGTAGTCAAAACATAACGCCTCTTTTACCGCCAATTTATAAGGCCCTAACCTTGCTACAATTTTTCTCTATAAGTGTAAATTCTGGCTTGAAAAGGGGTTTCATCTTCACCACAAGATCCCATACCTTTTCTTAGGCACCTTCCTTCTATCTTGTCTCGGCCATGCTAATTCACCTTTGTCCAAAACAATGTTTAGATCGTTTGCTCTTTCCAACGACATAAGCAAGCCTAATGATCATATGATATTTACAGTCCTGTTATTTTTTCCCCACAAAACAAACCACTTTGGATTGAATTTTCTCCCTCTGTTCTAGAAAATACCTCTTCTTGCAACTTTTATCATTTTATCTATACTGGAAAATGGCTTCTTGGATCAAAATAGACGACCTTCCCAATCCTCCGGTTTCTAACGAGCGGGCTCCCTTGCGAAACGATCCTGAGGCGCAAAAGATCCCACTCGATTCCCCGAGCACTCTCTCCTTCTGGTTACCTGTCGGAACTACTCAATATCAGGATACCCAGAAAGAGAAAGCCTCTTCAGCAACTTCTGGCGATGATGAAACTATGAATACAAATTATATTACTTCTAAGAATCGCAACACTTTTTCGGCCCGGTCTGTTTCACCCTATGCTGTTAGGGTACCGAAGGAGAGTGACTATCCTGGCTCCCTTGATATCCCTTCGACCGTGGGGAGCGTCAAAGGAAATATTATCAAAAAAGATATTTCTGAAATGGCACCCGGTACTGGAGCGCCAAAAGACGAGAAGCTTCTAAATTGAACATTGACATCTTCAACACGCTGCCTCGAATTTTGATTGTCTTTTGATATCGCAGAAGAGCTTCGAAGAGCATCTTATGGTATGTTAGCAATATTTTGAGATCCACGAACGGTTTTCTCTTGTTGGCTACCCCACCCAAGAGCTAATGGCGCTATTATCTTATAGAATATGTCGAAACACCAGAGAAGTTGAGATTGATACTGGACATTCTCGAAACATGGAATACTAATTCATGATGACTTTTACTGCACGCCGGCCGAAAATAGCAACTGGCTAGTTATCCTTGCTCTCTTTTATTCTCGAAATTAAATGTTTCGATGAGCACGCCTGCAGTCTTTCTATAGCCCTCATAGACGTCTAGTTGCTACACATCTTTGATATCAATAAACTGTCAATCTATACTCCATATTGGAACGGCTATTTCATAAACTCTATTCTTCGTAGCCCAGGAAAGTACTAAGTGCTAGACAGTGGCAAAGGAATACAAAGATGATCGTTGGATATTTGCCGCCCATTGCCGTCTTGTAGCACCGTCTTTCCAAGAAAATTTGCTGGACGCGCCTAGTTTACGGCTCGTTTAGTTACCGAATTGTTCATTAAGCGTACATATCGATAAGAATATTAAGCTCCTGTGAGGCTTTAGGTCCGCAGGGTGCTTGTAGCTGTATTTTAATTAAATCAGTTCTATATATCGGCGGTTACATTAATAGAAGAACCGAATATACTCCTCTTTTCCTTGTCATCATAAATAGATTCTTTTGTTTTTCCATAAAAACCGAAACTCAGCCTGGTTATCAGCAAACTTCTATATCCGAGACGCCGTTACCTTTTCTAGTTTCTAACTTCCAAAGTCTTAGTCTTTGCAAACGCCTGTGCACCATCGACAAGTCTACGCTCAGTATTGGCCCTGCCATTAACAAAATCAGGATAATTCAAGGTCAGCTCCGTGGCACCATTGACAATATTGTCCACAGCTTCGACACCCAACATAAACGAGTGATCTTGGTTGCCAACTTCATAACGCCAGCTACCAAAACGGCCTCGCGAGTGGATACCCATTTCTTGGAGGCGAGGGAGAAGTTTTGTGAGAACACCTTCACGCTCAAGCGTGGGAGTGGGATAACCATGATCAAAGCGGCGATGATATGTGGAGACGATCTCGTCCGTGGGCTTGAGCATCGAGGTGTTGACTAAGCCTTGAATACATTCGGCTAACAAGGCATCATGGTTAACTGGTTTTAGGGACGATTCAGACACTTCAAGCATGATCGACCAGTAAGGCCCCATCTGAGGGTTGGTGTTACCAGGTTTCCTGCCGTCGGCAAGTTGTTGGGTTGGTAGTGTGACAGAGGCGTCAGGCTGATTGTAAGGGGAGTAGTTGGAGAAAATGGTAGCACGGTAGAAGGGGCAGTTGTCTTCAGGAAAATAAAGCTGGAGATGCTGGTTAGTCTGGAGAGTTACGCGACCTATTAGCAGAGCGCAGATCATACCCAACATTTATCTCCAATTCTCTCAGGACGCTGGCCACGGATGCCAACGCCGATAACATGGGTAGACGAGTAGAAGAGACCTTTGCTTAGAGTGATCAATTCGTTATCACCAATTGTTTCAGCCAATGCGTCCACGGCCATGGTAGAGACAAGTCGCTGGTACTTCACGCGAGTTCCATCGCCCAACGTGACAACCTTGCTCTGGGCATCAACTTTTGTCACGGCGCCGTGTTTACCAAAACGTGTTTTCTCCTTTGGCAAGGTCTTTGCAACGGCAATCCAAATGCCACCAGTCCCATCACGTGCAGGGAAGCGAAATGTGGCATTTGGGCCCCAATTGCCAGCTGTTTTTTGCAGAATGACATTTGTAGTGACGGCCTTGAGATTTGGCGCAGCCACACGTTCACCCAGCCAGGCGCATTGCATCTACACAGTGAGTAAGTTCTCTGTGTATCTAATAAACACACTATCCAGGGGAGCCTACCTTGGTGGTTGGCACGGCCCAAACCTTGAAATTATAAGGACGCATGAATAGATCCGCGATACCGGTTCCCATCATGCGAACAATCCAATCGTCGAAGTCTTTTGGTTTCGTATTTGCCACTCTAGCTTCTAAGGCGGCGTCGATCATTCCATCAATACAACTAACCTGATCCTCCTTGGGAAGCATGGAAATATTGTTTTGGAACGGGTAGGGAACCCATTGCTCCTTGCAACGGACATATGAAATGCGCTGGTGAGTGTACCAATCGCTGTCGTTTGGAAGGGCCTCATCAATGCAGTCATCGAAATATTTATAGTGAGAAAAGATAACGTGACCGCCAACATCGTATAGCTAGGAGAGTATGCAGTCAGTCGGCGCACCGCGAACGTCGAAGGGTAGCGAGGGAAACGTACAAATCCTTCTGGGGTCACGTCAGTGGATGCCAAACCGCCAGGTGTCTCGTTGCAGTCCACAATCATCCAAGAAGGTCCATTCTAATTGGTAGCATTTTTCAGTTCGCATCCCAACCGAAGCGTAGGTGTTGCAACACCGCAGGTAACACGCACGAGTTGATTTAATCGCTTTGCCGCTCCCAAGCCAGTGGGACCAGCGCCAATTACCAGAACATCGACATTGCTGCAGGCGTCGCAAATCAGCTTGACGGACAATTAGATTTGGGAAGCTGGGGTTGGGGCAACATACAGATCTTGAGCAGCCATTCCAACGACTCTGGTGAGCAACAGGCACAAACAAGGAGCGAGAACAATAGATTTAGCGCAGGCAGGTGAAGAACAAAGAGACAATGCGATTTCAAAAGCGTGAGCAGGACCAGCAGCCAAAAAGGGGCGGTTGTCGTGAGATCGCGAGTTGTGGTGGGCGCCCGATCAAGCCATGGCGGGGTGCAGCCAGAGCAAACACGCCCAGACCAGGACTCGTAACAGTACTGTCAGGCCAAGCCCCCTATTGCTCCCCGGCCAGTCAGCACCTCGAAATCGCCAACCAGCCCTCGAGCCTCAGGTTTGCGTATTTTACAGTACAAGGCGCTCCTGCGGCTGCGAGTCTGTGGGGGCGGTCAGCGCCAACCATGGGCCCACGTTGGGGAAGCTTCGTATCGTCATTATTACGCACTGTACAGAGTACTCCGTACTCCGTACGGCGCAACATAGTTACAGTACCCAGCCTGTGACGTCTGATACACGACGACACGCAGCACGCTCTCAGACCAGCAGCCATCAGGATCACGCCCGATATCGATCCCTCGCGGGCCTCTGCGACCAGGTTGCGTCAGCGCCACAGGCTCTCCCGGCCGCCTTGGAGCAAGATTCAAGGATTGCGGCTGCTTCCGCCCGCGGTTTGCATACAGTCGATCCCACCAATGAAACACACGCCTTCGCTACGCTGTCAGGCCAGGCCCTCCCCATCGTTCCCAGCAACACATTATTTCGCCCTCGCCAGCCATCGTCCGCCCGACTCGCCCGTGTCTAGCTTTCTCTACTCCGTACTTCGTTTCTCGACCCTCGCTTCTTTCCCTCTGTTGTTCTTTGGTTTTTACTTTTTATTTTTTAATTTTTTTTCGTTCTGACACCCGTGTCATTTCCCACCCCCCTGGCTTCCCGCGCTTTTGGACGGAGCAACTTGCTTCGATCTCAGCCGTTCGACTTTCAGCGGTTTCTTTCTGATCAAGCCCAAGCCTTCTCAACCACCATCGCCATGACCGCTGAGCAGGAGAAATCTAGAAAGTCCGGAGAGGGCAGATCGTCGTCCCCTGCTGTTGTGGACGATGCTCCTGTACTCCCAACCGTCAATCCAGCCGCCCCCAAGACCGAACCGCCGAAATCTTCGCTCCATCCGGCCTTCTATGTCGTGTATGGGGTCTCCCCGCCCTTCCCATACCAATTGGCATGCCTGCTAATATGTTCATTCGCCCTCTAGAGCATGGATTTTCTTTAGTTCCAGCGTGATTCTCTTCAACAAAGACCTCCTGGACCAGAAACAGAACAAATTCCGTAAGTCATCGTCCGTCCGCTCTCGAAGCTACCGCTCACAACAAATATACTAACCGGTGGCTCAATTGCCTAGCATTCCGTATGTCAGCTCTTTTTGCTTTAATCCCACCCCTCGCCTACTCATTGTTCTTCACTCTGACTCGTCCGTTAAAGCAATCACCCTTACAACATGGCATCTGGGGTTTGCGGCTTTTATGACCCAAGTTCTGGCCCGTACAACTACCTTACTAGATGGCCGGAAGAAAGTGAAGATGACGGGCCGCGTCTATCTACGTGCTATTGTGCCCATTGGCTTTTTCTTCAGTTTGAGCTTGATTGGCGGAAATAAGGCATATCTCTACTTAAGCGTAGCCTTTATCCAGATGCTCAAGGTGCGCTTCTCCCAGGAACTATTTATTTGTCTCCGCTGACCGCCCACCAGGCCACTACCCCTGTCGCCGTGCTTCTCTGCACCTGGTCTCTTGGAATGGCCCCGCCGAATCTGAAAGTTCTTTTCAATGTTTCGTTCATTGTCATCGGCGTTATCATCGCATCTTTCGGCGAAATTCACTTTGTTCTCATCGGATTCTTATTCCAAATCGCCGGTATCGTGTTCGAAGCCACCCGACTTGTCATGGTGCAGCGACTATTGAGCTCTGCCGAATTCAAGATGGACCCATTGGTCTCGCTGTACTACTTTGCTCCAGTCTGCGCTGTGATGAACTTCATCGTTGCGATCTTTGTGGAATTCCCAGACTTGACTCTTGCACATTTCCAAAAAGCCGGCTACATTACCCTTCTTGCCAATGCCATTGTGGCTTTCCTCTTGAATGTTTCGGTTGTATTTTTGGTATGCCATCTTACTCTGCATTTTGTCTACCCCAGGATACTAACTTCCATCGCTCGTAGATCGGAAAAACGTCTTCCCTCGTCCTTACTCTTTGTGGTGTTCTTAAAGACATTCTCCTGGTTACCATTTCTGCCTTCTGGTGGAATACTCCAGTAACGCCGTTACAGCTCTTCGGATACACTATTGCGATTGGCGGTCTCCTCTACTATAAACTGGGCACAGATAAGTTGAAGGAGTATGCCGACCAGGCCAACAGATCGTGGGCCGAGTACGGTGCTACTAACCCGATCAAACGCCGGGTTATTGTTTTTGGAGCTGCTACGGTTCTCATTCTTTTCTTTTTGGTCCAAGTTGGAGGACCTTATACGCCAAGCAACCTCAAAGGGGTTGTTGGCGGCACCGCCTAAGTCCTATGTCAGGACATTTTCTTTCTAGCCTCCTATCTTTCTCAATGCTTCGACCGAAGGGCCTAAGATTAAGATATATTCTAGTTTCTACCGCTGTATGGATCGTTCCGGCTTCGCACAATAATCGCCTTGTCCGATCGATCAAGTGGCGCCATTTGATCCGGCTGTGACTACCTGAGAAGGTTGACGTCCGCTTTATGTTTTAATAATGCTATGAGCTATAGAAGTGTTTTTTTTTCTTCAAAATAGCGTCTCGCCATCGGGGCCTCGGGTTTTGGTTTTTTTTCCTTCTTCTTTCTTTGATGATGTACGCCTAATAATACTGTTGGTGCTGTTTACCCTTCGCAATGCCATAGACTAGGTCCGACTCGTCCTATTCTCTCGCCGCAGGCGCGGCCTGCTCCTTCAGGAATCACCGCATCATTGGATCCCGTGCCCAGCCTTCTACCCGCCGCAACGGGCCTAGCGCCGTTTTGGGCTACTTGGCGCTTAGCTCAGCCGGCACCAGTTCGGCCGAGCCGGCACTGCACGCTGATTGGCCACTGGCAAAGTTCGCCGAGCCCCACTCGCAGATGGCTGGACAGGGCTGTTGCGGTACCTGAAGGTACTCTCTTTTGCCGGATGATGTTGCGGCCGATCAGGTACTCGGCGGTACCCCAGTCTGCAGATCAAGTTCCGCATACGGCCTAGCTCCGGCCTTCCCCATCGTCTCCTCTTCTTTCTCGCTCTTCTTCCTCTCTTCCTCCTCTTCCTTTCTTCTTCTCTCTCCCTGCCAGCCTCACTTCACCTCATTTTATCCTCCCTCTAGCGTCTCTTCTCTCCACTGACGCCGTCGACAGCCTTATAAAAGCATATATCTTCTTCAATCGGCGTCTATTCCGGGTTCTTCTCCATCTACCGGCACTTTTCAGCCGCGAGACCTCACCGTCGGCACCCAATTCTACTGCTGTCGCCTGCCTGTCCATCAAGGCCACACCTTGTCGCCTCTATTATATATATTTGCTTGTTCTACTTAGGTTGTTTTCTTCTTCTCTTCTAACTGATACTCAAAAAAGCTTTTGACCTTCCAGATACCGCTTCGTACTATAGCTCAGCATGTGCCGATTGCTCTTCAGCAACTACTCCGACGGCCCCACGATGGTACTATCTCCTCCATATATCCATAACCGCGACTCGATCTTAAATGGCAACTGCATCGATTTCCCCTCCCGCCATCCTGCATTTCCTAACCCGGATCCCGTTCCCGCTCCTGTCAATGGTTTCGCCCCGGGACCGCCCAAGCCTTCAATCACCCGCTACGGCCCTTCATTGTCGAGCTCATCATCAACGCCCCTGATCGCGAATCCATCTCGAAAGCGATCTCGTGCTGAGTTCCACGCATCCGAGGATGAAGACTCTTCAAAAACCACCGTACAACAACCATCACCGGCAAATGCTCCGATCCTTGAAGCGCCTATATATGGCGAAGGCATGACGCTCTTGAACCCGCGGACTGGCTTAGCTATTTCTGCTGAAAGCCAAACTGGAACCTGGCTTGAAGAGAAGGCCGGCTCCCAAGCTTCTCTCCCTGCTATAGCCTCAGGCTCGGCGCAGCCGGATCTTCCCAGTCGCAAGTCTCAGCGCCTCGACGCCTCTGCGTCCAGATGGGACGATGTTACTACTGCCGCTATTCAGCACAAGCTCCAAAATTCGACACATGACGACACCTTCCGTGGTATTAACGGCCTCACGTCTACTTCGACTTCTTCCTCCTTCAACCCACAGAACCCATTGATCGACGACGCAACTCATCTTCTAGGTATTAGCTGGCAGAGAGTCAACTCTGAGGATCAGGACATTGCAGCTGCTGTCCGTGGCTGGGAAAAGTTCATCAACAATCATTTTTCATGCTTCCTTGAAAATGCCCATATTCTGCTTAAGCACCGCGGATTTAATGCGTACCTCGTTACTGCCGATCCTATTGGAAATGATCAGACCACAGTCTTTAATTCCCCTATGAATGGTTTCACTAGTCACCTTCGTCAACCTTACTTCTACCTTTTCAATGAAGATCTTATGGAAGGCCAGCTTGTCGGTAAGGGCTGGGATGCCTGCCTCAATAATTTGAGATCTTCTCCAATCATCTTCGAAGCGGGCTCCGAAGTTATGAAAGCTGTGCAACGCACTCCAGAACGGTTGTTTGAAGACAAAGGAATACCGAACGGAATCATCGCCATGAACGGAAACGGAATCCACGCGGGAAATGCAGGAATGGATATGGGAATGGACATCGATGTCTAAACTTCAGATCTCAAAACGACGAATCTAGCGCATACGCCGAAAGGCCCGAAACTCACCATTAAAAAACGCTTCTGGTTCTATCTGCGCCGCTATCTACAGTCAGTTAGACATATATATTTAGGTTTGCGTTTTTCTATTTTTCAAATCATCTTATACTTAGTCATCTATCTACAGAGTAACAAATGCCATTTGATTAGGATTTTAACACTTCTCTCAATGTATTGGTGAAGCTTTTTTTTGTAGGTCCGGTTCAGCTCTATTTCATAGGGCAGAGGACTCAAGCTTCTGATTTACACTTATCATTTGTTGCCGGTACAACGTATGGTCTCAACAATTCCTCACTCTGATCAAGGGGAAGCTGTGAATAAGCTCCGGAGAAGGATGGCGAGGAAAGATAGTTATCTAAACCGGCACCACAAAATGGCGTTGTCAAATCTCGAGAAAACTGATGGTAATAGTGAATTTGATTAGATTTATGTACATACTATACGTGGCGAAATTTTCATTGTCAGATCTTCTCTATGTTTGTCTAAAATATGTAAGTTCCACCTCCAGGTCCACCGATGATAACATCAAAACAACCGCTCACATCCCACTGCAATGCAACCGACCGGGTCTAGCTAAAAGAACGCCGTAAAGCAAATAAGTGTTCTGTCACGCTATTGAAAAACAGAATATATAAAAAAGGAACGGAGAGAGACATGGAGATAGTTAGTAATCATCGCCATAGCCACCATCACTCCCCTCGTCATAATAATTCCCTGCAAACGCATCATCAACACGATCATCCTCCTCCTCCTCATCGTCATCTTCCTCTTCATCATAGTCTTCTTCATCACCCAGTTTATGCTGGGTGGGGGGCGCTGTCTCGGGTAGGTATCCCAGAATCTCCTCGTTAGGGTTTGTCGGTTGCTCCGGTTCTGGCTCGGGTGCGGCTGGTACAATCTTTGTTGAGGGCGGTGTGGGCAGTGGAGCTCTGCCCGGCTCGGGAGTAGCGCTCATCCTGGGCGGTACAGCAACAGCTGGCGAGGATGTTTGCCTGGCTTTAACCGCTCTGGAGCGTGTCGTCGATGGCCTGAAGCCACCCAGGAAAGCCGAACCGCGTTCCGATATAACGCTCGAGCTTCGAATACTCCGGGAAATACTCACGCTGCGGCTGCGGGTGCGACTGCGGCTTCGAGCACTTTCGCTCTCGCTTTCCTTCCGCTTGATCTCGGTATCGTCTTCGTATAGTTTTTCAAGAAGTGAGTAGTTGATCTTTTTGCTGAAGCCACGACGCTCAAGCATAAGCCGGGTGGCTTCTGCAGGTGTAGAAGCACGCGAGGACGTTCGTTCACCATCAGGCCCTTCGCCGGACAAATATGTGACGTCTCCCATCCGGCCCTTTCGCCGTTTTCTCGGTTTATGACTTGAGCCCGCCGCAGATGGATCTGCTTCTGCGAGTGCGCGTTTAAGAGCTTTGGTTTGTTGATCACGAAGGTAATCTTTATTTTCGTGGACCCAAATACGTTCCTTGATTTCTACTTCCTCAGGAGAAAGGAGACAGTATCGCACTTCGGGGTCAGAGTCAAACTCCATGGGATCAATTTCTTCGGTGTCTGGAACAGGTTTGGTTGGGGAGTTGGCCGGGGAATTTTCTGGGACTCGTCCATTTGTCTTTGGCACTTCTGCACTAGCAACTAAAGAAGAACCGGAAGAGAGAAGTTCAGTCATTTCACTTTCTAGAGCAGACTCGGATGCTAGTTCAGCAGCTGTGGGTTCAGGAAGTAGAGGTGCATTGCTAGTTTTACGTCGTCCAGCCTTGGCCGTATCACTAGAAACGGTATTGGGATCCGATGATAGCTCGCTACCCTCAGTTTCAGGGCTGAGAATCGTAGGATCGACAGGAATATCGGGTATGGCAAATCCATCGGCGTCAACGCGACGAGGTCGTTCAGGGGGTGGTGTCTGGCTAGGCTCGTCATCATCCTCAATCTCAGCCGCAGTCTCCGGGGCCTTGCGCTTTTTCCCGGTGCGAGCCCTTTTTGGGTCTTTCGAATGAGAGAACGAAGGGGGATCGTGGGAGGTCTCGAGATCAACGGAACGGAACTGATCAACAGTTAAGTCTCCGCTGTCGGTCGCTTTAAATTCGTTCAATCGTTGATTAATCGTCAGCTCTGTGACTTTGACGACATAAACCACTTCTCGAACGGTACGGCGGAAATTATTCATGCGAGCAGCTAGAATTAGAGCGGCGCCACAAATCCCAGCTGGGCGTCGTCCAGTAATCATCCAATCACGGCTCATTCTTTGCACGATGCGAACAGCTTCACTTGCCACCTGCATCATTGACGGGCCAAATTCGAGCTGCTTTGCAAATCGGTAAATTAAGCTTTCCGGGTCTATTGGGTTCATGATAAAGATATTCCCCCCAATGCGGAGTTCGTCCAGGAGAGCTTTGTAAGTACGGCCAAGCTTGAAGACGTTGATCTGTATACTAGTCAGGTCTGAATCCAGTTGTGTAGTAAAAATGAGCCATACCATAAGAACATCAGCAAAGTCTATCAGCATGACTGTATTTCCATCTTGTCTTCTGCATGCAACGTATAAGCAAATAGCTGCGACGGTTTTGGTCCGTCGTCCCTGGATGAAATTCAACCCTACAGCTAACTTGAATATTTGCCCTGCGGCTTTGGACGCACTTTCGGGAATATGGAGGGCTCGGGATAGTTGCGCGATATATCGGTTTCCTGAGGTTCAGGTCAGTCAATCCTTCAAAAAGAGATCCGGAACGGGTCGGAATACCATTTTGTTCTGTGATTTCTCTACTTTCTATACCTCCTCCTCTTTGAAAACCAGGTCCTGTGCTCCGAACGTGGCTTTGGTCTGCTGCAATATAGGTACCTTGAACGATTGCAGCGCCCGAGGAAGACTCTCCGAAAGTGATCTCGGAAACGATATTTGCCTCGCTGATGACAGTACCACAGCCAGAGCATACCCTTTGTCCATCATCTTCGACAATATTGGGCGCCGGGCACCCGGGGTTCGGACAAGTCTTGGTCTTCGGGTGTGTGGTTGGTTTAGCCTGCGGGCGACGCAAAGGGGATGGATTCTTCAGGCTAGCAAGGCGTTCGACGGGGCGGGCCGCCCTAGACGGGGGCGGAAGACGAGTAGGTCGTATACTCGACATGAAGAGTGGCTATCTGAATACCCTGTGCACAACCATCGGGAGATGCATTAGCCTACGTACGGAGTCGCGAGAGGGGACTGTTACACAGGGATCAATGACGGCGCCATGCGTCACAGAGGGAGGACGGACAATATTTTTTCAAGGGACCAGTATCATCGCTCTACCGGGTTCGGTATCGATATAGACAGCATATGCATACAGCAAGTAAATGACGACGAGGTGATCGAAAAAAGCGAAGCGGGATCGATTGAAAAGCGAGAATGCGCGAGGATGGCGGCGGGGCTGCAGCGATGGCGGCGGCGGCTCGACGGTCGGATGGCGCAGCGGTTTGCAGTGTGCGGTCACGTGCATGCCCGGAAAGATGCTGGCGCTAGTCCTGTCTGGGCAGCGCGGTGGCAAGGCGCGCGAGAGTTCGAATCGCGCGCGAACCCGGATTTGCACAAATCCAGCGCCCGCGACATCCAGGATATCGACGAACGCGACGCAGCATTGATAGCAAAAACAGCACTTCGGTAGCAGTTGGTCCCCGCCATGTTCTGTGCCATTATCACGCACGAGCAGTATGCTGGCTAGTTAGGTGGGCGAGCATGGCTCACTTGCAATGTCTTCGATTTCTCCTCTCGCATCCAGCTGGCCAGACATGGCTCTAGACGCGATGCTTGATGCACCCTAGCTCTTCCGGCGGCTAGAAGCGACAGCCTTTCAGGCGGCCTATCGGCAGCTGCCGTGATTCATAGTAGCCGCCGGATGGTCGTGTGTGGCTTCGAAATGGCGACTCTCGCCTCCCCGCTTGGCTATTTGCAGCAAAGCGGAGCATAAGAGCGAGGCGACGAGGCCAATCGACCCTCTCTTCTCTTTGCCGTTCTGTCTTTCGCGAAGTTTCTTGAGCGTTCGTTTGCTGTGGTGGTTTCCACCAGAGAGCCCTGCGGCTTTTGTGCGTGCTTCGTCAGTTAACTACACACCAATCGGATGCTAAGCAGCGGCAGCACAAGTCGCGCAAATCGCCACCTGTGTCCTGCGGGATAGACTGCTATGGATGTTGGTTTATATATCTCGTCGTGTTCTGCAATCATTCTGTATTTCGAGAACTGAGTCCCCGCTGTTTCGGTGTGGTTGTACGAGAGTCAGGCTTGCATCCTACAACTAGCCATACTGCCCTTGTACCCCCTGGACGCCCTGAGATCTTTTTTGATATTAGCACCCCCCCTTTATATTTGACGTCAGTTCAGCATTCTTGTGGCCCTGTATCCAACTATTGAGTCTTCGGAGCGTGCCACAGCATACTTCACCTGCCGACCTGGCCCGCGGCTCGCTGAAAAACAAGCAGCTGCTTCCATTCTAACTGCCATCATGTCGGAAAAAGCGACAGCGACTTCCCGGCCATGCTCTTCTGGGCGTACAGCGCCTCCTTCTGGGACCAATGGTAAGGCCAAATTACAGACGACTATCCTGCTTGTGAACAATATTCACTGCGCATCCTGTGTGGCATATGCCAAAGAAGTGATATATCACTTGCCCCATATCATATGTATTGATATTTCGATTCTCAAACACGAGGTTCATGTCTCACACACGCCTGAGCTGCCAGTATCGGATCTGGTGAGCGCCTTAACAGACGCCGCTTTCGAAGTATTTCATGCCTCTACTCAGGATGCGTCTGGTATCAGGACTGGTGATATGGCGCTCGACATTTCGCCCTGGAATACAGGCTCCTGGTTGCGTCCATCTTCCAGGGCTTCAGTCAGCACGATGGAAACGCGCGCCCGAGATAGAAAAAGGCGGCATATAGCAAACTGTGAGGCTTGCAGGCTAGAGGTTGAGAAGCCCAGCTCGTCGACCGAAAAGCCATTGTTGCTCGGATTAGAACAGCAAAAACAGGAGGTAAATATTTTGATAAACCCTCTCACTTTCAACAAGCCGCTAACTCACTGGATTCCCCCAGACTTTCGAACCTTCTGTAGAGTCTCTTTCGGCTACCACCAAAGAGATTCTGCCCTGGCCCGCTGCAGACCCTCGGCGCGATTGCCCAGAGTTTGCTGCCCAAATTAGCATTAACGGGATGAGCTGCGCATCTTGTGTTAACACAGTAACGGAACAGCTGAAAGAGTTGGATTTCGTCAAATCTGTTACCGTCAACCTCCTCACCCATAGTGCCACTGTGACTTTCTACGGGTCACAGAGCAACGCCGACAAGCTCGCAGAGCGGATAGAAGAAATTGGGTACGGAGCCAGCGTTGAAGAAGTGATCCTTAACCCACAACAACAAGACCGCTATGTGGCACGTTTGAGCATCTCTGGAATGACTTGTGGCTCCTGCGTGGGAACGATCACAAGTGGTCTTAAAGCCCTACCCTTTGTAAGTGACGCAACAGTTGACCTACTGGGTCATGCTGGGAGGATTGAATTCAATGGGAAATTGAATATTCAGCAAATTGTCGACCACATCAAAGACCTTGGATATACTACCACCATCATTGACTGCCAGCCGCTAACTATCGCCAACAATGAAGAAAGTGGCCCGGCTACGCGAACTCTAGGCGTTAGGGTAGATGGGATGTTTTGTCATCACTGTCCGCAAACTGTTTTGGATGCTCTAGAAGGAATGGTAGAGGGAAATATTCAGATCAAGGATAAGATTACGATTCAACGACCTATTGTCACAATTCAGTACACTCCGGATTCGCCGAGAATGACCATTCGCAACGTCATAGCCGCCATTGAAGCCTCCAATAACACTTTTAAAGCCACAATCTATCATCCACCCTCTATCGAAGACCGGTCTCGTGCAATGCAAAGAAAGGAGCAGTACCGCCTATTGCTGCGGCTTTTGTTCACCTTTTTTGTTGCAATACCAACCTTTTTAATCGGAGTTGTTTGGATGGCTATTGTTCCAAAATCGAACCCAATTCGAAGGTATCTGGAGGAGCCGACATGGTCTGGCTCTGCATCACGTTTAGAGTGGGCTTTGCTCATCATAACTACCCCTGTGATGTTTTTCGGCACAGATGTTTTCCATATTCGTGCTTTCAAGGAGATACGGGCCCTATGGAGAAGGAACAGCCGGGTTCCTATCCTTCGGCGCTTCTACCGGTTTGGAAGCATGAACATGCTGATCTCTGCGGGAACGTCTGTGGCGTACATGGCTTCTCTAGCAGTCTTGATTATGAACGCGAAAAATAAGAAGCACGAGGCTGGCCATACATCTACCTACTTTGACACAGTAGTCTTCTTAACTTTGTTCATCTTGGCGGGTAGAGTTCTGGAGGGGTATAGCAAAGCTAAGACTGGAGATGCTGTTGCTATGCTAGGCAATTTGCGGCCTTCCGAGGCACTTCTCGTGGTGGAATCGCCTTCTGTTGGTGAGGACCATGATGCTACATTAACTGTACAGCGTGTATCTGTTGACCTCCTTGAGCTCAATGATACAGTTAATGTTCCACATGGTGCCTCTCCGCCTGCTGATGGCATAGTTATTGGTACAGAGACATACAAATTTGACGAGAGCTCCTTGACAGGAGAGTCCATGCCTGTGCAGAAAGTCAAGGGTGATAAAGTCTACTCTGGCTCTGTGAACGTCGGGCAGCCTGTGTCAATTCGAATAACAGATCTCGGCAGCACATCTATGCTAGATCAAATCGTGGCAGTCGTTCGGGAAGGTCAAGCTAAAAGAGCACCTGTTGAGAGGGTGGCCGATGTGATGACTGGCTATTTCGTTCCTCTCATTACTCTTATCGCCATTCTTACTTTTGTCACCTGGGTTGGTCTAGGTGTGTCTGGCAGACTCCCTCCAAGTTACCTCGACACCAACCAAGGAGGATGGGCCTTTTGGGCCTTGCAGTTTGCTATCGCCGTCTTTGTTGTTGCTTGTCCGTGTGGCCTCGCACTGGCCGCTCCAACTGCTTTGTTTGTCGGCGGTGGCCTTGCTGCGAAGCGTGGCATTTTGGTGCGAGGTGGCGGGGAGGCCTTTCAAGAGGCAAGTCGGTTGAATGCGATTGTATTTGACAAAACTGGCACTTTGACAGAAGGTGGCACTCTGAAGGTGGCCGAACATGAAGTTCTCGTTAAGAGCCAAAAGTTGGAAGAGGTGGCCTGGGCGGTTGCCAAATCCTTGGAGGAGAGCAGTACTCACCCTATTGCTCGGGCTATAGCTGATTTTTGCAATGACCGTTCTTCAGCTTCTATTCTGTCATCTTCTATCACTGAAATTGGTGGCCAAGGCATGAAGGGAATTTTCAGCGTCTCTACAAAGGACTGCCAGGGTGTCTTTACGGAATATGAAGCTGCAATTGGCAATCAACGGCTTCTGGACTCACTCGATATGACGGATGACGATCCGTACTACTTGAATAATATTCTCTCCAAATACCAATCCGCTGGACGCTCTACGGCAATCCTTTCTATCCGAAGAGTCTCAGACATGGAAAAATTTGTTCCTCTTATAATATTCGCCACTGCTGATCCTATTCGTGCGGAAGCTATTGACGTTATCTCCCAGCTTAGGGCCAATAACATAGATGTGTACATGTGCACTGGCGACAACACTGTCACAGCCCGCGCTGTAGCATCCTCTCTTGGCATCCCCATCACTCACGTCGTGTCCAATGTCCTACCTACTCAAAAGGCAGAATATATCAGCAGAATCAAACAAAATACCCTTCTGAACCAGCCAAATACTGTTCCCAAGGGCCAAAAGAGCATCGTGGGCTTTGTTGGTGATGGCACAAACGACTCTCCTGCTCTCGCCGCCGCAGATGTCAGCATCGCTATGGCATCTGGTTCAGATGTCGCCGTCAATTCTGCGGGGTTCATCTTGCTGAACTCTGACTTGAGAACTATTCTCGAACTTTGTACCCTCAGTCGACGAGTCTTCAGGCGTGTAAAATGGAACTTTATGTGGGCTGCTGTGTATAACGTTTGCCTTATCCCTGTTGCTGCAGGCGTATTTTATCCCATTGTTACTGGCAAGACGACTGGCCCGCATGGAATGATTATGGATACCCATTGGCGCCTAGACCCCGTGTGGGCGGCGCTAGCAATGGCTCTCAGCAGCTTGTCCGTTGTGATGAGCAGTCTGGCACTGAAATTGGAGTGGAAGGTATTTAGGCAGTGGGCTGTCAAGACGATGGGATTGAAACGTTAAATGGACTGTGGCATCTTTAATTTTTTAGGGCTCTTGATTTTTATTTATATTGAAATGTTTCCATTTCAGGCTATGACATAAAGTGGACGTATTAATAAATGACAAGTACTACATGAGTGATTTGAAACACGATATTAAGTCGCTGATATTCAGATAAGCAAAATACTTCTATTCTATGATATCAGTGTGTATAGATTGGCAACATAAACGCTCTGATAGTTTTCTGCCCATGTAATATCGTAGTCACGCATGTGTCATTCATTATCGGAAAATTGAGGAGAGTCAAGAGAGCTATATCCTCCCCAAACCTCCGCAATCTTTTTACTTAATGCCTTCCCAACCTTCTTGTTCCCCACCAAATGCCCCATCTTTGAAAATACTAGGTCATCCATCAATCGTTTTCCATGCTCATCTCTAGAATCTACTGCCTCAAAGGCTTGAACGAATTCCTTAGGGGTGGGCCACAGGCGTTGAATCTCCAGGGCTTTCTCGGCACTTACGCCACGTACGCACATGAGCATTTTAAGAAAGATATCGCGGAGAGTTAGCATGTCTGATTTTGAGGAGAAGGCGGAGAACGTAGGGAATGAGATTGCAAAAGTTGTCGAGGCATGTGAGGGGTGACAGATCTTGTCGTCAGCACGAAGTTTGCCCAGAAGATCAAGGTACGATGTGAGAGAGGTCAAGGATTGGGTGGGGATGAGAGAAAGTGACATGTGTTTGATGTTTGGGGGTACATCGGTTGTTCCCGGATCAGCAAACATGTTTCTTAGCAATGAGGTCATTCGAGCAAGATATCGAATGGTGTCGTCTAAATTGCGAGTCTTTTTGACAAAGTGTCCGTTGACAACCTGGGTTGACGTTATTGCCGATGCTACGGCTTCTTGGCTGCGTGCTGCATTTGCATTTGATAGATCAGCGCATCCAAATTCTTCAACTAGATATATGACATTTTTAACCCCTGATCGGCGAAGGCGGTATTTCTGTTCATGAAACCGACTATCCTTGATACTTCCAATAAGATCGTCGAGCCGTTTGCGCTCCAATATCCAATCCAACATTAGCTCGTCTCCCTCTTCACCATGTCTAGCTAGAAGATTTGGATCTTTGCATTTCGCTACCCATAATGCGTCCCCTACCTCAAGGGAGCGGACAATGGGCGACACTCCCCTTCGAATAAGCTCATTGGAGATATAATCTCTATCTGTTTTTGTGCGGACTTCTCGAACATCTAGAACAAGTTCAATAGTGAAGTCACTTGGTGAAAGTGAAATTGGAGTAGCAGGCGTAGATGGTTGTATCGTTCTACCAAAATCTCGAGAAACAGTAGGTGTAGTTGAGCTTCGCTGCATACCAACAGACTCATACAAAGTATCATTATCATCATCCAAACTCAAAAGAGTATTAGCAGTTTGTGTCGGGATTCCAGATTGAGATCCCCGAATTGAATTCTGTGAGGCACTTGGGGCCTCACTATCAAATCTGTGACCACCATCGCCAGCTGACGACAATCCGGCAGTATTCTTAATACTCGTTGCAGTTTCCCAACCCTGTTCTGTAAGAAGATATCTCTTTGGGCGTCCACGCTCATAAACAAGATCCTTCTGCACGAGAGTCTTCATGGAATTCCAGGCAGTATAATATTTAGATGGGTCAGGCGGAGCTGTAAACGACGCATCGCAGTGGGGTTGTGCAGCTTCAATTAGCATAGCCTTCGATGCTCCATTAGGCGAATGCTCCTCAATTGACGCAAGGCCAAGCAGCAATGCGTAAGGGCCAGAGCGAAGAGCTGGTATATAAGTCTTTGGCTTTCGCGCTCGTTTTGCTGGTGCTGGCACCGTTTCCATTTCTGTCTGGGTCATCGCTTTTTCTAATTCTTTTCTCTTCTTTGATCTGAGTGCTAGCTCATATCTCGAGTAAGAAAAAGCGCAAAGCACATTACTGGGATACCCTGTACATACCTGCATGTGGGAGTCGAGGCATAGGGAGGCCATGCTCTTCACAATAGTCTCGCATATTCTCTGTTAGCCGTTCACATAACTTAGGGCCAAGGCCATTCAATTGTTGAGCCTCCGAGGGGTGTTGGAAGGGCAGGGGGCACGCTTTCATGGAGTCGTATGCCCTTTTGTAGCTACCAAAGACGTCAGCCCTAATGTATAGACCGTTACGTAGCACTTACACAGAAACCCCTTTTGAATTGCGCTCTCGAGCTTCATCCAACCATTCCTTGATCCATTGAAGTAGGAGGGGATTGGCGCAGGTGCTGTCCTCCATTTTCTAGGTAGGATGTCCAGGTAGCCAAGCCATCCAACAATAAATCGTCAGGCCTGTATTCCAAAGTAGCGAGTAGGTATCCAAAAGGCAGGTTTCTTTCGTGGACCTGTCTGTCGCGTTAGAGTAGTCTAGTTATTTGTTTGAGGGATGTTCAACACAAAACAAACCAGGCAAACACGAGGCAATACGTCTCGGCAGGTCGCGCATTCACGTGAACTTAATGGATGTTCCAACTACGGAGTACAGAGTAGCTGGTATCAGATTTACGTACGGCGCGGCTTGGAGAACGAGGAGAAAAGCCCGGGGCTTCAGGAATCAAGCTTATCCGGGGAGAAGCGAAGGCCGGCAGCAGCAGCCCGTCTCAAGTGCCTAGCTGCCCGCCCTGTCCCCCCGGCAGCTCTTGGGCCTGTTCGCACGGCTGTTCCCCTGCAGCATCGCGCCGTCTAGTCGAAGTTACGGTCCTGCGCACAGCCATACAGTACAATACCGGTCCTCCGCTTTGTGCGGTATGCGTATTACGGTTTTACATGGCGATCACTCAAAACAAAAAACAACAAAGGCGTCATATGAGCTGGCAATTCCCGCACGAAACGCTCAACCTTGATTTTCTTTAGGAGGCAGGATTGTTTTGCCTCTGGGTATTGGCACAATGCTGCACACTGCTCCGTCGCCAGTGGCGGCGCGGCAGGATCATACCTCCGGCCAAGCAGGCCGTATCGTACAGACCACAACGCAAAATTGCTGACCAGCCCGTACGGCCATACGCACGGTGACCGAACAGCCTTGTCTGGAACCCCTGACGTACCCCCGTGAGTTTATTGCTATCAAGCTGGCCCGGCCTCCTCCCCTCGCCTCCAACCTCACGACTTCCAGGCCTCCCTTCTCCCGCCGCTTTTTGCTGAGCTCCCACTATTTCTCCCATCCCCCCATCCATTGATCCTCGCTTTCCTTTGCGACAAGTTCAATTTCGCTTCCTGGCAAACCTCGTCTCTTTTTTGTCGCATTATTCAGCTCACACTTCTCACCACACTCATTTTCGAATACCTCTCTGCTAGTCATGTCGACCCGAAAACGGAGACAAGATGATGTAGAAGAAGAGGAGCTTCAAGCCTTGCCAAGTGACCAGAGTGAGGAGGAAGAAGAGTGAGTAGATATATCTTCATTCTGTTGCCTCTGGTCCCCCATTTCATTACATCTGTATCACAACGACAGGCGCCTCGTGAGGTGTTGCTCTGTATTTTAATTCGCAATCTCTCGAGCTCAATGTATCTCTAAGCCCATCATCGGCGCATTTCTGGGTCTGCATCTGGCTCGATCGCATCACCTTTTATACGCTCTCCTGTGTCGCATTGAACCAAAGGAGGCATTTTCAGACCACAACTAACCCAGACTATTCACAGATACGAAGAGTCGGAATTCGACGAAGGTGGATCTGAGGAAGAGGAAGAAGATGAGGGGGCCGAAGAAGGTGAACCTGAGGAGCAGCTAGAGCGTATGTTTATCTGTCCGGTTGACCATCGCAGCATGCGGGTCATTACTTGTTGCCTGCCACATTGCGTCAACTTGAAATTGCGGCGCTGATGCTTCGGCTTTTGAATTCCCTCTGTGCTGCGGATTTGTTGTTCTGTTTTTAACGGATTTTTTTTCGATAGCCCGTCCTAAACGGCGCAGGACTGAGCCTGCCCCTCGCGGACAGGATGAGGGAGAGGAAGAGGAGGAGGAGGAGGAGGAGGAAGAAGAAGACGAAGGACAGCCCGACCTGGAAGAGGAAGAGGAAGAAGTGGCGATTCACAAAGAAGCAAATGGAGAGGGCGAAGAAGACGGCGAAGGTGAAGAGGATGGAGAAGGCGAGGAAGAAGAACCAGAGGAGCTCGAGGCTACTAAAGGTGGCACCCCTCTTGCGGCCGGAAAGGGTATCACTGCTGTCCACGCAACCGCCCAAGTTGAGGTCGAGAGTGAGGAGGAAGATTAATTTTTTCGTCGTATTATTATGCGTTGTGATATGTTCATCTGTATAATTGATTAGCACAGTTTCGAACTTGATAAATATTATATGTATTACAATTACCCATCATTTTCCCAGTCCCTTGTGAGAAAACGAACAAGGCCCGAGAAAACAGCCAATTGTGTGGGGCCTATAGGTGGCAGGCACCATGCTCCTTAGCCCCTTACCATACCTGTATGTAGGACTGTTCCCTAAGCATCGTACGCGGGCATCGCCATTTCTGATCTCCTGGCATTTGTATCTGGAGGAAGCCAAAGCAAATTACGAACTTTGCCTTCGTACGGAGTACTCTTCCAATCTTCATTTTTCTGTCTACACCCTCGATGAATGCGACAATCAGAGAATTCAAGTTTAAGTCTTGGAACAGATACCTCAAACCAACCACTGGGGCTAAGTACTTTGACAAAGCATCACTTAGAGGCCTTGAGTTTGGAGAATCCTAAAAGGGGCCTTACTTACACGCTCATTGGGCAAGCTGTGGCATATCTGACAGCTTTAACTCGCACTGTGGTTCGATAAATGTTAGAAATGTCTCGAATACTCGCATGTACCGCACTATCGTTCGAGGCCGTCTCGTGGTAGCTAAGGGCATGTCTTTAATCTGTGGGCGAACAGAACGAACGGCGTTGTTTTTCGGAAGTTTGAGGCTAGTTAGTTTAATTGCTAGCTAGGGTGTGGAGCGCGTCGTCACACGTTTTAAGGAGCTTTGAGCTAATGTCCACTCATCATTGCATATCTGGCACTGATAGTGGCAGATCCACGAGTAATGAGCGCGTAAAGTTAATGCTGGATGTAATCATATTTATTGGTCTTGATATACGGGGCACAGATAGGATTTTATGGAAATTCGTGTACGTTTGTTTTACGCAAGCTATATAATTTGCGTTGATACATAGGGCTTCTCACGAAGTCGAAGAGATATTGCTAATATCTAAAGTCTTATGGTTTTTTAATGTTATTTCAGCCATCACTTCCCGTACTCCTAAACATAGCACAGAGTTGGCAGTAGTGGTGGGTTAGATCCAACACAGGCTGTGGTAGATTTGTAGCTTGCACAATGCTGCGAACTTTAACAGCGCCCTCCTCCTCAATCAACTTGCGGATCATAAATAAAAGATCAGGGGAAAACTGAATCAAGAAACTTTGTAAGCAACTGCACTAGAAAAGGCCTTTCCAAGGGTCATATCGAACATACCTCTGAATACCAACGGTATTGCCATGCTATCAGTCTAATCAACGCATTAAGCATACCCCTTGTATCGTTCTGCCGCTCATACATCTTAAGAATGCCTTTCATCGCTTTGGCAGAAAATCGAACCTGCAAACAATGTTGAAACGCCTCGATGGCTTCATTAGTGTGGTGTAAGCGCTCGGCGAGCTCGCCCAGAATTTCCCATTCAGTGGCAGATTTTTTATATTCTATTGACTGTGCCCGCGATTGGGCAAGTTCACTGCGCCAGATAGTATAAACGCGTAAATCTTCATAGAGAACCATGAACAGGTTATCAAGCCAGCGTTCGCATAGACGTTTATTATGAAACTGTGTATAAGTATTAGAAACCTCAGGCTGCGAAATTGATTAGCTGAAGGGCCTCAAAATATGTTGAAAGTGAAAGAACTGGGCTGAACATACATCCTCGCCCCCTGATTTTACGACTTCAGATGCCATACTCTGTTCAGGTTTTTCAATTTCCGATCCAACCTCCTGATAGTTAGGCTCTTCTGTATTACCATTTGTCTCAAGTGCTTCATCCTTAGTCTTGAAATTAGGGTTCTCCTCAGAAAGACCAGGGTCGTTTTTCTCATTCCCATTCACATCTGAGCCTGCAGTAGATGCCTCGTGCAGTGCTACTGTGCTAGCATTGTTATTATTTGGCGTGGTTCGTGATGCTCCAGCATGCCGCTCCACTCTATATTCTTCCTCCATGACAAATACCTCGCTCCGAACTTTCAACAGTTGATCCCAGCCAATAGCCGCAGCAATTTTGGTCAAAAGACTATATGCTTTTAAGAACGTTCCCTGGTAGCTTGAGGCATGAAGTTTTCTTAAAATAGGATTCACAATATCATGCGGATCTCCCGCTTTTGGCTGTCCCTCATCTATCTCGTCCAGTACAGATTCAGGAAGGACAGGCAGAAGAATCCGAGATGGCTGAGGCATTCTCGGCGAATCTTTATCCTGGTAAGTAAACATGGGGCAAGAGTTGAGCGTTAACAGAGCAAGGTTCCACTGCTCCAAATCCACATATACTTCAGCCAGTCGTATCCAGGAACTGAATTCACTAGGAGCAGCCGTAACGCTACGTTTGGCACACTCCAGAGCCATTTCGTATTCCTCCTTACTTTGGCAAAATGCCGCTTGACAGTCCAATAGCGCGTAATCCATTGGGACATCTTGTAGAGCATCGTGTAATAGCCGCACAGCCTGAACCTCTTCGTTTGCAGATATCAGAACCCGAGCAAGCAAAGATGACACTTCAACATCCTTGGTTCGCAGTTTCTCAAATAGATTGATGCCTGACGCATATCGACCCGTTGTATGAACGTATTTTAAGATGCCGGAGGCCAAATGGTTGCTCACGGTATTGGGGACCTGCGTCTCCGGATCTGAACTGAGTTGTCTCCCTGAGGCTTTTTATTAGTCGCCAGCAGTCTATCTCAATAGGATCTCTAGGAGTGACTAAACCATTAAAAAATAACTTTTCTGCAGCGTCAAGAAATTTGTGCTCCATCTCCGTATTTGTTATAGGATTGAATCTCCGAACTGCGACAATCTTCTTAAGAGCATCTCCGTTACCGTCGTCCGCATAGGAGTAGGCTCTTAAAACCGCACAAACGAAAGTCTCCAGCCATAATTGCTCTGTCGCCACACGCTTATCTCCGCGTTCGTCGATGCAGTAACTTTCAAGAGTGCCAGGAATCTTAACTTCGACTCGCATGTCTAAATGGGAGAAGGCATTGTAACAGCTGTAGGCTGTTAATGACGGCTCTTCGCGAAAGTGGCTCGATCGCCTCACCAGTAAATTCCAGAGATTACTTTATTGCTTTTGTCAAGAGGAGAGTAGGTAAGCGTATTTACATAGGCAGCGAGACTGGCAGAAGATGATGCATCGATCCCCGTAACATGATGATATACCCCTGTCTGGGTTCCAAAGAGTAGTCAGCATACGTAACAGTCAATTCGTAGCAATGGCAAAGGGTAGGAAGGTCGTTTCCCCAAATAAACAGATATACTGACTTGATGAGCCGCATTGGCCTTGGATTGCTTGACAACATGAACTAAGTCTGGTGGTCCAAGTTCACGTAAGCCCTGTAAGGAGTCTGTACGGGCGTCAATTGAGGCATATATTTGATCATCTTCAATAAGCCTAAGGCAATGAGTATTTTTAGTATGTGAACAGTTTTGAGCTTCTGCAATTAATGTCGCGTTACAAGGGCTACTTACTCCGGAACAGCTGGTGTGATCATGGTGGGTCAAGTGCCAGGAGGTTGTTTGCTGAACTGAGTATATTCCTGACAGCTGGGGTTCAGGCAATCATAGGTGTGAATATGCAGTGAAAATGGTGGATGTCTTGTCAAAATATCTCCTGTCTCCAACTCCGCATTGCTCCAAGATTAAGCTCGCGGCACTGGAGGAGGAGCACGCTATGCCGGATTTGGAAACCTTGGATATCATGGGGCTTCACCACTAGACACCCTTAACATTCATACCCGTCACTGCAAACCATCCATTTCCCTTGTATAAGTCCTAAAGTTGATTGAAGAATAACATTTTCTTTTCAGCCATAATTGCATTATTTTGGCATGCAGATAGATCCATTGTAGGCTCTGAACGCAAAGGTGGACAGCCATGTCCTCATTTGTCGCGCTGAACATCGAGCCCAATGAGGATGCTGAGGAAGTCGATGACACCAAGGAAATACAAATAGAGGAGGCTCTCAAACTATACCAGACTGCCTTGAGACTTCATTCGCAAGGCCCAGATCATTACCACCAAGCCCGGGAAGCATACGAGGCCCTTTTCAAGTCCGATATATTCAACTATCCGGAAGCTGTTTCTGAATATAAGAGAGACCAGCTCTTGGATATAGAACATGAAAGTTTTGACTATTATGAGGACATCGCTGAAGGCGATATCTCAGATCCTATCAACACAACTTCGAGCGCCCTACCACAAACGATATTTTTGTCTTACAGAAACCATGCACAATTCATTCTAGATGACTTACAGAACTCACTGAGAGATGCCAATAAGCACGATTACAAGCGCCTTTCAAATCGCATCAAAGAGGCCTTAGAAGGCTTTGCAGAAGCACTTGAGCGTGACGATACGGACATGGATTTGTGGAGAAAAAGCAGCCGCGTTGGCGATGCTTTGAACAGTCGCCGGATTTCGAGATTTTGTTTGGAAAGCGTCCTCGAGTGTGATGACTACGGAATAGATGAGCGCTTTGGGCAACTGGGACTGGAACAGATTTTTGCGGTTCGAGATTTGCGCCGGATACTAGATGCCCTCCAGGACAATCTTTCTTCCACAAACCTTCCATTGAAGAAACCAAAGAACAGTATTTCTCGTCTTTTTGAGAAGCAGGCGGACATGTACCCGTTCCTTCCCACTCGATCGGACGGCCCATCAACACTTGGTCCCCATCAAGATGCTACAGCCCCATATCATATAGTTGAGTCCGCTGCTAAGACTTGGATTGATGTCGGGAACGCTATTCTTAAGGCATTAGTGGAAGTCTCGGAAACGCCCTATTTGACCTGGCCATCTGCGTCGTTACGAATACTTAATAAGCATGTCATCACTGAACAATCTCCAATATCCCCAGTGGTAGAAGGTGCTCCAAATAATGAGGTCTCCGATATTCTTCCGGATGCTACCCAGGATACTGAAATTCTGGATGTGGAAAGTGATGGCACGCTTGTCGGCTCAGATAAATCTACCCTCGAAGCCATGGAGACTGGTGGAGAAGTAGTAACAATAAATGTACCAGGCCCTCCACATATTGTTGAGAACACGAAAGGACAGGAGAATGAAAAGCTCACAGAACTGGATGGTGAGAACTCGGCCGACAGCAAGGATATAGCCGTTAAACCGGATGCACCTCAACCCCGGAAGAGATCATCTGCCTCCGTTTGGAATGAGGAGCCAGCTGATGGTGGAAGGGCTAAGAGTCGACGTATCAGAGCTCGTGAATCAATAGCCGAAGCCCAGGCTCAACAAGATGACATAGTCTTTGATCAAGTCAAATATTTCGAGGATCTTCTGGAAAACTTTGCTCACGCCGATCGATGGATGTTCAATACAACTGGAGCATTAATTTCTAAAATGGGCATTGAAGACCTTGGCACTATCGACGAACTGAAACAAGTAGTGGATGAATCCTATCGGCAAACTTCTTTCCAAAGTACCCCGTGTGAGAAGTATCTTGAATCAGTCAGTGTACGGGATCTAAGAGAAGCGATCGAGAATTGGTCCGGATCAATCAATTTTAGAGACGACGTTTTTACAACGCCCGATGGCCTGATAGGAGTAAAACAATATGGCCTTAATGTTTTCCTTGAGCGCTCGCGGCAGACTCAACAAGCTTCAACTCCAGCAAATGAGGATTACGATAGTCAAGGGCTATCAGAATTCTTACTGCTCGTTAACTCAAGTCGTCTCCGTCCGGAACAAGCTGCATTAAAGTGGCTAGAAAGGCATTTAGCTTCTAGTCATTTGTTTGTTAAGAGCCCCAATTCTCCGCACATGCTTCAATTACGCTCTTCCTATGCTGGCTCAAAGTGGTCTGAAGAAATGAGATGGCTAGTGCAGGAATTACTAAAGAATAGTGATGAATTCTTATATCAGAATTTATCCCTTGTAGACTTAGGGTTCGGTAAAGCTACCTCGGCTCCCATCAAAGAGGATGAAAGGGCAGTCGATATGGCTATTTCATACGCGGAAATGGCTCAAACCCTTTACGAGGTTCATTTGGATATGTATGCGTCCATGAGTTCGCCGAGTAATGCCACCAATGAAGCATCTAAGGCGTTGCAGAAAGATCGACTTCAACGCTGGGAAACAGTCGCTCGGGATCGGCTCATACATTGTATGGACGCCAATGGTGATGATAGTTTATCAACAAGCCTTGTTATGCGACATATTTGGTCAACGATAATGCATTTCAATATCACCGAAGACGCCAGCCGTGAATATGTTGTGGAGTGCTTAGAGGATCTAAAACGGATTCTACGCCAGTTTGATACTCCAATTATTACGCTGGTGAACAATACTCTCATGTCGGAATTATCTGTTGATGCAATTGAGCAAGAAATAGCCAGAATTAGCTCCATGGAATTTTTTATGAAAGTTTTTGGCCCCGGAAAGGAAGACCCGGTCAGCTTGATCGAAAGTATTGAACCTATTTTGGATCCATCAGCGATTGAATATCTTCCATCTCAGAACATGGAAACTGCAAAATTTCGTGACGCTGCATTGGAAGTCCAACGAGCTCGAGACCTATCATTTTTCCTAGATCGTGGTGATGCGACGTTGAAATTGCTACTCTGGAGGCGGCTTCAGAAAGCTTATGACTCTATTCAATATCCTACGAAAGTCATATCATGCTCACTACGCAGCATTGAAATCATTGTTAAAGAATTCACGTCGTCTTCTTATCTGAATTTACCTGGTGAACAACGTCGGATAGCATTGCTGAGATGGCTCAATCGTGCAGATTATCTAATGCTCAATGTGATTGGGAAGATTCTTGACGACCCTAAGAGTTCCTTTGAATGTATCGACATGAACCACTTGCAAACGTCCATGTCTGCTGTTGCAAAATTGTCAAGACTTCTTCATTCTTTTGTTCTTTATGAGGACTCAGTTCGCATTGGCCAAACAAGTCCACCTGAGATCCGGCCAGCTGCTGCTGCAAAAGCACATGAGCATTACAAAGAAAAGCTACGTTCAATGCTAGTCAGAGCCTGGACTTTGCAATACACTCTACTTAAAGAAGGTATTGAACAAAATAGGGAGGTCTTTGACACGCCATCTGACGATTGTATCAACTATTTACGCTCGGTCCATAATGCCTTGGGAATACGTTCATATTGCAAATATTCAAATAAACTTCTACTAAAAGTCATGAAGCAGGAGCTATTAACGCTTGATGCTGAAGACAATTACGAATCAGACACTGCGCAGGTGCTATTTGATTTTTATGGACTAAAGTTCGCCCCGGAGCTTGGTATCTCTCTGGAACATGGCTGTCCAGTTGACAAACTAGATAGATCGGCAGCTCTGATGATGATAGATTTTGCCATGGTGCAGGCAAATCGTATGAACATTAAAGACTTCCTGAAGTCCGATCTGAAATCGACAATCGATAATATCCAATCTGCTATCGGCTGGTCTCCAAGAACGTCCCCTTCTCTCAACCATAACAAGCGCATTGTCTCTGCATTTTTGAAATCCCCGATCAATCCTTCCAGACTTCGTCGAACGATTCAAGGGGTTAACGAGGTATCCGTTATATCTACGCAGACAGAGAGCTATAACCTGGCTGAAAGAGGATGGTACTTTTTCCTTGGCCATGCAGCACTAACAAAATTCAAAACGCAAAAGCGAGTTAGTCCAGGTCCCTCCGAAGATCTAGATCATGCCGCGACCTTTTTCCGTCGTGAAATAGAACATGGAATCGACAGATGGCAGACGTGGTATCGCCTTGGACAAGCGTATGATTTTAAATTAGAGGAGGACATCACCTGGTCTGCAGAGAAGCTGAATACCAGTCGAGCTGATCTAGAGATAATGGAAAGGAGAGCTATTAATGCCTACTCGATGGCCATAGGAGCCGCCATTCGGACAGCAGATTCGTCTACAGAAACAAAGAAAACCATGTCTGACTTGTATACTCAATTTGGCTTCCGAATCTATGCTTCCTCTAGAGCGCCTTTCTCGATGGCAGCATTTAATTTGAACGACTTTATGCGACATTACAACAGTGATAAGGATCAACGAATGTACAAAGGTCAGCCTTTTGGGGACATGAAGCTTTATTCAGCTTGGCACTTTGCTGGTTATTTGTTTCGGAAAGCCATGATTGATCGTCCATCTTACTGGGTGTAAGTGAGAATTTTCACCGAGCAAAGTAATAGTACCGTTTCTCAGACATTGACATGCTTGCTTAGGAATCGATACATGTTCAGCAAGTGCCTATGGAAAATGTTCACTTCCGATGACCCACTAAAAAAGTGCTATGAACCTGTTCATGTCAACAATGTACTTGACTCCTTGAACAATGCCATTAATTCCTTACCTCAGAGAAAAGATAATCGATCTGATCCTATACTTGAACCCCATTTTAAACTGGTATCCATCATCCATAAATTAGTCAAACGTGGAGATTTGAATGTCAGTAATTCTAGAAATACCCGCTTAAGTGCTTCATCTCTAATCTTTTACAGCCCTACGAAGCGAGTGAAAAACTTCTTGCTACCCCATGGGCGAAAAGGCTATCGGTTGTAACAGATATGGATTCTTGGAAGCCGTTCATCTTAGAGGTCTTGAAAAACCTGCGTGCAGCTGATAAGTCTAACTGGCATCATCGTGTTGTTGCAAGGGTAGGTGTCCCTTACTTCCTCTCAAGGGCTACTTAAGTACTCATTATAGCTAGGCTGCGCATGTCATTTACGATGACACTAAAGACTACGAAGCCGCCGTAGCAGCAAAACATGAACTGTCTCAACACGTGTTCACAAAGACAATGTCGCTCCAAGTCTGGAAGCCCGAAAATGAGCGCCCAGGGAGACACTTTGTATATACGTCCCGATATGTATATTTTTTTGTACACGTCCTTGACCAGCTCAACGACCGGACTGGTTTGGACCTTCTAATCCGCCGCGTACGGAGGAGGCCCAATGATTTTGTCAACTTCGCACAGCTTTGGGATGATATATGCAATACCTATATTAAGGTGCGTTTTAACTCCTTTTCAAAAATGGCTTACCGCTGTGCACTACTTTCTAACCAGGGAGTAGCTCTTCCGTCGCTTGGGGAATATCCCAATCAATCATGAAGACGCAGTATTCAAACCCATCGGCTATGAAGAATTCATCGCAAATGCTAGCCGTTTAGATTCGTGGAGTCATTCGGAACCGGCGGACACGGCAACGATTGACCTTGTAAGAGAGGCAGTAGAACTAAAAAAACTGAACGCAGGATTAATGAAAGCCGGAATATTCGAAGACCTAGTTGGAGATACTTATGCCCTTTTTTACGAAAAAAGCGTGCCAACAATATTAGAGGGGCTTGCAAAGGAAGAAAATCGCGAGCGGATGAAAGTAGACCATCTTCTTTTATGTGGTGGGACTGGTGATACTGCTCACACTTCATCTCTAACCCCAGAAAAGCCTCAAGAAAAACTGCCAGAGAAGGCTCCAAAGGCAAGAGCCAAGGGAGTCACGAGAAGAGAAGTTCAGCGAAAGGCAGATGCTATTGCTGCGAAGGCAGCCGCTTCGCGGCCAACAAAGGCTTCGCGTGCGGCCGAGGAAGACTCTAAACTCCCTATCGTTGAACAAATAGTTAATGAACCGTCAACTAAAAAAGACGAGATTCAGGAAAATATTCAAAATCAAGTTTCAGAGAGAACGCAAGAAATAACTGAAACTGCCACTGCTCGGAGCGCTCCGCCAACCGTTCTAGAGAATGGTGACACGGAAAGCGAATTGAGCGAGCTTGACGAGTCGAAGATCTCCGAGTTATCCAGACCTGTAGGGCAAATCTTCCCGCATTCACTTGCTAAAAGATTGGTTTCACCAAACCCTCAGTCAGAAGCATCGTCAAACATTAGTATTGATGGTGGTGATAAGATCTATGATCTTGAAGAATACGATGGCGGGACTGGCCGCGATACTGCAGGAGGTGACGTCGAAATTGAAGCCAACATTGAGGCTGATACAGGGGCTGAGGGCAGAGATGGAGATGGGCTTGATGGCGATGATGATACTATAGATATCAGCGGAGGCACCGACATTGCTGGCGGTGGTGATGGTGACGTCGATATCGAAGTTGACGAAGACGAAGACGACAATGCTGATGATCCTGGTTTTGATGCCGATGCCGATGTAGCTGCTGATGGTGGTGCTGGTGATGGCGATGAGGACGACGACGATGAAGGCGATGATGATGCTGACGAGGGTGTTGATCCCAACACAGGCTCCTGTGCTAAAGTTGACGCTGGCGAAGATGAAGATGAAAATGATGAAAACGATGCTGACGACGATACAGTCTCGCTAGAAAGCAGCAAAACTGAACTTGGAAATACTCAGCCCCCTGGTCCCGATGCCGACGACGATACAGTCTCGCTGGAAAGCAGCAAAACTGAACTTGGCAATACTCAGCCACCTTATCCTGATGCTGAGATGGAAAATGCCACATAAATAGTGGGGTATTTCTGTGTTCATTTTGATATAGTTAGAGCATTCATCCGGTTTTTTATATTTTGTTGGGGCTAGGACCGGAGTACACACATGAACATTATATGGCGTTTCACTAGGGTTGCGTGCCTAATTCGTTGGGCAGCTTTATAGAATATAGTGTATCAGTATTATTCAATATAAATCAAGAAAGAGAAATCTATGAATCCAAGTGATGAATCCTATGCAGGCGTATAAAAAACTGGGTATCATGCGCCCACTAACACCATAACATCCAATAACCTTTTACAATAGGGAGCGTATAACACTAATTTTCAAACATTGATTCAGGGCCAAAATCCAATTGCCTCGTGGTTAGTTTTCTCATCTTTCTACCCGTAGTCTTAGCCTTGCTCAGCGCCAAGGGTATCGGCTTCGAGTTCTCATCAACCCTTAAAGTACCTAATTTCTTATTTGCTGCTATGGTATCTCTTTCCGCTATATCGTCCGCATGAATAAAGTTATAGTCCGACGAGTCAAAACGACCAGGAATAGTATTTTTCTTGGTTTTCGTTGTTGGTTTCTTGGTAGGCGAGCTAGCATTCAGCGCACGCTCAAGGGCTGCAATTCTGTTCCTGAGCACTTCATTCTCGCGTTCAAGGTCGTCAATAATCTCCTCGGTAGATGGGGTGGGATCCTCATGAACTAATTTCGCAATAATTAGCTGCCAACACATTAAAAAATGGGTAAAGAATGGGTGAAAAAACACACTTTGCACTCCTCGTGAAAGAATATCTAGCTTCTTATCAAGGTGGTCCTCATGTCGAAGAGCCTGCTCATCCCATGCTTGCTGCCATCTTCTTTTTTCTCTTTCCATCCGCTCCTCCATTTCTGCAAAACACTCTTCTCGGATCTCCTGGTCGAGAAGTAAACATTGCTCTTCTGCTGCCTTCCATTTGATTTCAGCCTCTTGTCGTGCGAACTCCTCTTCTGCTAACCTTATTGCTAGTGCATCATAATCATCTGCCAACTTTGCAATCTCAAGGGCTGCTCGTTCTAACTCCTCCGCTGAAGCTGATAGGAAAGCAGATTTTCCAGCATGAGCAGGTTTCATGGGAGGTATCGATATATTGGACACGGATGGCACCCTAGGAACGGTAACTTCCCTAGCCAAGGCAGAGTATCTTAAAATTTGAGAAGTAGTGTTGAAGTCGCCCAATGGGTCGGCCGTTACTATCATCACTCCTTTCTGGGGGTTTCTATGTATGGAACTGGCCGCATGACCCGAAGAGGGGAAAGAATTCGAGAATAGGAGTTCGGTAAGCTTGCATTGCCGGAAAGGAACAAGTGTCTGGATATTACGGAGTTAGATCCCACTGTGTGTGGTATTTTATGGTTGGAAATTACCTTGTTGCCGGCCTGCAAATCCGTCTGCATCTGCAAACACTGGCCTAGGTACATAAGACTTTCGTTAATTTTACCTCCCTCTGCAAGCGTTGCTCCGGCAGTTTTTGCATTTCTGGCACGTTCAGAACCTACGAAACATTAGTTAAAATCAGCCGAAAGATAGGTGAGAGTCATACCGGCAAGGTCTGCAATGGTTAAGGTATTGCCGACCCAGAATTCATCATTAAATCTACTATCCCAGACTTTTCTCTTCACTTCAACACAGAAAAATCCGTGACTTCGAGAGCTCACGCTGTTATTCCCTGTCCCGGTGACTTTTCTTTCTGTAAGTCCAATCTCTAGAACAGTCAGTGCCTCTTCGTATGTACTGCAAACTACCTTTCGTAGACCTGCTACGACTTTTCGGTCAGTTGATCCTTCAGTGGACTTGAACATAAGTGCCCGGCGGCGATCTTTCTGATTACTATTTGCTTGCTTGGAAACGCCACCGGCGGGAGAGAGTAGGTCGAAAATACGGTCGTTATATACTTCGTACATGGATATTAGGACGGCATATTCTTCATCTGGGCCTACATCAACCACATAGTCGGCGACATCGGGGGTTTGAAGAAAAGCACTAGATCGTGGGGCGAGGTTACGGCGGGGGAATGTCGACGTAGTTGGGGTTTCCTTTAAATGATGCCAATTTTTAGTAAAATGAATTCTATGAGTTCTCCAAAACGGTAACTGGGAGGGAAGGGTAATATTTTTGGGTGCTAGCCAACTGGGCACACTATCGGCGGCTAGATTGAAGCCGTTTACGAGCCGGATAGTGGGCGCACATGAGGCAATGCCTGAGTCGATATTTCCAAACAGCGGTGTGGGAACTGAAGAATATAGTCCAATGGAGGATATATTGGGTGGACTGGAAGACAGGGACTGAAGTGGATTGCATACCAGTGGCGTTTGAGCTCTTGAGGAGGATAGTGGAGTCTGTGCCCTCGAGTTACGTCCTCGATCTGCATTTAAATCTCCATAAATTGCATCAATGAAAGATTTTGCGGAATACACTTGGGCTTCGGAGGGATCTGAAGTAGCTAGGGACTGCATGAACGTAGAGTATTTCGGGTGATCTGGGGATTGGATTGACGATGCGAGAGAGTTGAATAGAATATCAAGGGACATCTGAGTAATACCGCGCTGCGATTTTGAGCCGAGAATTGTATGTGACTAGATGCAGCGTCAGCCAAATGCTTTCAGGTACTTTGGGCGTAATTGGTAGTTATAGGAGAGCAGACCTTCCCGCTCCCAGAGGCCCCAAGAGTCGCAACAAGCCCATCGCGGCTGTCATTCAAGACTCCATCAATCAGCGAGACCATTCCAGATTGCTCGAATACATCCAACTGGGTGGCGTGTTCTTCGAAAACCTTCGTAAACGCAAACTTCTCGATCGCGCGTTTTCTCGAGTCGTTTGGAGGCTGGACCGTAATGTGGGTGGGCCATTTGTTTGTGTCTTCGGACCCATTGCTGCCTGCAATCTCCGCTACCGGTTCAACAACTAAGAAGTCCGACCTTTGCTGCTGTGAGTCGGGAGTGTGGCTGATGGGCGGCCGCAAGCGAAGGTAGACCTGGAAAAGGGAGGCTTGTGGCCTCTGAAAGGATTCCATGGCGGTATGGAAAAGGGGAAATACCAGCGACAACTAGCACACGGTGCTGCCCGACATACAAGGCGTCCGACCCCAGACAGTTCTCTTGGATGCAGGATTATATGCACGTTCTCGCGTTGGACCAGCATTCAACTGGTGGGAGCCGTGATGTTGCGGCATAAAGCCAGGGGCGTTGGCCGGGCAACGGGCGAGCACGACGCATGCGAGGATGCGCGAAGGAGTCTGCAGGCGTCTGGAGTACGAAGTACATATGCATGCACGACTAACTATGTGCATTACGGCGGATGTCGCAGTTTGGCAGCAATGAGAACAAATAACTAGTTATACAAGTAGTTAGTCCGTACAGATTCTGTTCATAACTAACTACAGAGTACTCCGTACGCTATCAATCGAAACTACGATCCCCATTGACGATTTGTTTGTAGCATCCTCTCCTTCCAGCGAGCCCCAACACACATGAAAAATAAAAATCAAAAATAACGAAGCAGAACTGGCGGGCATTGACACTGAAAAATTTACCCAGATTTACGGCTTGAGCGGGTCACCCGCGTCGTCCTTGGTTCTGCTTTCTCAGCGGCTATCCGGGAACGCTTCGGTTTCGCAGCCTTCGGCTCCTTATCCTCATCGGTATTCCTCTTTTTGCTAGTGGATTTGCGGCGAGGTTTTGTCTCTTTTTTCGCTTCATTGCCAGAATCGGGCGCTTCCTCCCCCTCCCCTTCTCCTTCGCCCTCGTCCTCGCCCTCACGTTCTGGTTCTGGTTCTGGTTCTGGTTTAGAGTCGATAGCCTTCTTTTTAGAGAGCGAAGTCTTTCTCTTCTTAGAGACCGGTTTTAAATCTGTCTCCGCTTCATTCTCATCCTCAGACTCGGTCTCTTCTTTCTTCTTTTTACCACGCGAGCGCTTTGTAGTCTTAGTAGTGTCATTTTGTGGTGCATCCTACATTCTCGCTCAGCATACGGAATGCAAGAACGAACATATCTTTGGGATTTTCAACACGCACCTCTGCATCTTCCTTTTTTTTGGAAGCTCGAACCCTGAAACCCGACTTTCCCGGTCGGTTCACCTCAACATCCTGCAAGCCTTGCAATTAGCATCGAAAGTTCGGTGTTGTTTCTTCATAAACAACAATGGGCATTAAATTGTAGAGTGTGTAACATACGCCTTTCCAGTCGGAATCTGCGACATGTCCATGTTCTACCGCTTCGCGGATCTTGTCTTGGTTTTCGGCGGAAATTTCATCGAAACCATCAAGATCCGAGAAGTTCTTATCCTCGCCAACTATCTCCTGCAGGGTGGAAACCTGCCTTGGAGTGACACATCCCCTACGGCAGTTAGTGTCAGAGCAATGAACTTTCCAGGACAATCTAATATGGAATAGAAGCAGCGCATACCAGTGCTTCCACGACCAGCTCTGGAACCGTTCGGTATCTACCCATGATCCCAAACGTAGCTCGCCCTTTAGGATCTTCTCCTTCTTGTCTTGACATTCCTTATTCTTGCAGCCAGCACGGCCTGTGCTGGCTTCTTCTATAAGAGGACAAATCCATTAGATACTATCTAACAAACACAATAGCGTATTTGTCGTAGATTTATTGAATGGATCTTGAATCACGGCTTGCGCAAGTATTTGCATGGTACATATATCATGCGACACAATTCGCGGAACAAGCGGTAAAAAGCTGTCTAAGTCTGGAATTTCTTACCAACACGATATGTCGGCATCCCGCAGATGATGGCTATTGCCGCCACTCAATCGTTAATAAGCTGCTTTGCCATTCCAGATCAGAAAAATTCAAAACACAGACAGAGGTGCGGTACTTGCTTTACCTGGACTCAAATCGCTCGATTAACTAGTTATGTAAGCAGTGCCGCCAAGTGGACGGACTACTCCGTAGGGGCCAGTTGCTCAGCTCGTTTAACCAAAAACAGTTTCTTTGAGAATTCTTCCGGCACAGAGTTATAAATACCTTACGCCTTCGTCTTTAATAGTTACTCGGTAGCCTACACAGATTCGACAATGTGAGAGAGAAAGAGAATGATTATACCATAAAACGATTAGTTCTCTGAATCAACACTATCCTTTTGATAGAGGAAATGATTATGTGAAAGGGGCTACGGAAACGCATTCCGTACCAACATTCCAAGACTGTATAACCGGGGGACCTCAAGTTTCATAGACCATGCTGAAGAAAGAGAAGCAGCCACAGTATCCATCATAAGCACATAAAAAGCAGTCATCATTATATAGTCCGAACCACATAATAAAGATTGAAATCCCGGACAACGGTGCCCATTTTCCTCTCAGTTGTCAGAACCGACATCTACTCGGCTGGATAATTACAGCCCAAGTGGTGCTGGCCTCCCATAATTGAATCCTGAAAGGATATGACCACTCAGCGCATTTTACCTAGCACCTCCAAGACAGGATCGGGGTCATAGGTCTCTCGCATCTCAAAGTATTTCATTGATTATTTGAGAAACTTGCATCTCATGATTAAATCCACCAGTGCTCTCCTTAGTGGCCTATTTGGAGAGATATTCGAGCTGTAATTCAAGTGCACTCCTGTCTAGGGCTTCCTGAAACGCCCAGTCAATGACTTGCCAATTAATATTGCTTTGAGCTGGAGGATTATGGAGTTTCGCATTGATAGCCTTGAGGCTATGTAGGCTGCAAAATGGCATGGTCAACAAGTCATGATCATAATGGCAGGACCTTCGTATATATTGATACCCCCAGAGACCGGGTTCATACGGTTCGAATAAAATCTCTAGCCGTTGAATCTCAGGGGGCCGTTGAAGCAAATCAACAAGTCTGTCGAGCCCCTCTCACATCAAATACAGCCAATGGCAGTAGTCAGCAACTGGTGCAGTTAAGTTCACTACAACCATGCCAATCTTATAAAGGGTAACACGTGTGGCACCGGCAACCTCATTTGGTAACAAGTACGCAGGTTTTTATGAGGGTGTTGGAGGAGCGCTGTTGCATCAGGGAATAGACTGTAGTGCGTACATTCTTTTTGCTGAAGCCTATAATGTTGAATTCCAAACAAGAGTGGCAATAGATGATTTCAGAAACATCATCATAGATAAAACGGCATGTGCGGAGAATTTCAAGATGCCTGTTTCTGTAACCCTCTGGGACCAAGTACAGCCAAACCCCTTCTCTAATTTTATATGGAAGCCGTGAAAACAACCCGAGGTAGTTGTTCCTCATTCCAACGCTGGTATAAGAGGCTGTAGGAGTAGACAGGAGTTTTGGTAGATATCAAAGAAAAGAAGAAATCTCCCAGTTAACAATGGTGAAAGATTAATAAGCTCCTAGCTATTGGGAGCAATACCGGAAGAATCCAGTAATCATACAGACCACTCAGAGCCCTCCAAAGTTCAGACATGGATGACTCAAGACGGAAGAGGTCAGTTATATTAGCTCTAGAGTTAGCTCCATATCAAGTGTTATATCGGCATCCGGAGAATAATACAAGTATTGATCAAGAGCGCAGATGGTTAGCTAAAGCAGAGATTGAAGACCGGAATGTAAGTTGGCAGTCCAGCAGGGCGGGTACCTGACCTGTGCAGGCTACGAGGCTTGGCAAGGTCACGGGTAACTAGGTAACTAGTTAGTTAATTCACTATTCTGTAAGCCAAAGGTCTAGATTGCTAACCTCGAGCAACAGATCAGCATGGAGCGCTCTTAAACTGTGCATTTTTCTCGAAAACCCCTCGTATCCTTCAAGTCTATCAATATGTCAGAACCAATACCTGAATCTATTCCTACTAGCCAAGACCCCCGAAGCAAGCGCCCCTTGAAGCGACGCGCCCTAACGCCTCTCTCTGAACAAGCTAAACAGCTCGATGGGCTATTCAAAGACCCAAGTAAAGATATTCATATACCCGCCATTTCTAAACCTCGCACCTCCGCGTCTCTACCGCCGCCACCAGAGGTTGTCGCGAACGTTCAAGGCTCGTCAGCCGGGGCCGGATCCGGCGAGTTTCACGTATACAAAGCAAGTCGTCGACGCGAATATGAGCGAGTGAGATTGATGGAAGAAGAGTTGAAGAATGAAAAGGCTACGACAGAACATGCAAATAAGATGGAAGAGCTAAAGCGGAAGGACGAAGAGAAGACAGAAAAGAATCGAAAAAAGCGAGAGAAGCGGAAAGCGGCCAAATCAAAGAAAGGAAATGGTTCCCCTCACAATGCGACGGAGAATGAGAATACAAAAGTGGCATGTTGTGCCGATGGCTCTGACGAGCGACCCAGAGACAATAACAGAGAGCTAAACCAGGCAAACGCTTATGCGGAAACCCCAGGTGTTATTATCCATGATGAAGATTAAGTCTACCCCCCAGCATTTCCCAGGTAACAGCACCTACCAACGCATATTTTATGACCATGTACCATTATCAAGATACCCACGACAAAATTATTTTGTTTTTTCATAGGAATTAGTAACATAAAAAGTCTATGTTATTTGTTTGTTTTGTGCGGACTGATTGTCACTATTCCTCCCCACCCCCGATATTTGCAGCCTGTTTCAATGACTTAGCACTGCAAATATCGTCAACACGAAGCAGTAGGCAAGCAGACTATAAATGGAAAGGGACGTTAGCTGGAATTTAGGTGTAACTAACTCTTTTGGGAGCTAGAAATAACGGGGGTGATGTCTTACCTCAACAGCGGTTTTGATGCTCTGCAGCTTCACTGCCTCTGGCTCCCAAACGCCGTAATCTTTCATATCAACAATGGCGCCCGTATCCCCATCAAGTCCATAAGTGCTATGCCCTTCTACATGCTTTGCTCTTAGCCCTGTTAAAATTCGGATGGCGTTCTGTCCTGCATTTTGAGCCAATGTCCTTGGAATGACCTCCATAGCTTCAGCAACAGCTTTATATGGCCATTGCTGAACGCCTTCAATAGACTTGGCGAGCTGTGCAAGTTTCACCGATACAGCCATTTCGGTAGCACCCCCACCTGGAGATAAACGAGGATGGAAAATGACGTTGCGGGCAACGGACATGGCGTCTTGCAAGTTTCGCTCAATCTCATTCAAAATATCCTTCGACGGCCCTCTCAGCAGAATCGTGCACGCTTTTGGTTGCTTACACTGCCGCATGAATGAAAAATACTCATCTCCAATTTTCTCGATCTCGAAGAGTCCACATTGGGTTCCCACATCGGATTCTTGCAGATCATCGACCCGATTGACAATTGTAGCGCCAGTTGCACGAGCAATACGGTTGTTGTCTGTCTTGCGGACTCTTCGTAGGGCAGTAACGTTGTGTTTAACAAGAAAATGTTGAGCCAAATCTATGTAAGTTAGTAGGCGTGTGTAAAAGGCATACTTGTTTAGGGAAAAGCATACCAGAAACTCCTTTTTCAGTAATAACAAGGTCAGGTTTAAGAGCAAGAATTGCGTCACACATATGCTTCACCTGCTCTTCCTCGATCTGTAAGATTTTATTCCAATCTTCTTCTTTGGATATCTCAATATTTGTCTGGGATTCTCCTTTTTTGTACTCCAAAGGGCAGTCAAGAAGAATAATTCTGGGGTTCTCTATCCTCCGTCTCATTTTCGGATGCGTGATGTCCTTGTTCACCATAACCCCATCAATAACCTCGCTATCTTCAATCTGGCCGCCGGGTATTTTTTCGATACGAGCATACCGTTTAATATCAACCTCTTTCTTTCCACCACCCGCATCGTGCGAAACAGTGCGTACAGCTTTAAGGGCAAGGTTGCACATAAGCTCAGACCACCGAGAAACAAATTTAGTGCCAATAGATGATTGTATAAGACTGTACATTGCTCTATCATCATCGATATCAACGGGGAGGGAAATTTGCTCGACTATGGTAAGGGCATCGCTTAGGGCCTTCTTGAATGCGGATATAATGACGACAGGATGGATGTCTCGCTCGAGCTGAGGAAGCGCATAAGCTAAAATTTCTCCCGCTGGATGTTCCCGTGTCAGCTTTGTAGTAAATCCATTTCCTCCGCTATGAAGCTCACCTAGAATAATAACAGTCGTAGTGCCATCACCAACTTCTTCATCTTGCGTTCGGCTAAGCTCAATCATGCTTTTAGCCGCCGGGTGGGCGACCTCTATCTCCCTCAGGATTGCATGGCCGTCATTTGTTAAGACAATACCACCAAGGGGGTCAAGCAACATCTTGAGCATTGCCTTAGGTCCAAGACATGACCGAATAATGTCCGCAACACTATCTTACGTTAGGGAATAAACGGATTGTGTATCGCCTTGCTTTACTCACGTCTTTGCCGCTGTTATATTGGATAATTGAGCTTTTCTGCCAACCTGCCTATCCCCACTCTGCGTATCTGAAAGACGATCAGTAAACTGTAACCAAATATTACACTTCAATAACTGAAAGAAAAGGTGCCGTACTCATTACCACCACAGGGGCCTGCATTTTGGCGGGGTGATATCGCGACCCAGAAAAGTGGGATGCGAAGCTGAGACAAGAAATATCAAGAGCAAGCGCAAGAAAAACAGATAGCAGGAGCAGAATCAAACCAAAACTCGGGGCTACTTTGCCACGTAAATTGATCCAGCAGTAGTTCAGTATCTAACTACACGCGGCACCGAAGCTGTTGAGCTTCGGGTCTCTTTTTCCATAGGGCACTGTGGTCAGGCTAAACCACAAACATACTAGCTAGCTAGCCTGATATTAACTATGTCCATCAAACACTGCAAACAGCGCCTTCCAAGTCATCGACTCATCTCAACCTTAAACAAATGTTCAGCTTCATTGCGTGGTATGGATCCGCCGCTTCGATTCAAATTCAAAATACAAAACATTAGAGCCATCCCATAGCGATTTTCCCATTTTTCAGCAGCGAACATATCCATTCATCCAGGCCTCATTCTAATTCTATGTCTCTTGTCCGACCCAGAGTCCCTTAACGAGCTACTAGAAGCCTATTTGCATTATTGTGGGCGAGCACGGGCGTTTCACCTGCTACACTCCACTCCGTCAGTAAGATCGTGCTCATTGTGGAAAGTATGTTCTTGCCAGATGATCAAGGAACCCACCGCAGCTCAGGCTCAATTCGTTGCACCTCGTGCTCAACAGTCTCCAACCATTGCCAGACCATTTGCTTCCTGGCCAGCATCAGCTGTGCGTACTGCTCGTCATATTCTTCAGGCTCTCCTTCATATTCATTCTTATGGTGCCCTTGATACTGGATCGGGGGAAGACATGGCCTCGGGTACGAATATCCCTGTTGCGGTGGATGTGCCTGAGCCACGAACTGATGACCTTGCGGCGAATATAATGACGATGCTTGCTGGGTGCCCCCCGGGTGAGGGCGATATGGCAAATACGGAATGTATGCTTGCGTAGTATGTGGATTGTGATGGTTATGTCCGTGATATCGACCAGGACGAGACGGCTGTGGCATATTGCGAGTCAAAGGGGAAGCTTGCTGCCGAAATCGTGACGAGCGCATCCCAGGTATCTGCCCCGGTGTTGGCGGGGTGGGATATTGGTATTGGGTTTGGTACACTCCAGGATTACACCCGGCCTGAGGAATAGGATATTGATAGTGTCCTGCATACATCCCCTGCATCATACCTGGTGCTAACTGAGCGAGGTGTTGGTACGGAACTATGGACGCTCTAGGGATCACATGCGGTACTTGCGAGCTCGAGTATTGTTGCTGTGCCGGGTACATTCCAGGGCTGATCGGTACCCGTGGAGCGGCATTTTTGTACTGTGCCTGGTTTACGCCCGGGCTGCTTGTCATTGGAGAGAGGCGATACTGATACCGAACATGATGCCTTTGAGAGTCCCCTGGTACCTGAGGAAAGATGTCTCTATACCGATTTGGATTCGTGCCTGGAGTGTCTTGCAATGGGGAAAGGCTTCGTTCCTCTTTGACTGAAGTCTTTTCTGGAATTCCTGGTGCTTGTAGCTCAGTATTTGGATGCTGGATCGAAAACATCTCGTTTCCTTGCGGCGCCTGGCTGCTTAAGGCTAACAACGCTCCATAAATATATTCCCTTCCGCTTGAAGATGACTGCGCTGATGCATTGTCAGGTTCATTATCATATCCCTGGCCCACACTATTACTTGTATCTCCATTTTCACTTGGATTAGACGGGGGATCCGGGTTTACCACGCGCAATGTGCCTCTGGGGCCTCTCGTTGCGATATCACCAAGGTTGTTGTCATGGAGTCCAAATTCTTCTCGCACACGTTTGACTCTTTCCTCGATTCGACGCATTGACGAACTTCTTCTTGATTTCTCCTCCACACTTGCTGCTGATAAGCCTTTTCTGGAATTTCCAGCTGCATCGGGCGTTGCTTTGTTGCTCATTGCAGCTTCTGCGCCTGAACCTGCACTTTTGCTTTTTACTGTATCGGATTTACCTTTTTTGGGCATTGCTTCTCCATGTTTCAGTCCTTTTTTGCGGGAAAACCCCATCTCTATGGCGCCTTCCCCTTGGTTAGGCTCTGATATTGTATCAGGCACGCGTCGCTCTGTCAAGATCTTTCGTTCACCTCCCAGTTAGGCATTCTCTAAAACAAGAAAGCTATGTTGTATATCCTGCCTCAAAAGCATAGCCAAAAGCAGCAACTTATGTCAGAAACAACCAATGCAACAGAGTGACTTTGAAAAAGGTTATGGCAGGGAGTGATTATAAAAGTTTGGATGTTTATACTGTGATAGCCCCCCTTCCCTTTTTTGCTTAGCGCCATTTTGTCTGAGAGTGATTGCATTCACTCTGCAGCTCATGCCGCCCAGCAAGCACGTTTAATTTGTTCAAGGGGATTTCATGCCCTGTCACTATCCTTCACATGGTCAGTTGCTAGCCTCTGTCTAGTCACTAGATACACTATCCATTCAAATATTTTCTAGTTCTCCATCAGGAAATCCGCTGTATGGATTACCCAATTCTTACTCACTGTTTGTATGTGGATACCTCCCTACAATAGTCTGGCTGTCGATGATACTATGCACTATGCTCATCGTCTCTATGGTAAGGCTGTTCGAGCCAATGGCTTATTTTCGTTTCTATAGCTGCATGAAAACAGTAATATGAAGCTTTATATACAATGTTTCCTTTTCCCCATATTTCTGAATGATGGCATGAGAGTTATGAAAATATATAGGGAGCAGTTAAGGTAACGTATGTAGGATTAGGGTTATAGAGAACTTAACGATGATATACCAAGGCAACACGCGTAAGAATATAAAGAGAGAAGAATGTATAGGACAAGCGGTTATTACCTCTAATAATCATAATCCACGCTAAGCAGGGTGTATTTCGAGTATCTTTAGAATTCACGGCTCTCGCCAATATCACAAACATCAAAAACTCCAACGCCCGCAAGATTATTCTTCACTAATGCTTCCTTCAGTTTTTTTGGTGGTTCCATTACATCTTCCTCGGTCAAGACCCAGGTCCCCCAGTGCATTCCAAGCGCCCTTTCGCACCTTGTATCTTGAAATATGTTGACCGCGTCATGTGGGTTTGCATGCATGGGGCTCATGATGTATCTAGGATCGTATGCGCCAATAGGAATAAGCCCAAGTGTGAAAGGGCCGCGGTATTGGCCAACTTGGGCGAATGCGGGACAGTGTGGGTAGTCATGATCCGGGCCATAGTCGTCGACACCATTTGGTAGATCAGGAACCGATCGATAGCCAGTATCCCTGAAGAAGTTAGAATACTAAGATAGAGTCTACGAAGAAAACTAGAGAAAACTTACCCCGCAAAGTACACCTTCGACTGGCCTGACTCAACACTCCACGAAGCCCAAAGAGTATTAGACCGATCCCAGAGAGTGCGAGCACTGATGTGCTGGCACGGGAGACACCCAATACGTGCAGAAATGTTGGGGGGGTTATCCAGAGAGTTTTCAGCCGCGATTGCCTTGATTACGTCTCCTGATGGTGATAGGACGAATTCCCGCTCTTCCCACCAATCCAACTCAGTTACATTGTGGATTCCGCTCGCAGTGAACCATTGCTTGTTTCCAAGAGGTGCAAAAAATTGGCAATTCGGGTGCCTTTTATGAATCTGTTTGATAGTAGGGTATGAAAGGTGATCATAGTGATTGTGCGAAATCACAACGGCGTCTATAAAAGGTATATCCTCTACCGTGCAAGGCATCTCGGTGTATCGCTTCGGGCCAAGCCAGCTAAACGGAGAGCATCTATCTTCGAATACGGGATCGAAAAGGACCCTCAGGCCACCGGGAAATTCCACGTAGTAGCAGGCATGGCCCAGCCATGTGGCCCGTAACTTTCCAGTAGCCCTCGTCGGTAGGAATTTTGGTGAACGCACAGGTACAGTAGGAGGGGTTGTATCTGGAATATTGGCCTCGCCCTTAAAACGCCGCCTTTTCACTAGCGTTAGCTTAGGGCAATATATCCAAATTGGCTTTTTTGGACTTACGCAATAAGTTTGCTGAGTATTGCCCAGGCCGGTATTAAATGCCAGGAGCTATTGTTTTGTTAGTCCATGGACCCCTATCGGGATCAGAGGAGAGCCATGACTGACTCCCATGGATTCTGAAAACCTCCACCCTTCGCGTGATGTGCCTTTCCCTCCACGTCCTCGGGTGCTAGAACCTGCGTTGGGGTAGAAATCGCAGCAGTGTAGAGTACAGCGGCAGCGGTGGAAGCGGCCATTCTTGCTCAAAGCAGGTAGATGGTAGTAGACTATCACCGCTGGAGCTCAAGAGCGAGAAATTCTAGCAGACGGGTTTCAGCGGAGATTTATGTGAAAGGGAATGAAGGAGCGAAGCATGGCCGCCTGGCGTCGCGACAGCCCTGACGTCGACAACGTGCAACGGAGTTAGCAGGCGGCGTTAAGGCTGGAGCTATGGCTTGCAAATGGCACTAGTCCTATTATGATCTAGCGTTTAATTAGCTTAGTCGGAAAATCTTGATCGCAAAGTTGATCCGAGCCCGAAGCTGCATTTCAACAGCCATCCAGATGCCCGCCGACAATGGGGCAGCGGGCTTCTTGCGGCCAATGGAGCCATCTACGGCTGATCTGATTCTCCAGAAAAAGTATGCCGCTGAAACACCCTTCAAATCCGATCAGGGATTGTTGGGCCAACTGTCAAACAATCCCTTCTTTACGGCGGTATGTAACATAGCATTAAACTGGAATGAGCTTTAATATTAATGCCTATCTCTAGGGATTTGGTCTAGCTGGTCTTGGTGCTGGCCTGACCCTCGCCCAGAGAGGAATTCGACATGGAGCGGCCCTCCTTCGGAGGCGAATGCTCGTTGATGTTGAGATCAGCATCAAGGACGACTCCTACCCTTGGTTTTTACACTGGATGACCCTTTACCAGCGATCTCAGCTTGCCAAAACGCCGCAGAAGCTCGGTTTTGTTGAGTCCTTGCTCCGCAAAATGACACCAGGCATGCGCCATCTATCCATCCAAACCGAGAAAGTCGAGTTAGCGAATGGAGCCCTCCACACGCACTTCTCGCTCATCCCAGGTCCAGGAAAACACGTGTTACGGTATAAGAATGCCTTCATATTTGTTAATCGGGTTCGAGAGGAAAAATCGAGGGACTTACAGACAGGTCGACCGTGGGAAACTGTGACTTTGACTACTCTGTACTCCCAGCGGAGTATTTTTGAAGATCTTTTTCGAGAAGCCCATGAGTATGCAGCAAAGTCTCATGAGGGAAAGACTGTTATTTACAACTCATGGGGAACTGAATGGCGCCAGTTTGGCCAGCCCCGCCGAAAACGGCCTCTGAATTCCGTCATATTGGAAGAAGGTGTCAAGGAACGAGTAGTTGCCGATGTTAAAGATTTTCTTGCCAGTGCGTCGTGGTATCACGATCGCGGAATTCCGTATCGCCGTGGATACCTCTTGCACGGACCTCCCGGAACCGGCAAAAGTTCATTTATTCAGGCTTTAGCTGGTGAGCTAGATTACGATATTGCGATTCTTAACCTTAGTGAACGAGGACTGACTGATGATCGCCTCAATCATCTACTCACAATAATTCCATCCCGCACCTTGGTTCTATTGGAAGACGTGGACGCCGCTTTCTCCACCCGGCGCGTACAGACCGATACAGATGGTTATCGTGGGGCAAATGTAACCTTTTCAGGTTTGCTAAATACCATGGACGGAGTAGCAAGTGCCGAAGAGAGGATTATTTTCCTTACGACCAATCATGTTGAGAGGCTCGATGAAGCTCTGGTCCGCCCGGGCCGTGTCGATATGACGGTCAGACTCGGCGAGGCTACAAGACACCAGGCTGCGCAGCTCTGGGAACGATTCTATGGTGAATTTGAGAACTGTGAAGCGTACCAGAAGCAGTTTATTGAGAAACTGACGAGGCTTGGAGTTCTCGAAGACGAAAATGGTTGTAAAAGGGACCCGCCAAAAGCGACGAGCACTGCAGCCCTGCAAGGTCTATTTTTGTATAACAAGAACGATATGGCCGGCGCTATTGCCATGGCCGAGGGGTTACTAGGCGACGAGCCCCACACTGGCCCAGCAACCGAGTGACTGAAGAATCGCAAAACGTGGGGGACCCGGCTGCTGGGGTGATGACCGGGTCTTCGTGTATTCTATTCTCCTCTCCAGCCCGTAAATCCATAAATTTAGCAGTTCTTCAGGAAGTTTTGGCGCCGGAATCGCGGCCCGTGACCTGGCACGTGAACATACGCTAATGCGAGCTTAAGCCAACCACATTCTCTTGGCGTTTCTGATCTGCGTTTCAACGCTCAACGACATCGCCAAACGTCGTCGGGCACGCTTCTCACAGCTACCAGAGCCACGGGCGACGGGTGCCTCTACCATGTGTAAGGCGGTGCCATGCGAGATGCGCGATGGTTGGAGCAATATGGACTACGGAGTACTGGCACATATTATTTGCAGAAACAAAGTTCCTCGAAGCGCCGGGCTGTGATAAGATGCAGGGGATGTGCACCAATCACCCTCCATCTGCACTGTTTGCAGAAGCAGTCCTCCCGCTAGCCACTACTGGGGGCCGGAAGTTATTCAAGGCATCATGCACGGTGACACTAGGATACCCACCAACCGCCCATGATTTGCAGCAATAACCAGCGGCGAGCCGTGCGCGGTTTGTTTTTGCATACCGCTAATAATGCGCAGAGCAGCGGCAGCAGGCCTGATAGTCGCTGCACAAACATTACGCTTTCATTGGCTTGTGAGCGAGTCCCAAGCCAGGCACCGTGGCCATGTTTCTTTGTTTCCTGTCTAAAATTTTCGTCTTAAGACCTAGAAACCCCCGCATGTTCGAGTTTGGTAGATTGTGCATTCATTCTTCCCTTACTTGACCCATTTTTGGGTCGGCTTTCTAATATATACAAAATGGCTCAGACGCCTCAAACATCTTTTCAACTCTTCCCTAACGTCCAATCTCAGAATCATCTACATGGCCAACCTAGAAAGGGTCACAGAAGGCGATCAACAAGATCACCAACAGTCTCACCAGTAGCTGAAGATGTAAAAATTCCAGGACAGACAGAGACTGTCATTCTTCAGATAATTGAAGATACAAATGCGATCACGTCACCCCCACCTGCTCGAGTCAATCAATCACGGCTACCTCCTGTTCTCTCAGAAACGCCTGAAAATACGACCAAAAGTTCGAATTCCCGAAAAGCTCCATCCTTTTCGTCAGTTGCTCAACCTCAGTTCGCTGCGTGCTTCGAAATTGAGACCCAGCAGCCTGTAGGCCAAAAACCTAAAGGCAGATCGTTTTCAACCCCTTCGCCATCTGACCCATTTCCCTTTCGGTCATCACCAGCCCAATACAACACCCCTGCTGAGCCTTACGAAACCACATTATTTGGCTCTAATTTTCCCAGCTCAGATACACCGATAAGGTGTGGATCAAGCGCATCTGCTCGCTCCAACAATCCCTCGCACGCCGAAAAGAAATCCGTGTCCAGCCACATAAAATCCATATTTCCCCTCTACGATCCGAATGTCCCTCTTAGCAAACAGAAATACTACCCGCATCGTGCATCCTCCCTGCCACAGATCATTATTCCAACTTCTGAAAGAGATACTCGCCCGGCACCAGTACTCATTCCGTTAAACCTTACTACCTGTCCGCCTACAGCTCGAAAAGCCAGCGTATCATTCTCTTCAACTGATACACTGACGAAATTATGGGATACCTCGAATGGAGAAAGGTCCGTGACGGATCTAGACACTTTCTATCTGAAAATGCGAAAGTAATTATGACCTCATTGTTTCTCAAGTCCAACACAATGCTAATGTACATTAGGATCGATGCATTTACCTTCGTGTTTGGAAGCCAGACCTCCCCATTCTATACACTTCGCACCAACCCAATGAATGATCTTGAAATCCATAGGACCCATCCCAAACGGCCGAACACCAAATCACCGGTTATGACACTAAATATTGGCGATGCCAGTCGAGAAAGTCACGGAGGCATTTCCCTTGCTCTATTCCCTAAGCTTGCCGAACTCTTGACAAGGGAGCATGCTTTGGAGTTCGCTCGGAAGAATAACCTACCCCCTTTGAATGCAATGCAGGCGGAAAATGATGCTCTAATGAGATCAGAAGCTCAAAATTCTTGTATTCTTGAGCTGAAACCTGCGCAAAGCCAGTATAATATCTATTACCCAACATTACTTGGGTTGGGTATGGCCCCCACTCATGGCCAGGGCCCTTCCCACCCACCGAGTCAATTCGGGGTACTCCATGCAACCGTGTTGACTACGCTACCCCACACTATTGCCATGCGTCAATATCCGATAATTCAAATTGCGCCCCCAAATGCCGACCTAAATACCCAAGCTCCCTTGGTTTCTTTGGACCTTGAAAGTATGGCATTGTCTATTAATGTCCGACAGATACTAACCACGACTCGCTCATTCTACGGGATTGATACCATGGTTTCTTCAATTTTGACCGTCGCACTATCGAATGAGACGTCTAGATCCATTCTCTCCAGCATGAGCATCCAGTCCCCTAGGCCCTCTGTAGTACCCCCCCTTTACCGAGAGGACTCCCCACAGCCGGAGCTTCCGGCCAGGAATGCAGGCGTTCAGCTAATCGCTACCCAAGCGGAGCGGGAAGATGTCGAAGAAGCTATGCTAATGGATCAAATTCGCTCCCAACCGCGGCCTCATGCTAAGCAACGGTTCTCCCTCATGAGTATCTTGCCTTGGAAACCCGAAAGTGACGAGCCAACTAAAGTCAAAGATAAGAAGAAACCCAAGAAGAAAGCAAAGCCCGTTGCAGTGGAAGAATTTGACCTTGAGCAGTATGGGAGTAATGCAAAGGGTGCTTATGAAAAGCAGAAGCTTCCAAGGACATCGAGGGTAATCTTAAAGTTCATCTCGTGGGCATTTTCAGCAACCATTTGGATACTGACTAAGGCTGTCAAGTTCTTGGTTTGGGTGGTGGTTACTATTACGAAGCGAATGACACGTGAGAAATCTTGATGAAAAACTATTTATATTGCCTCTCCTGACGATTGAAACTTGAAACATTGTTAATTACTATTTTGGCGGGGCAGGTTCCCGCTGCAGCGGTGGTTTTTATTATGACTTTAGCAACGCATACTTGACTGATACCCCTGTTAGTCGTTTTTAATATATCATACCAGTATTTCCTGCACATGTGAAGTGCTCTGCAACGACCCGAATTATTTTTGGTCTTAGTTTATTTCTCTTAATTTATTTCTAGCAATAGTGTAGAGACATGTCAATAAACAAACCCAATTCTAGCACCTGATATTCCAAATTAGTATGAAGATCTGTACACTCTAGCATAATGTATTTCACTTTGTTTCTAGTTTCGCCATAGAATTAGTAGTTTCGAGCTCGCGAAAGAGTTCGAGTTTGAGACTTGGTTTGCTAGCGAGTCAAGCAACTGTTTTCAGAAACCCAATCTACATCAGAAGCCAACCACGAAAGAAGAAGCAGATCTCCATATGGTAACATATTCATTTCTATTATTTTTGAATGCAGTGCTGCGTAAAATATCTCATGAATATCCCCTTGAATAGAAACAACAAGACAAAACAAAGGCTTGGTGGAAGAATTCCAGCCTGTGTTTTTTACTAACATGCCAAAGACACCTTGGAAATGTGGGAGCAGAAAGAGAAGAAGAAGAGGAAATTCTTTTTTTTTAGGACAGAAGAATAATAAGAAGAAGAAAAAAGTGTATGTATGTGCCAGAAAGTAGCGCTTTCCCCCTGTTACTCGCTAAAGAAGACGACAGACAGCAAAACAGCCCGTAAGAGCCAAAAAAAAAAAAAGACACACGTAAAAATAATTGACAGGAATTGAAGCTTCGGAGGAGAATAAGAGCAGGTATCTTCAGTTAGTCATGGGTTTTCATTGGAACTTCTTCCAGGCTCGCCACTGGCCCGGTGAAGGGGGGGAGCTGGTCCCAGGACGAGTATCCGCATCATTGCGGAAATGTCCCGGACGCGCCAGAAACGACGCGCGCTCCTTATCCTCCCTGATGGCCTGTCGTCGGGCAACCCGCAAGGAGTCGATGCGGGCCTGCGAGAAGCGGAATCGCCGCATGAAGCAATCATCGGCGAGCGCACTCGCGTCGAGCATTCTCTTTGGGGCAGTCTGTACGATCTGGAAGATCTCCATGGGATCGCTAACGGAGAGGATGTCACGTTGGCTGATCCGGAAAATCGCCAGGGCAACGCGAAAAAAGGTCCTAGACCCTTCGTAGAAAAGAATGTCCCAGACGCGCAGCGTAGTTTCCAAAGGGAGACTGCCGATGAACATAGACATTAGCCAGTTGGTAAGCCCAAGAGTGATATCGGGTAGTCGTGTAGTAGTGGTGATGGTTGGAGGTCTGGATCTCGCAGTGGTAGGCGTTGGGCTGGCGACTTTCGTGTAAACAGCGGGGAGAGATTCCTTTAGGGCCACCATGAGTATCCAAAGGTCGGCATTGGCGCCCTCGAGACTGACCTCATGGGTCCCAGGCAAAAATGTAGAAGTAATGATATGGAGCATCCAAAAAGATTTTTCTTCGGGTAGGAACAGAAGGAGAAGGCCTGCGATAAAGTTAAGTGATTGGGTATAACCAATCTTCGAGTTATGAATCGAAAACGCATAGAGAACACGACGTAGCGACTGAATTATAGGAGTTTCTGGGGTATCTGAAAGGTGATTAAGATTGCTGCTTCCTTCGAATGGCTGGGATGCGGAGGAGTCATCGGGCTTGTAGTGAACATTGTCAGGGAACGTTCTGTGAAGATCACGCTCGATATGTTCCTTGTCGTCGTTCATGGGTGCCTGGAATGCCTGTTCCACGAGTTTACGATAGAGGCCTGGGCTTTTGAGAAGATACTCCGGGCCTCCTGCATACCAAAACCAGGCAGAACCACGGTACTCGGGAGGGATACCTTTCCTGATGTACCGCTTCATCTTATTGGACCTTGAGGGGAAAGGAAGGGTATCTGAATGCTCAGGATGAGCGCTTCCCACCATTTCTACCCATTTTCGCCTGCGATAGTCAACGTATCTTAGATATGGGTCGTTCCACGCTTTGAACTGCCTCACGGTGATATGGGTGGTTTGCTTTTTGAACCCATATATATCTCTGAGATCAGTGTCGGTTGACAACGGCGGTGGTACTCCGACAGACAATACTTCCGGCACCGTCATTCTCTTCTCTACGTTTCCTGGTAGATTGCCACTTGGACTTGAAAGAGGGCTTGTTCTCTGCTCCTTGTCCGCTGACCCAGTGTCCACCACCAGCTTTGGCTGCAATTGTGATTTAGGTAACGATATAGGAGCGTTTGTGGGAGATGTTGTTTTGTTGCTAGGTGATACTAAGGCGTTTGGCCCAAGCTCCGCCACTTTTAGAGATGACTTAGGATAACGAGATATGGATTGGAGATCTGCAGCCGGAAGCGACTTTTCCGGGTCAGGCGAGTCGGGCGAGGTGCCGGAGGAAGAGTCGTCAGAGAAGCCGTCCAAATACATATCAATGGCATCGTCCACACTCATACCGGTGTCCCCAGCGTCTGGCGAAAGATCGGCCACGGAGCTCGGATTGGTCAGGATGCTACTTCTCTCGGTCTCGCTGGCGGGCTCCAGGCTGGTACTGCCCGTCGTGGCGGAGTGCAGGCTCGACCGTAGCGGCGTATCAAAATGCAGCTCGGGGGGCGGGTAGGGGTGTGGGCAGCGCGGGCTCAAGGGCGTCTGCAGCGGCGAGCGGTCATGACGAAAGGGCGCAAAGTGCCTGGAATGCACATTTATGGGCGACAAAGCGGGCAGTTGCCTGGCAGACGGGGAGACGGGCGTGGCAGCCCGCGAGGCGGATCTGTCAGTCTTGCTGGCCGGGGAGACGGGGGCAGGCTCATGGCGGCGGATATCAAACGGCGAGGCGGCGCGGAGAGACGGCACTGTAGCAGCAGTGGCAGCAGGCGAGAGCTGGAGGCAGGCGGGACGCAGGGCGTGTGGCGGCGGGCGAGCAGGCGCGGGCACGGCGGTGTCGAGGGCATTCAGGGCCGGGCGACGGGCCAGGGGGCTGGTGGGCAGCAGCGTGCTGACATCGTCAGGGTCGGGCAGGCGAAAGGTAGCGTGAATCGCCGCTTGTTTCGTGCCCATGGCCGCTGCTGTCGGGTGTCGCAGCCGGCCGGGGGCATCGGATGGGCTGGGCTGGGCTGCGGCTGGTCTCACGACGCCATGTAGCTCTGGCTCACGGGCTTCGAGCTCTCACGGCGCGCACACGACGGCGGGCGACGATACGGGCTCGCGGGCGGGGAGGCAAGACGGCTCGGCGGAGGCACAGGCGACGGACGGCGAGCAGGCAGCGCGGTGGGAGGGCGAGAGAGAGAGAGAGAGGCCGGCGGTTAGCTCGCATGGCGGGAAGACGCCGGCGCTGGTGCGACAACCACGGGGGGGGCGAAGCGAAGCGAAAGCGACTCAGACAGCTGAAGCTTGATGGCAGCAGCACACGCCCAACACCACACGGCCAGGCTGGTGAGTCAAGCGGCCGCGTTAGAGTTGGCTCGCCGTCGCAGATGCAAGACACGGAGCCAGACGGCGGCGGCTTCACACGCCTCCCCGAAATCCGGCCGCACAATGGATGATCGCAGCCAACAACGACACCAGCAAACAGCAACAATGGGGATGCTGGCTCGCTGATCGTCCGAGCAGGACAGGGCACATACAGGCGCTGGGCTGATCTCGCATCTCCTGCGAGGCACAGCACGGCACGGCTCCTGACGCAACAGATCAAACACCTCCTGCAGCAGCAGGGCAGGCTTTCTTTCATGTTTCTTTCACGGCGTCCAAGGGAGAAGAAGAAGAGGAGGAGGAAGAAGAAGAGCTCAGGCTCCGGCGCATCGGCATTGTCTCTAGGTACTCGTTCACAAACATCAAAAACTCCAACATGTCCCAGCAAAGAAAGGCCAGCGAAGAAGCGTCCTCCCAAAAAAAAAAACCGCAACAGCATGGTCAAAACAGTCATTGGGCTCATGTTCACATCTTGAGACATTAGTCCTCCCATTCCCAGCCCTCACCTCTCCTTCGCATACTTCTTCGTCCACTCCCGCGCCGTCTGGTCAAACAGCTCGCGATCGTTGTTGAACTGCTCGGCGATGCGGCCCTCCACGGCGTCGTCGGGCATGGGCTCCTCCAGTAGGTTCCGGGCGAACTCGATCACCGAGTGCAGCCTGGTCGACGGCTTCCACTCGTCGGCGCGTAGCATCCCTAGGCACATCGTGCCCTTGTCGTCGTTCGTGACGTTGGGGTGGTAGATTTTGGTCGCGAACGACACCGTCGGCGGCTTGAAGGGATACTCCGGCGGCAGCACGAGCAGTAGACTGAAGGAACCGCCCTGCAGCGCCCGTTAGTCGTCGTCTGGCTCAACGGCCTGGAGTTCAGTATGTAGTTCGGCGGGCAGCACGTACGCGGTACGGCGAGTTGTCTGGCCCCGCCATCTGCACCCGCCATCTGTACAGATCGGCCTCGTCGCGCAGCGCGACCTCGATGCCTGCCGGCGGCGTCTTCATCAGCTCGCTCAGCTCCTATGCCACAGCCATATCAGTCAGCACGGCTCCCCAAATCACCCATGAAGGCGGACTCGCACCTTTGCAATGCGCTTCTGACTTCCCATGGTGGCGCGGGGTACTTCGCGGGGGCCGCGTAGTTGGTGACCCGGGCGTGATGGTGCAGCGACACGCGCAGGGTTACAGTCCAGACGGGTTAAGTAGTGATGTATATGTAAACACGGTCTACCAATACCAGCTGGATGCGGAGGTGCAGAACTGTGGCACGACCTTCCAGCTGTCCATCTGGAACTTACATATGCTTCCGCCACATCACCTCGCAGCCCCGTCTTCCTTGGCCTTCTCTCACACATCAAGCCATGTCGTCACGTCCTGTTAATCCACTGCTTGTGGTCCCCGTTCCTATAGGGGTTGTGCCAGGCCGTATTGCTGGGTTGTAGGCAATGATCGATGACCAAGCTACCAGTGAGCCGTAGAAGAAAAATCTCCACACTGCTATCAGCCTGTAGTACAATCATTTCCAAGGTAGAATTGAGTACAGATTGTGTCAAGTAACTATATTTGGGTGCATCATACAGAGGTCTTCCTGGGTATGTAGTGTCCTTTCGGATAATCAAAAAGAACTGTGTTGGAGGGACGATACCCAACAAGTGCCAGCAAGAGTGATTCTATGTTAGGCAATTGCCTGAGACTGGCGAGCTGAAGGAGACAGAGTAGATGGTATCGGACAGGACTGCAGCTAGAAGGTGGTGCACAGGAATTTTGTCGGGCCAAATAGGTGCTGCATGAAAAATGTCTGATAGTTCTTGGCACCAAACCGTTCTCCCGCACCACCTTCTAGCTGCATGGTCATCTATTAATCTGTCACAGCCAACACTCGTCAATTTCAATCATTAGGATCTGAAGCTGAACTCTCTGATCAGGTCAAAACTTCAACTCATTTGAGCAAGACCATGAGTTGGGTACATAAGGTACCGTGCTCGTGGGGCGTGGGATTCATCGAAGGCATACTATACTAATTACCTGATTAGGTAGAGAGCTCGGCTTCAAATTGTAGAGCTAACACAGCCATGCCTAGCCAGCGCAGCATACCGAATAAGATGCTGTCACCCTATTATACCCCAGACCAATTCGTCGCGATCGAGCTGTCGATGCTGCAGCTTCTGCAGCTTCCAGTGTTTGGCACATTCTCCAGCACCAATTCAAACCAGTAAAATTATCTTACATTTTGGGAGTCTATTCTCGCTGGAGAATCACCATAAGGCCCATAATCCCTAATAACACACTCTTCAGCCACGGATGCTCGCTGAGCATGATTGTCACATATCCAACAGCTGGAATGTAGCCCCGTACACTGCCCACCAGATCCACTTTCCGGTCCAGAAAGTCCTGTCCCTGCGCGTAAAGCTCCGTATCATCAGCGAGGTTGTTGTCGCCCTTGGTGAGCAACTTGTGCGAAACGAGCGAGGCGTCTGAGTGAACGGCCCTGTATAATATGCATTAGTTTCCACGGCACCCAGACGTATACATCTCCAACTGAGCTTCAGCGAAGCTTCAAAGTAGCCGTAAGAACAAGAAAACACAACCCTATCCTACTTACCCAGCTGCAGTGGTATCTTTCTTCCCCGTCTTCGCACTCGACCCAGCACTCTTCTTCTTCTGCCCGGCCTCCTTCGGATCCTTCGCATCGTCGCCAAACGCCCTCACCACGCGGTGCACGATTGGGATATCCTTTCCTCGCACGTTATACACCACGATCTCGCCCACTTCGGCGCGGGGGCTGCGGTTCCACAGAAACAGCAGATCGCCGCGCTGGAAGGCGGGCTCCATGCTGCCCGAGAGCACAACGACGATGGGCGACGACGAGTTGGTGTAGATGGACAGGCCCTTCCACATCATGAACGCGGTCGACAGCACGAGTGCGAAATTGAGCACCTGCGTGAGCGTCTGCCGCGGGTTGGCGAGGTATGGGGCGATGTTGCTCAGCATGGTGCCGGTGTCTGGCGGCGCGGCCGGGCGTTCGAGAAGAAAAGGAAAATACAGAGAGGACGCTGATGGGGATGGGAATTGGTGTTGGGAGGTTGGATGGGAGTCTCTCCACCTCGAAATCGCGCCGGCGTGGAGTTCTTTGCACGAAGCCGTGGAGGACGTGGTCGCGGCCTGTCGAGGAAGAAAGCTTGACGCAAGCTGGCCAGAGAAAGCTCGCCCGCACCCGCGCTTTTTTAGCGTGAAGACTCGCCCGTCACTTTACTCCCGCACCCTTTTTGTCAACTTTCTCTCTCTTACATTCATAACCAGCAGCGCTGCTCTACTCATATAATTCCGATTAGAAGCCTGAAGTATTGCCCTATCCGAATAGCTAACAACTAACATCGGGTTTGTCAGATCCCAACGATGAATAAAACATGCCTTATTGTCCAGTGCTCGTCTAATGCCTTGCCTTGCGCAAACCCCCCATTCCCGTTACCATAAAAACGCCTCCACAATGCATATAAAGAAAACAAACAGCGATGAATGAAACATAGCCTAAGCCTCAGCATTGTATTCCACGTCGGCTTTGTTAGTTCAACTCCGCTTCCGCTGCCGTCACAGCAGCCAGGCGCTTTGAGATCACTTTGCCGGCTTCCAGGTATACCGCGGCCCTGAAAGCAGTATACCTCATCATTATCGTCCAGAACTTCGCGTCGTTCTGAATCGACAGAGACGCCAGTCTTGTTCCAAAATACTCCGCGATGTAGGCCCGCATCGGGTCGCGTTCGCCCGCGCAGCAGCACGGCTTCGCGGGTGATTTCGTCGCCGTTGTCTGGAGCCCCTCGTATTCCTGTTCACGGTGACCGTCGATGGACGAGAAGATGAAACTTGCAACCTGGATGATGACGTCCTCTTCGACATATTGGCAGCCCAGCTTGAGCTTGCGAACCGCAAGCATTTCAAGGTTGGGTATGTACAGGCTGTGCGCGAGGTTGTACATCCACGCGCACCGCAGAGCTTCCGCGTTATACTCTTCTCTCGTCCTATACCCTTCCAGATAGTACGCCGTGCATCTCTCCTTTCGTAGCCCCGGCTGTAGAGGATTCTGCCCCACCCGGCTCTCGATGAGCATGGGAAAATATTCCCCCGTCAGGAGAAAGCTGCTGACAGCGCCGCGATCCTGCTCATCCAGCGTGGAAAACAATACTGCCGCGGTCTGACTCATAGAATCGCTCATGGATTCCAACGACATTACCATAACGCTTGACCTGACATGCACTCCTGGCCTTTGGATCGCGCTATCAGCCTCTCCGGCATGACGCGCCTGTAGCCTCGCCTCCTGATCTTTGGGGATCTCTCCCGCATCCTCCAGGTTTTCTCTTTCTATATTCTGTATAGCAACTCGGTGGATATCTCCACAGCAGAACTTCTCGCATTTCTTGGCGTGCTCTTCACTCTTTTCATCAAAGAATGGCGGCATGGGGTCTTCCGTTTCGCTCGGCGGGCGTTCTGTTGCTTGGTCGGACTGAGATTCTTGGTTTTCTCGAATAACTTGTCCATCCTTCATCCACCGGATGTTTCGCGGGCATCCCGCCTCTGTGGCCATGGGCGCGGCGTGCAGAATAAATAACCTTTACAATGACCTCACGATAGAAGCGTAACCCACTCTTCAGCCTGGCGTTCTCGAAGCCCATGACTGAACTGCCAAAGATGCCATTCTTGTTAGAAACCTGAGCAGAGCTTTACAACGGCAACCGCAACTCTGCCGCATTCGGAGCTGGTCGATCTTTCCGCTGGCCCTAAAAGCTTGATTTGATATGCGGATCAAGAAGAAGTTTAGGGAGAATAGCCTAACACCTCGATAAATGGTCTACATGTAGCGCTGCGAGATCAATGTGGTGGCCAAAATTCTCATATTTCAATATAGCCCCTGATCGAGCTCACTAATACAGGACTTAGAAGCAGAGTTATACAATTGCGAGAGCAGTCGCAGGCTGGTTTATAGGGCTTGAGGAGAGGGATGGGCAGGAAACGAGCTTCGGTGAAAAAGACCAGCAGAAACTGAGAGATACACGGGGAAAAAGGACCAATCACCCTAGGACTTCAAGGTTCAATCTGATGTTATCAATTTCACAAGTCAAAAAATGCAATGGTGGCATAAAACCAAAGCGTGCCCGGCCAACCTCGAGCAACAAGAAGAATAGAATCAATCGAAAAGCTTGGGTGATTCTTATTATCAAAAGCAGAACTGGGTTCTGGTTCGCAAACTGGTCTCAGATCATCCCATCTACGGTCGTTGTTTCGCATTTTCGTTTAGATTCCTCGGGCTGTTTATTTCGTTCCGACAATTTCAGTCAACAGCACCCGAGAAGATTTCCATTTGGATTAGTAGCACGATAACAGTGCAGGTCTTAATTTAAAAAGACTTGGGAGGGTGGCTACTGCAGTTAGAACTGGGTAGTTGAATAGAAGTCGTGCCATGAATAGCGCGCAAGTCAGCCCCTCAGAAGCTAGGCACAGAGGGTACATACTTCATTCCAGCAACGTCATCAATATGATTGCACATCGCTACGAACAGATCGAAAAACAATTTACCACCCATCTCCATCTCCGTCTGCATAGTTCCGCTTCTCTTGAACGTCTTGCGGCTCCGAATGATTAGGGCTAGAAAATGAGCTCGGAGTCGAGATTCCGAGTCCGGTGTGTTGTCGTATGTATACCGCGCGGAGCGGAGAATGACATCGGCTGGGATTGCAACGTGAAGCCCCTGCTTTTTTAGAGCAAGGGATTTCAGCCCATCCAAACCGTATTTCTCAGCAGCACAATATATAACGGTATCCCGAAGGACATAGTTGCCAATGCCGGAATGGAATATGACTGATTCACTTGATCCTCGGCCACCTGTTTTACGCAGCTGGGAGTCCTCGAGGTAATAAGGGTTGTGACGTTTACTCTGGAGCAAACGGGGGTAATAGTCACCCTTGTAGAGGTATTCGAGGACGCAGGACAATATCTCGGGTTCCCTAAAGCAGATGTCAAGCCGCAATTCAATCCAAAATCGGGTAATAGAGTCGCACTACGTACTCGTCATGCAAGCCAATCTGTTTTGGGCTATCACCCACCATTTGGTGTTTCAAGGCAGCCGCAAAGAAAGGCGAGAGAGACAAGACATCCTCATGAGCAGCAAAAACTCGTTGATCTTGACCTACGATTAGGGTCACTATGGGGCTTGTAAGGCTGCTAGTTGATAGTCAGCTTTCATCCCATGTAAGCTAGCAAACACTCTATATGCGTGGACGAACCCAGAGCTTGATGGGCTGTCTAATTTCTCCTGCATTTTAATCTTTGTTTCGTCGCGGTAGGTCTTCTTAGCGGGCTTGACGGACTTTCCCACTCGGTCCCTTGAGGAAATCGAGCGTTTGAACATCGCTTCCGAATTGGCGACAACTGACGGAAGAAACTAGGCAGAAGAATGTTCCGGATATATGTATATATATAGCAAAGATAAAGAGTGGACAGGCTATCGCCAAAAATCAAATTGACGCTGATCGATCACGCACGTAGCATGAGAGCCTTGGAAAGCCGCTCCCAAGAGCTACGAGCCCCAACTATCTTCAATTCTCGGGCGCGAGAACGAGAGGACAGAGGAGACGCGTAGTTATCCCAGAAAGAGGCTTTGCGCACGAGATATCATACAGAAATGAACCTCGTGCGGATGGACAACTGGTCGGCTCGACGAAGCGTGAAAGACGAAAGAAAAAAAAGAAGACTGAGGCGAACACGAAGAAATGTAGATAGCCCGCGAAAGGCTGGGTCATGTGATGGCGCCAGGCAGCCGCTGCAGATCACAACCCCGCGTTGTGTACGCGGAAATAATAATAATAATAATGCTGAAGACTGTCCTCACGTGTGCATCAGCCAAAATTGCTTGGTGGGCATTGCCAACTGACTTCCAAGGCAATTGTATATTATTGCTGGCCAACAATAACAGCGACAACATGTCGAGATGCCGGTCAACAGCCGAGCAGAATCCTTCTCGAAAATTATCGATAATACTGATAAACGTACCATGAATTTGGTTTGGAAGTTCACTCCTTTGCAGAATTCTCTGTTGGATCTATGCCAAGCTTCCATTCATCCAGTCAGCTTGCGTGGCAATGTCAACACGTCAAACTTTGGAGGTTCCTGAATGCTAAACAAGATTTAGCCCTCCAAAGATCATGGTAGCTTTGGCGGGGTATGAGAAGCCTCTGCCTTCAAATATGCTAGACGATGTTCCTCATACGGCATTATGGTATGTTTGGAATGAAACGTTAGCTATGAACAATGTATCGTGCACTTGCGGTTTGTTTTCAACACTCGATATGATTCCCCAAATATTTGGGTCTGTGCGCTGTACCGTGAGTAGTTATTATTTGCTAATTTCTTACGTAGCTATTTGTGTGCTTTGTTTCAGATCCAAGAGGCCACAACCAGCCTATATAGACTGCGGTACAGGAGTAGATATTGAACCCATAGGGCTATTTCCAAGAATGGCATACTTATCCTGAGGAGCAGTCACACGGAGCAATCTCACGTATGCCACCGTATAGAGTACGGAGTACTGGTGACTGAACGCGTCTGTAGATGAGTTCATCGGACTTGGCTGGTGCCTCGAGTATCATTGTGGAATACCCCGGTCTCCACTAGTGATACACTATGGATGGGACATCCTGGTGTTTGTTTCGTAGCCTCAGCAGGTCGCAGGGAAACAAATCCCCTACAATTCTCCGCTGAAGGTCCCTGCCTAGCTAGCACCTTGGCAACCACCAGCCACACTCACACGCCAAGCCTTATTTTAGGGCTGTGCAGAAGACGCACGAGCCACTTTGTGGCGACGTTACGCGGTGCGGAAGTTGACGTCAACGCCAGCCCCCGCCAAAATAAACACGGCGGCTCCAGCAGTGTCTTCATGCGCTGGACCATGAATGTTTTTAGAATTTATGAATGTTAATGATTACTTTTATATTTTGGGATTTTGAGTATAAGATCTGTTGACATTTACATTATTTTTGACATCTTGCAGCACATCTATTGTGAACAGGTGCATTCCAGGCTCCATTCAAAATGGCGATGAAATACTTCAAAAACATCAAGGAAAAGGTGCCTTACATCAAAAAACCCGTCAAACCCCACACTCCAATCCTTAGTGACGAAGAACAAGAGTTTTTAAGCGCAGTAGTCAGTTCTCCCGAGAAGACAAGAGGGGACCATGGTGGCAATGCGCAGGTCGCGATAATGGATGGCGCACAGAATATTCCATTACCCATGTCGCCTTGCGAAGAAAATGACCTGGACAAAGAACTAGCGCTTGCAGGCAGCAAGTCGAGGGCGGAAGAGGAGCAACATAGCGAGAAGCTGGCACAGGCGAAAAAGAAAAATCGCTGGAGCTGGATGAAGAGTGGAGAGGCAAAGACGAAGGCGGAAAAGGTATGTGCAATTAATCCATCATCGTATAAAATTCCTGGAAGATGCTGAATGTTGTTTATTTTTGCCCAGGAGCCGTCCACCGCTGCCGAGAAAGAAGTTAAAAAGGAAGAGGAAGATATCTCAGAAGTTCTTGAAAAGTTGAACCTTGCCGCGGTCAATAATCGAGTATTTTCTGTCAGCGATGAAACACAAGATCTACTGGAGAAATTTAAGTTTGTTTTTAAAGACCTGGTGAACGGTGTCCCAACGGCATATAACGACCTGGAAAGTCTCTTGAAGAATGGAGACAGGCAGCTGCAGAGCTCCTTCAACAAGCTTCCCGACTTCTTGCAGAAGTTAATTGAGCAGTTGCCGGACAAGGTGACGAAAAAGTTTGCGCCAGAGATACTCGCGGCCGCTGCAGAACGAGCCGAGAAGCACGGGTTAAGTGCTGACGCTGCCGGCAAGGCGGCCGGAGCCGCGACCAAAATGGGGCTCGAGGTTCCTAGCCTTAAGGAGCTTGTAGCAAAGCCTGCTGCTATTGCAGGAATGCTGCGGTCTATAATAACATTTTTAAAAGCACGGTTCCCAGCATTACTGGGCGTGAATGTGCTTTGGTCTTTGGCACTAATGGGTAAGTGATTGAACCACTTCGATTTTATGCGTTGGCTCTGACTGACTATTTGAAAACAGTCTTGCTCATGGTCTTATGGTACTGCCATAAACGGGGCCGTGAAGAGCGCTTGGAAAGAGAAAGACTTTCCAGAGAGGCATCTGCCTCTCAGTTAGAAACGGCAGATGACGCAGCAGACGACACAGCAGAAGCCCCTGCCACGACTTCTAGCGAAAGTAGCGCAGCTGCAGAGCCCAGCGAAGCCCGGCGGTCATCGACGCTGCAAGAGCCCTCGCCTCATCCTGCAACTGGCAAAAATACACGTCGCAAGACGGTCGAGCCGTATGAGGGAACTTAATTTGCCTTACATTCATACGCATGTGTCTTGACCGGAGTGTCAACTGGCCACGTCGAGGATGTATGTATGATTAGGCCAGGATTCGTGGCAGCCCCGCCTAAAAGACGTAGGCGGTCAGATTGAGGACAGGCGCATCTATTCTTGAAATATTTTCCCCGTCTCTGGGCAGGCAGTGTTGGCTGGAAGCTTGCATATGTAGCCTGATTGATACCACAGATTTTTTTTCTATATATATATATATATCGCTGCGGCGGTCTTCTCCCTAGATAGCTAGCCATTGGCAGTTTCACAGAAGCAATTTTTATATTGTGTGCATATTATTGTGCGTTTCCAAGTGCGGCAGCGAGTGGCGCATGGCTAAGGCAACCTCAGATCAAGCGGTGGCTCTTAGGCTTTCTTCCACCCTGTCTCCGGGTGGGCCCCGAGGTGCAGCAAAGGACCAACCACGCCATGGATGATTGCGCATGATGCGACCCAGGTCCAGCGCGAAAAGACCGGCCTGTGACCTGTCCACTTCCTGCAACATTCGAGGCGACTTCCCGGGAGGGGGAAGAAAGTGCGTATCCCTACGGAGTACATACGTAGCTCGCTCGGGGCCGAGAGAAAAATTGGAATTTCAGGCAGTTGGGAGGGCCGCCGGGTCGCTGCAGGCCGTGCACACCTGCGGGACGCTGTTGAGATGCGTGAGGATCCCTGCTCTGGGGACAGCTAGGAGCGTATCGATACGAGCTGCTGCACGCCTGTAACAGATGGAGGGGAGATCGTGTGTCCCGCGGGTGTTGAGTTTGCCGAATCCAAGGAATGCCGCCCACCCAGCAGGATTGGACACAGCTGGTCCCCTGCTCTCCCATCCGCACCGCGAGCAGCTGGCGATTGCAGGGACAGCAGCCTGTTCGTGGGCGCAAGGAGGATTGATGGCACGCTTCTTTGTCACTCGTGCTCCACCGGCGTTGGTGGGCGTAATTCGCTTACCGTACGCGGCGGGTCGGCCTGGCGCTCTCCACACCAGCTCCGGTGCGACGGCAGGCCGGGTACCTCTGGCCAGGTACCTCGTCGCGCAAAACTAGGCGCGCAGGAACCGGGCCAGCAGGTCACGCCACAAAAGACGGTGAAGTGGCGGGCCAATCGCGCGCCGTTACCAGCCGCGTATGGTATGGTCAGTTCACATCGTGACCGGGCCCGTGACGGTACGGCGGCCCACCGCAGCCAACCAGCGGCGGCCGCCGCAACATTAATCCGCGCCGGCGAGCAATCCTGGCATCCCCGAGACTTCATCCAACGGGCCTTTTTCTCTCCTCTTTTCTCCTCTTCTTCTTCTGCTCGTCCACAACCGCAGGCCTTCTCCCAGTTCTTTGACTCCCCTATATCTCGAGCATCCAGACACCGAACGTCAGTACTACCCCAAATATTGTCGAGTACGCCCGCCTAATGGCTGTCGCTGGGCCCTAAATCTCTTCGCGCTGGGGGAGCATGGCCTGCCCATGTTCCTCCAGCCCAACGAGAAGTCCAACGAGGAACAAGTTACTTGACTTGACGATATTTGTGAAACTCTTTCGGCCGCCGCTTCGAGCGTCGAAATTGCCCCTACTACGATTTTCAGAATTGACCTCGACGTCCACTAGGGTTGGAGTTGCTGTTACCATTGACACTGTGTTCTTCCCCTCCCTACGCCCACACCGCCCATTCCTCACGACGATCCTACTTTTCGTCTTCTATTTCATACCTTTTGTCACTGAGTTCTTTGCACGTGCCTGGATACCCTCTTCGCGTTTCCGTCTTATCGTTTCATCTTCACTCCAACTTCGACATCTTGAGCCACCATCCTTTTGTGCACAATGAGCACCACTACTGGAAATTACCCAGCTACCCCCTTGACTTCTGTCAAATCCACTTCTGGAAGACCCCGTGTCTCCACCGACAACCTAGACCTCCGCCCCCAGACCGACGCCCTCGATTATCTAGCGTCTCCCAAACCCAAGTCTATTCCAAATCAACAAAATAACAAGAAAAACAAAATGCCACCTTCAAAAAAACAAAATGAGTTTGGTGGTGGGAACAAAGGAATGAAGTCAGAAATGACTTCCGATGATGGCACACCCTCTTCGGCTCTTGCTAATGTCGATCAAGTGGATTGCGATGAGAATGAAGAGGAAGAAAGTGATGATGATGAAGATGAGCCGGCAGCTTTCGCCCCGTCTTACGGCACAAACACAGAAAAGAACCGTAAGGCGGGGCATCGGCTTGGCACATCAGTAAAGAAGGGAAGAAAGTCAACTGCTACACACGGTCATTACGACGGAGCGAGTGATGAGGAGCATTGCTCTGGCTCAGTGTCTTCTGTCAGTTCTGTTAGCGGCGAATGTTGCACCGGGTCCGCAGATTCGGATGCCGAGTATGATGCTGTGGACTTCCTATCAGATGGAGATGACGAGGATTTGGAAGTGGAAAAGTTTGAAGAACAATGGATCGTAGGTGAATTTCAGCATGGAAGACCCAATAGCGTGTCCGGATTGCGAGGCTTTGGAGATGAATGGAGTGGTTTCGACGACCTTGAACATCGACCCCTCTACTCTGCTGGCTCATTCTTTGATGAAGATCAAATTATGATGCCAAACACTTCCAATGAAATGTTCAATGCCGAAATGGCCAGCGATAATTTTGAGACCCCAGTGCCAAGGCGGGTTCACTTTATGGAATCCGATGACTCTTCAGATTCTAGTTCTGAGGACGAGTTGCTTTCTGACTTTCTACAACAAGAGAGCCTTGACCCTGACCTCAGACGCCTGATCGAAAACGACGGCTGCCGTAACCCTCTGGATTTTCAGGTAGACAATGCATTCTATGAGATCCCCAGCAATATTTATCACGTTGAATCCGATAGTGACGTCGGTAGTTCAAGTGGCTACGAGAGTAGGTCATCTGTGTTTATTGTGTCTTCTCAACGATTACTAATTCATGGTAGCTGATGGTGGGGAGACCACGGACGAAGAGGACTACCCCCCACCCGCGACCATTACGCATCCGCGGTCAATTCTTCGGCGTGAATCAAGCGTGTCGGTATCTGCAGGCGATGAAGATAACACACAAACACAGTTGGCACGCAGACGCGGGCCTCTTCGAGGCACGTTTATTGCCGATCCCAACAAGCCCGTTGCTGTCATGGCGCCCAACGGAAAGCAACTAATTTTGATTCCTCCATATGCATCGTACCGCCATGATTGGCTGGAAACAGCAACAAATAGTCTTGCAAACACAGCTACTAATAGCCCACGAGCAACGAACAACGCGGAAGATAGCGATACTGATCTCGTTTCCCCAAGTCGACCAGATTTCAGTCCCATGTTGAGCTCCGCCGCCAATTTGATGATGACAGCATTGAATGGGAACGATGCTGGTGGAGAAGTCACCGGGCCACCCGAGGCCTTTTATCCGAATGGAAAATATCTTCTCGACCCCTTTGAGGATGACGATGATGATGAAGATAGCGAATCAGCTTTGAATGTGAACGACTTCATCAATTTCGGTGACGCTTCTTCTGACGGCGAAACGGATAAAATGATGGATGATGTTGATTCTCCATTCGTCGCCGCATCTGTCGATATGGACTTTTCCCGAACCCCAACTGGCGCTCGTGATAGTCCGTTGACTACCAATGCTGAACGCCTTTTGAACCACCTCGACCGTGGAATAGTGACTGCTTTCCGTCGCAATCATAATCGATATCAAGCCCTGATTCGCCTGCCACAACATCGGGAATTCATGCCTGCTAATTCTCCCTCCCGCCCTGCGAGCGTGTTTCGTCGCTCCAGGGCAACTGACGGCCGCACCCCTCCACGGAAACGCAAGGCAAGCAATTATCTAGGCGGTGAAGCGGTCCGCAGAAAAGTGCTTGACTCTCATCGGAGAAGCTCAACTGCTGCGTGATTTTACCTCTCATTGCTTCACTTGACACGAAGAAGTTTTCACTGCTTCGGACCATTTATTGTCGAAGATTCTTAAAGCTTCGATCATCACCAATTACCTTCTCTTGGTTCTATGTCCTTACCTGGTATCATTACAGCACTCGAAGCTGATTTACTTGATATCTATCGCTACCATACTGTCCGATTAAAAAAAAAATGGGATATTGATTTTCCCATTGTAATATTCCTGATCTCGGGTTTGATTGCCTACCTGTCCACATCTTGGTACAAAAGTCCAAGCTCATTTAATGTGGCCATACCTCAGCATTTGAAATCGTCTACCGGATCTTGAAATAAAACTATGAAAAACAAAAGCTATGTTTGAATGGCACAACTGTAGAAGACAGGCATATAACTGTACTTTCTATAGATCGTTCCACATGTGTGAATGAATGGATTCGATATGATATGCACGATGTATGGCTCTTCTTTTATCTTCTTTGCCTGTTTTTGAACATTTACATGTTACCTTCGTGGTGCTTGGGCTAGGGTTTCTTATTTTGCTTCAGCCTGGCGCCTCCCCGGCACGATGCTGTGGCTTGTCGTTTGATCGACGGATCGATTCCTCGTCATACTAAGCTAGCTTTCGTGTCAGCGATTATGAAGGTTTTGTCTATGACGCCAGTTGTTGTGTTTGAGTAATGTTGAAAAGGTGTTGAATATTCGGATAAGAAGAAAACCCCTATGTTTCGAGGAATTTCCTGTGTGTATGAAGTAGTTTTTAGCTTATGAATTACTTGAAAGTTCTTATACGTGGTTTGTCCTGATGCACCATCTCCACGAGGCTCGAACATAAGTCATACCGTCGATTCCATGGTGCAGTCTCTGGAAGACAGAATGTAAACCGTTAAAGCTATCTCTAGCAGGAAGGTGTAAGAGACTGACCTTAGGCTACTCGGGGGGCGTTTAGACTAAGACTTGGAAACGAACCGTTAGGAGAGCCTTTAGACTGAGAGTTAAGTATGAACAGAGTACTTTGGGGCACTACTCTGGGGCGATTCTTAGGAGGATGAAAATCAAGATATTCTCAATATATATGTATATATAGGGTAAAGCGGGGTCTGATAAAATATTTTCGAAAAAGCTAGGCGTATGCTGGGTATATAACATAAACAACGGAACAGGAAAATGCCGCCGGGCTCCAGTGGCATGGTTAGCCCATATTAATCAAGAACAGGTTTGGTAGTGTTCCGTAGGGGGAGGGTTTCTTAAAATCACTATTATAGTAGTGCGTAAGGGTAGACGCGGCTATCCCCTATTTTATCGCAAGAATAAGTCCATCCCAAGATAGAAGACAATAGGGCCCACACATTATTTTTTGCTTCATAGTAGTGTCTCAAAATAGACAACATAAGCGTTAGGATTTATTAACTCCCAAGAATCAATTAATTGGACTAAATTGTACCAATATTTGTTTCTTGCATAATTAAACGAGAATCTCAGCCATACGAGGGCTGTCGGGGCAGGATCAAAGTAGATAGATTGATTTACCCATTTCTGCGCTTGATTATCTCAACGACCTGCGGTGAATCTATCTCCTCGTTTCTCCGGCAGGTGAGATAGGTGCGAATTGGCTTGGCAGTACTATCGATTTTAGAGAGCGTTAGCGGAGCCCCCAGAACCAGACATCCTTTTGGTTTGTTGACACGACGCGTCAACTATAGCGAGAGGGCTAAAAAGGTATCAAAAAGCAGGGAAAAGGGTCTCAGACATACATATTTCCCACAGCCAACGGCGATTTCAGAAAAGCCATCTGCCTCACCAATCCCCTCTTTCTCAGGGCTTGTGTCAGAGTGTCCTCCTTCACGTCTAAGCCCAGGGTTTCCACAACCTCCTGGTAAGTTAACTGGCGGTTTTCTATGGACGAGGTGATGAACGTCTCAATCTCGTTCAATTTTTCATCAGTCAGACGCTTTGCCCGGCCCGGCCGACGCTTGGGAGACGCGGAGCGTTTCTGGCAGGTGTACTGCACGGCACCGAAGGGGAGGTTCAGGTGCTTGCAGATTTGGTGGTATGTGTGGCCTAGGCTACGCATAAGCAGGATATCACGTCGCTGGTCGCGTGTTAGACAGTGGCGATGCGGTTTAGATGTAGAAGTAGGAGGCGGGGGATTTTCGGGGATACATAGGGACTGTGTCTCTGAGTCCGGCGCGGAGGAGGGCGTAGCAGAGGATGTTAACGGTTCGGGCGGCTCTAGAAGCGACGACGGTGGTTCGAGGGACTGGTGCCGTATCGCCGGAGGCTCCGAGGACTGGCGCCCGTCTCTGGGCGGAGTTTGGTCTAGCAAAGCGGAATGTTTTTCAGGCAGAATAATCGGCGGAAAAAGAGCCGACGCTAGAGGAGTGGTGGCGGCGGTGGACGAGGCGGGGGAAAGGGGAGAATCCATCACAGTGGTTGGCAACTGATGCTATGCCTATTAGGTTGAATGGCCCGGGAGGTCGCGCACGCGAGTACCTGGAGGACCGTTCGGCACCACGGGGCCAGCTGCAGCATAGAGCACAACGGGTCAGTCAGCCTGAAAGTCTTATCACCAGTAAAGGACAGGGGAGCTTCTTGTGGGAGTGATCGCCTTCGCCAACCCGAAACAATGTACTGGAACTTGGACGGAGCTAGAGACCGCGGGTTTCGAATGGACAAAGTAAAATAAACCAACCGGACCAAACTTTTGACACTTAGCACTGGCACCCACGCCTTCGACTGTGGCCAGCGCGGTCACGCAACGGAGTTTCAAAGTGAGACGCGTGGAGAGAATTGGCGTCGAGACCTGAGAATCACAGGTACGGAGTAGGTCAAGCCCCTTGGGCGGCCGGCGGTTTAGAACAGCCACTGGCGGAAGTGACTTGTCTAAGAGCAAAAGAGGGCCGGTGGAGCCGGAGACTAGCAAAAGAGAACACAACGGGCCAGCGCACAGCAGACGGGGGCCAACAGAGTCGAAGAGCGCGGGAGGTGAAGATATCCTCAGAAATGCCGTTTTGGGACGGAGATCTGGCTTGACTCGCAGGGTACTTCGATCGGCGCATTGCCGACGCCGGCAACCCAGGTTCCCACCAGGTCACTCGCGATCGCGCATGGGCAGCTGATTATGTCAGCACATGCTTAGCTAAGCCGTCCGGATACAGCAACCCGGGCCTCATCGCGGAATCGCTCGCAAATGTACTCTCGATCGATCTCGACCGTTCTCGCGCTCTCTCGGCCTCCAGCCCTCAGCAGCGTTGGGTCGTCTTGCTTGGGCGTCGTGTCGTCTCACCACCCTGCCCGTTTTGCAAACACCCGCCCCACGCCTGTTCAGCCCACGGGCCAAGCTGTGCCCAGCGCGCCAACTCGGCTATTGCCATTGGCCGTCGCGATGAACTACCCCTGGATTCCAAGCCTCGGAGTTTTACTCTGACTGGTTAGCTAGTTTCGCCTGGGCGCGCGCGAAAAGACACCGTCGGATTCGCGGAACTGCATCATTCTATCTCACTTTGACACAAGTCTCCAGTGTTCGAAACACCGGATCGTGATTCGCGCATGAATCCATGAATCGGCGATTCTCGCTCGGCCTCATTCGGAACCCAGAATCCTGCGAACCTCTCACGGTGTTGATAAAAATAGCCCATGCTACTCTATGTAGTTGAAACTACAACGGGGGCAAGTGGGCAACGGCTCTAGTCAACAACAAAGGAGACACGTCTGATCGTTGCTACATGCCGATCCCCATGACGGAAAACAGCTTTTCCCTTCGACAAAACCAAGTGACGCCCGGCGGTATGCTATCTCCTGCACAAAGACTCAAAGCAAGCCCTGTCCTGAGGTGTTTGTGTTCCTCGATGTGTAGAATGCACGCTGCAACTTGTCTTGGGCGATCAAGTTTACGCCCCGTCCTAAAGCTACTAACTATTATTGGCTACTCGGGGACGCAGTTCCTGGCTAGCAGCTGCGAGTTCTGGCCTGGCTGGTGACCTTTCTCGGTTTTGCCATTGAGCCAACGTTTCATAGTTAGGCTTTGTGTTCATACACCAGCCAGTAGTTGACGGGCTCTCGCAAATCTTGCCACCATCTTGCCGCCAGGCCCCCAAATAGCAAAGGTTCACTAGCAGACCCATGCTCTATGGTGTCTTTGGTCGCAAAGACTGGCAAAGTCAATCCACATTTCCCTGCACCGTAGCGCCAGGGGCTGCCGCTATTGTGGCTGCTACTCGATGTCTCTTTTGTTTCTTGGCCCCATCTGTTGGAAATATATTAAGACAACAGACATTTCCTCTCGGATTGTCCCTTCTTTCCTCATCGTGTGCAACTCTTTCCTATTGTTTTAAAATCTCTGTTCAGTTGGCATTTTGTTTCAATCGCTTTCACTCGGCCTTCACTCGTTTTGGCTGTGCGTAAATATCTCTATATATAATTGCCTGTGGCAAGCCTATTACTCTCGTTATACCCCCCTCTTAATTTTCAGCTAGCCTGATTTCGTATACCCTTTGCATATCTTGAGTGTTTTTTATATTTCTTCACCATGAAGCTCTACCAGAGCGTCGCTGTGCTCTGGCTGCTGGTTGTCCACCAGGCAAGCGCCACAGTATGTAATACCAGTCCCATACTATGACCAGAACTGAGATACCTAACGAAGAATTGATAGCTCTGGGGCCTTGGACTGCTGGGTGCCGGTCTCTCTTTTTTCAACACTCCTATGAAAACCGAAAACGTGTGTACCCCCGGTCAGCAAAAAGGTTATGATTGGGGTGATGTCAAACTTGGTGGTTTTGACTTCTTTGACGACTTCAACTTTTCTGGTTTCACTTGCAAGAGCGTTTTTGATTTGAAGAAATGGGTTGGAAAATTCCAGGTATGTCCTCGTTATAAGTATTTTTTTTCTCTTGCTCTACGTTGGTTCTAATGGGTTATAGGATAAATGCATTGAAGGTGTTCTTGACAAGACCCTCTCTCTGGCTCCTAAGATCATTGCCGCCAAAAAGAAGGGATTTTCCATCGATACCATGCAGATCACCGTCGAGAAGGATGTTGATGTTGGCTTCGAGTACACGATGCCGGGCGGACAAATTTGCAAGGAAATTCATCCCTGCTCCCCTGGCGGTTCCATCATCAAGAATACACAGTGCGGCGGTGCCACCTCTGTGTCAATTTTCCTTCCTGTCTTTGCAAAGCTGGCAAAATGCAAGATTGCCATCCACAAAATCCTCTTCCAGTGCGGCCCACCACAATTCACACGAACAGTTATTACAAGCTTGCCGCCGCCATCTACCACGAAAGTCATCGTAACTCCACCAGGGTCAACTCCTCCCGTCTCTACACCCGGCTCTACACCACCTGGATCGACTCCCGGTTCCACTCCTCCGGGATCCGTTCCTGGCTCAACACCCCCAGGTTCTACCCCTGGCTCGACACCTCCCGGCTCTACTCCTGGCTCTACTCCTCCCGGGTCAACTCCCGGATCGACTCCTCCCGTATCGGTTCCCGGATCGACTCCCCCAGTTTCTCCTCCTGGCTCGACTCCACCAGGTACGCCCACGACACCACCCAGCACCACCATCATCCTTCCAGGCCCAAGCTCTACTATTTCGGTTCCTGGCAAGAATACTAGCATTATTGTTCCTGGGACAAGCATCACTTCTATCATTCCGGGCCCAAGCACGCCAATCGTCGTTCCTACACCTAGCATCTCCATGTCAACTTCGACTGTCTTTACGACCTCGCTCGTTACAGTCACCAGCTGTGCTCCATCTATTCCAAACTGCCCGGCAGAGTCTAAAACACCAATTGTTGTCACTTCTACGATTGCCATCTCCACTACTCTTTGCCCAGTCACAGTGACCCCAGGCGTTCCGACCCCAGGCCAGCCCGGTCAACCCGGACAGCCAACTCCCGGTGTTCCTGGACAACCTACTCCAGGTCAGCCCGGTCAACCTGGCCAGCCAACTCCCGGTGTTCCTGGACAACCTACTCCAGGTCAGCCCGGTCAACCTGGCCAGCCAACTCCAGGTGTTCCTGGACAACCTACTCCAGGCCAGCCCGGCCAGCCCGGTCAACCTACTCCAGGTCAGCCCGGTCAACCTGGCCAGCCGACTCCCGGTGTTCCTGGACAACCTACTCCAGGCCAGCCCGGACAGCCTACTCCAGGTCAGCCCGGCCAGCCCGGTCAGCCCGGTCAACCTGGACAACCTACTCCAGGCCAGCCCGGCCAGCCCGGTCAGCCCGGTCAACCTGGACAGCCTACTCCAGGTCAACCCGGACAACCTGGACAGAGCTCTCCAGGCCCCAATCAACCCAGTGGCCCAGGCAGTCCCATCCAAACCAAGCCACCCGTTGTTCCAGTTCCCACCTCTCAATGCCCAGACCTTCTTCCCAGGTGCCTCAACACATGGTTGGATCTTCTCCCCAAGTGTTCATCCAACAGCGACGCCAGTTGTTTCTGTCCATCGAAGGAATTCACAAACGAGGTCATCAAGTGTATCCAAGCCTGGGGTGCCTCTGACGAAGAAGTCAGAAACGCAATGTCCTACTTCACAGGTATCTGTGCGGCACACATTCCTCAGAATCCCGGCATCATTACCGCGGTTCCCACCCGCATTCCAATCGGTCCACCACAAGTACCAGCCACCCCAGTTGCTCCAGCTCCTGGTGCTCCAACCGGAGGTGCTCCCGCTCCAGGCGCTCCTGGTGCTCCAGCCCCTGCCCCCGGTGCCCCCGGTTCTCCCGGTGCTCCAGGTGCTCCAGCCCCTGCCCCCGGTTCTCCCGGTTCTCCCGGTGCTCCAGGTGCGCCAGGTGCTCCCGGTGCTCCTGTCCCTGCTATTCCATATACCACTGTCACCTTCTCGCAAGTGATGACTATGCCCAACGCCCAGGTCAGCACCATGCTCACCCAGCTCACCGTTCCGCAAGTCAACTTCGCCACTGAGGGCTCAGGGGCCAATCCTACCGTCAACCTCATGCCTGGTCCGGCTGAGGCTATTGCTACTCCACCAAGTCAGGGTGTTGCTCCTGGGTCGACTCTTGTCACCTTCCCAGCCACTGGACCCGGTGCTCCAAGACCTACTGGTATTCCAGAATTCACTGGCGCCGCTGCATCCTTCTCTGTATCTGGAAGATGTTTGCTCACTGCTCTGGCCGCCGCTGCTGGTGTCCTCGTCTTTCAATTGTAATTATTTGATGACTCTTATCGGCATTGCCTGCCGCCGTTAATATATTTTGTTAATGTTTTTACTATGTCTATTGAATATTGTCACATTCTTCTACTATGTCTCATAAATACCCAGGTCAGGTGGAAGAACAAAATGATCATTGCCGGTTCCTACTTTTTCATTCCTTAACTATGTATAGCCCGGTCCACATCTCGATAGAGTGTAATTTATACTATTTTGCTTCGTGGCCTGACTACAAATCTATTTTAAAATGCTCTCTATACGGAGTACATAATATTTTTAATTGACTCGAACTGGAACTACAATCAATCATGTTCTGCGAAGAGATTTGTTCTATTATTGTTTCGTTTCACGGAATCTAGAAACTCTAGGCACGTTCACAACCATTTATAAAGGTACTCAAGACTCTTAGCCAGAAAACTATATAGACAACTGATTGTATCCAGAAAATGTGAGCCTTGCAGGCAATTCATATATTCTATAAGGAGTATAGACATATACGTATATCTAGGTGGACACGGATGTAAAGGCGAAATATCCAGATCTTTTCAAATATCTTGAAAGCTGATTTTTCTCATCAGCCTTCAATGCATTGACTGTACATTTGTCGAAGACTCACTGGCCACGATGGCAACAAAAGTGCGGAATTGGAGTTACAGAGTATACGGAAGGAAGTACTCCGTACGGAGGTAAACAAACAAACATTGAGCGGACCATACGAACCATGCAAACATGCTTCCCCGCACACGTCACCATGCATCGCAACTCTAGCTTTGATTGGTTACAGGAATAGCCACCGAGGATCATCCCACCATTCCTAATTAGAATTAGTCTGCAGAGCAAAACGCTTGTGATGAGACTTGAGAGAATTGCAAACAGCAATTAATATGTGACAGCTACTAAAGTAAACATCTAGCAAAACAAATACTACCTAGGGGCCAAAAAAGCACTGTGAAACAAACTATCTTCGAGAGAGTGATCTATGAAATCAACAAACTTCAGGCCATGGTAGCCAAAACAAGAAGAAAGCGAACTAAGGGCGTATGGCTCCATTCAGAAACGCAACAAAGCAAGATGTTCCAAAAAAAAAAAAAAAATGTATAGAATAAAAAGGGTGGTATCTGTTTACCTGTAGATGAGATACAGGGGCAGATATCCCTGTCGACGGCGGGAAAAACGCATCAGCCCGATGCATCATCACCGTCTTCATCCTCCCGCGAAATCGACCAGCCATGCTATCCAACGAACACCCTGGCCCAAACCCCAACTCCACAATGCATTTAGCGGCTAAATTCAAGAATATAAATCCGCCCATCTTTGTATCAAACATGAGCCTCCTAATCGTCCTTTCGAGGGTAGGTACGAACTAAGTGCACGTCCATCTCCCGTGGGAAGTCAGGGTGCAATGTGCTGAACCTTTCGCAGCTGACAGCAGCCGTTTCATCGGCCTCTGGGGGCACAAGGGTATCCAGGAGATGATTGACGAGACGCGTGTCCATCCAGCCGGGCGGTTTCTCTCGTTTCAACTTCTCGATGCGAGCAAGATCGTCTTCGATTTCCTCTGGCATCAGAGGGGGTGGGGGCGGTGCGTTTCCAGCGCCATTGGGGCGCTGGTGGTAGTTGCATAAAACAAAGTACGGCAGGTTAGGTCGGTTCGCATTTTTATCCGTGAGTTCACCGAGGAGGTTGAGGCCTGCAGTTCCGTTATTACGCGTAGACCGTGTTGCGTGGACGCTTTGGCTGGTAGTCCGTTCCATCTCTGGTGCGGCAGAGTCTTCTTGGCCGCTGGTATCACTGGATCCTTGAGCGTCTTCCCCTTCTGCCATCTGACCTTGTGCACCCGACAGTCTCGCACGTTTCGAAGATGATAAGAAATGCAGTGCAGCAATATGAGCCTGGTTGCTATGCATCGCAAGCTCTTTCTCAGTAAAGAGAGAAAGAATGTTATATGCTGGGGAATTTTGTTGTTGATTTAAGCGGGCCTTCGCACGTTCCGCTGGAGTCGAAAGGCCCTCTATATTTGGCGAGCCGAATTCATCGTCTACAGGAACTTTTCGCTTCCTTTTACTGGTCGATTCCGCAATTATCGAATTGCCCATATCGTCAATATCAATCTTGTGGCGGGTATGTCTTGTCTTTCGGTTGCTGTGAGCACCCCCGGGACTGGCCGGGTTTGTAATGCTGAAGTGGTTTGGATGAAGAAGAAGAGCGTTTGTGTCGGCAACATCAAGCTGCTCCTTTTCGCGCATCAAGCGATTTTTGCGCTGAGATATCAGTTGAATGAGCCGCTCCCGAACAGTTTCAGTGAGTTTGTTGCATTCTTCAATCGCGAAACGGTGCCGAAATTCTCGGTCTTGCGACAGTCTGTTCAGAACATCACGATGGCGATTCTAATTCCCGGTTAGATCAACTACTCTTTATAATTTCTCGCAGGGGTAGTTCCTTGGCCTACCATGACGACGGTTAATTCCACATCTCTTTCTTCCTTGCTCCGGTTTATCTCATCAACGAACTTCGAATACCACTTGCCGGTAACCGGCGTCTCCGACACAGTGTGCCCACTCGCGGCGAGCTGCTTGAGCTGTTTCGAGACATCTTCTGGGGCATCGCTCATGGGCCATTCACCATAAATTTCGGAATTTGCGATCAACGCCATTTCATTCTGGAGCTCGTGGACATGTTGGCGGAAGTGGTAGTCACGATTATTCGCAAAGGCCTCGCGAAGATCGGTGAGCCGATCGTGAATCGCTGTGCGTCGCTTATCTCGTTTCGACAAGGGCGCCGTGTATTGTGGGGGAGTGGGCGAGCGGGCGATCAAGTTTGTTGTCGCCATCTCGCAAAGGGTATGAGAGGCGGTATAGCTACGAATACGACAGGCGGGGAGGTATTTTTTGGCAGAGCGCACTCGGGAATAAAGAGATGGAGGGAGAATTTGATGATTCGTGGCAACTGTCGTGCGTGGGTAGAAGGGGAACGGAGGGATATGCCGTGGAAGATAAAGCAACTAAAGAGCTCCTAGCTGTCAAGACCTTTCACAAGTCAGCGCGATTGAGATTTAATAGAGCATAAAAGAAAAGACACTCGGTATTTTCATGGTGAGCCATACCTCATTCACTCGTAGGATCCCACCAAAGAAAAGCCTCTGGAAACCAGCCAAACTCCTGTAGAGTCACCAGCCGCCCGTAGAAAAAAAAGTACAGCAAATACCAAAGATCGCCAGAAGGCCGTGTTTGCGGATTCGACGTTCGATCGAGGGAAGTAGTGCGGAGAGGTGAAAAGCGCGGATTTCACCGAGACTGGGCCGGGAGAAAGCCGCAAGACAGCAGCTAACTGGCAACAAAGTAAATAGGGCCAAAGAACCAAGAGTAATAAATACACAACCCTCCCACTGCTATACAGCTCGTAGCAATAAACAGGCTGTCTGTGTGTGCGTGTGTGTGTGCTGTTGTATCTATGGGAGGAGATTGTGCGAAAAAGGCGGGCCAGAGGGCCTGAGACCGAGATCGTTGCAAAAAAAAAAGGCTATAAAACCACACCAGGCCGGGTTTCAAGCAACGGAAAGAAAGTGTAGAGGTAGATAGTCATTCTCTAGTAACGCTGTGGGCAGCAGTGAAGGCCGGGAGTGCTTCTTTTTCACTTGCTGAGGCCGGCGGCTGGCGACGTAGCAGTAGGGCGGTGGGGGCCGGCAGATAAACTTAGTTTCTCAAGCGTGGTCACGTGTAGTCGTTATGAGAGGCTTAAATTGGAGCAAGCAATCTCTTAAAAAAGTTGATATCTACTGGAGATGGGTTTTTGTGCTGTGGCTTCTGGAGATAGGTGGATCTGATTATATGAGTAGCTGTGGCAGATTGTTTGGTTCCCTCCTTGAGGGAAAACAACAAGGATAAATCATCAATCATTTCCTTCTTTCAGTATCCTATGGCCTATCTGACATGACATGATCCCCAGACGTTTTGGCATATCTGGAGTCTCGCAATAAAAATAAAATAAAATAAAAAAGCAACGAATCACCTCGGTCTTAAACTCCCTGCCATATCGCTGAGATTGAAAAAATGGGTGGGGGAAGTTGAAAACTTGAATAAAAAGCCGGAAAAGGGGGTATTGTCCCATGATATCAGAATGAAAAATAAAAAAAAAAAAAACAAAACCATCGAATAAGAAATTCAAATCCTTTTTCCACCACCATATCAGGACTACCCTTGCCAATAGATAGAAAAAAAAAACAAAATCATAAAAGACATTGGCCGGACGTCCCAATGTTACTTTCACTCCTTTTCGATGCCAACACAAATATCCCATCCGAAGCCGAAAACAAAGTCTTAACCCGAGGAGAAGCATCACGAAAGAGCCCTGCGGATCACGAACACGCCCAGCTCCAGCCCACAGTCCGGCTGAAATCCATCGGGGTAGGGCCGAGTGCGAACGCCGTCGAGGATCTCGCGAAGCAGCGACGCACCGGTCACCTCCTGAGACGTCGGGTTTCGCTGTGCCGCATTAAAGATATTATTCTCCGGGAGGCGATGGCCCTTGCGCCAGTAATAGTTGATGATATCGCGGGCGCGAGCGGTTTCCTGCTGGATGTACCATTCCGTCCATAAGCATCGGTCGAGTTTCACGGTGGCTTGGCCGGCGTAGGCGAGGGTGAAGTTTGTCTGGTGGCACGCTGACATGCCTGGTGGTGAAGTTTTGGAGCTGATGCTGTCGCAGATGGCCTGCAGTCGAGCCTTCATGCCTTCAAATTCGTCCATATAGGCAATAGAAGGAATTCGACCAAGCGCATTACCAATGTCAGCAGACAACCCATTGATGACAGCTAATTGGCGAAGTAGCGGGTCAAGTATGGGGCTTAGATATTTGTCTCTGAACGTTTCCGCGCCGCGTTTGGTGGGGTATATAAAGAGGAGATTCCCGCCGTTCGGAGATAATTCACGTAGGCGATCTAGGAGGACTGAGGGGCCTTTATTCAAAAAGAGAGCTTGGCACTCTTGTGTGGATGTTGGCGGAAGGTATCGTTCAATCACTGCGACATTGACGCTGAAAGGGGGCACAATGGGAGTAGAGGTGTGGTGACATGCCGGCGAGGCAAAGGATGTCGGCTCGATGTAAGGATAAGCTGGCACAGCGGCTGCACTTGAAAATACAGTGTTATTAAAGTAGTCGTCACCAGGAAAGAGGAGGTTCGGCGTGCTAGGAGGCGAAGTTGGGAGGCTGCTAAGGCTAAATTTCGGAGGAACGGCGTGAACGATGCTTATATATGGGAAATAGCCGGTCTGGAGTCGGTTCTGGATCGCCTTAACGATGGGGGTAAAAGCGGACTTGGGTAGGGCGGAGGCTGAGGAGTCAGATGGCGGGCACGGTAGGGTTTGGGAGACTAGCTGCACAGAGTCGCCTGGAAATTTGGGCAGCGGGAGAGACGACACTGTTGAACAGTTAATACAAGGCAGGAAAAAGCCCAAGAAATGGGAGAAAGATACTGACCAACAGGTAAAAGAGCGTCTTGAAGCCACTCGTCCGAGCTCTCGCCAGGGAATAGACTGTGGTTGGAGAAAATCATTGGACTTGCGGTAGCTCTAGTCCCTTGGAGAGCGAGAGAGGACATGTGTTGCTCCTTTTCAGGTCCAGAGTCTGAATCTGAGGTTTCCTTTGCAGAGAAGTCCTCCATATAAGGATCGATATTATGGCAGCTTGCTGAAGAATGATTATCAGATATAAAGAGGCTGTGTGAATTTGGGTTCCAGAGGAAACTGTCTTCAATTTCAGGAGGCGTGAGGGGCAAGGGAGAAGCGTAGGAATGTTCTGGTTTGCTCAGAAGCGACGAAGAGGATAAAGCAGAGGAGGCAGAGGAGCCACCCATCACCGGAGGGAGCAACATCGCATCGTTAGGCCGCCGAGACGCCGTGAAACTAAGTGATGAATGGGCAATTCCCAGAGATTCAAAAGGTGACAGCTGCAACTGATGACGAGGCCTGGACAGGGCCCTGGTGCCTGAAGCGGGCTCTGAGCGGAGGGAAGTGCGTGAGGCATTGCGTTTGGCCTTTGTGAAAGGCACGGTGGAGCGCTGGGAGAAGCGCTGCAGCTGTTCATCGCAACAAAGGGCGGTCTGGTCAGGCATTGTGTCTGGGCGGAATTCACACGAGGCGCTTCGGCGGCTGGAGCGGATGGAATACCAGTCGAAGTCGAAATTGCAGCATGGAGAATTGGCACGGTCGAAGGGGGAAGTCATCGCTTCTGGTTCGAAGGTCGAATCAGCCGTCGTCGGGGACGTGGGACGGGATAGTTTCCCATTCTTGAGTCGGCACATTCACGATATATATACTCCCACGAGACCGGTTCCAACGTCAACGAGGAGGGTACCGGAAGACCAGGGTTTTTGGCCAGCGGAGACAGGCCGTCCTGGCAGCAAAGAGCGTCTTAACAATCGAAGCCTCAGCTGGGCGTGCGTGTGTCGCCCAGAGTGGGAATCATGCGACAGCGAGGGAGAGGCAGAGACACAGCCAGACGCCTCTCCGCTCTTCCAGCGAAGGTAATAGCGCAGAATGTATGCACGGCGACGGACAAGCCCGGTTCTGACTTGGACAGCGAGCGCACGAGAGGGGCGAGAGGGCGCAGGCCTCGGGGGGGGGCAAAACCGCCTGGGCCACACGTGCGCAGCAGGCGAGATGCAGGGAGAGCGACGGGCAGACAGCTAGTTAGCTAGAGAGCCAGCGACTGCGAGCACGGTGGAATAGGAGACGACCAGAGCGACGGCGACGAGCGAGCAGGGTGGATGGGCAGCGGACGAACAGCACCGGGCCAGTCCGGCGATGGATGGGGAGGAGGGGGGCGCGCAGGCGGGAAGGGCTGCTGCTGGGGGGGGGGATCGGGGGCTTGGGCTGAGCCACGGCGGCGACGGGCGGGCGCTGGGCTGGGCTGGGGGGGTAGATAGGGCAGGGAAGACGAGGAGCCGCGCAACGAGGTGAGAAAGCAGAAGAAGAAGAGAGCGAGAGAGAGAAGAAGAGGAAGAATGAGGAAGAAGATGACAACGAGAGCGACAAGCAGGCAGACAGGCAGCCAGATAGCCAGCCAGGCCCGGCGTGGTGATGGCCTGACGGCCGGGGCTGTTGGCGGGCTGCGCGGGGGGGGGGGGAGGGAGTCTAGACCGGCGCTGCAAAACTCTGCTGGCAAACACGCGCTCTCTCCCGCCGCCGCCCGCCGCCTGCTTGGCCACCCTACCACCACCACCGCAACCACCCCAGTTCCTGGTCGCCGCTGGATTACCTAGTTATTCTTATTTCATACCCCATCGTCGTCGTCGTCGTCGTTGTCGTTCCGTCGACGATCGCCTGCCTAGTTACCTGCCGTCCAGCCCGGCGCCCACAGCTTCGCACCCCCGTCCCTGTCGCGCTGCCGAACGACGTCTGTGCCAGCCTGGCCCAGCGCCCGCTGCTGAGCCTTCGGCCTGCATGCTTGTACTGTACTTCCATACGAGCCTTGTGTGTCCCACCCCGTCTTAGTTACTTGTTAGCTATTAGTCTGCTTCCTCCTCCCTCTGTTCTCTGTCTATGCGGCGCCGATCATCCTTCGAGACAAAAAGACAAACCAACCCCCCAAAGGGGGCAGCCATCCCGACTTGTGCAGACTTATGCCGCTGGATAAGCTGGATAAAGCTAGTTATGCTGCGTTTATTCGCCATTCTAAGTTTCTAGCCTGGGCTTTGTTGCCGCCGTTGTGGCCGCCCGACCCAGAAGAGCGTTGCCGCTTCATTACTATTTCTCTGCCAAATCTCCCCTCACAGGTCCACAATTTATCAAACCCACTCACTACCGGCCATCATCTATCCCACGCGAGCTATGCAACGGGGGACTTACACCAGCAAACTTGTCCAAAAGTCATCCACAGGCCGGCCAACAAGGGAAACTATGGTTGCGTCGAATTGGCTTGGCTGGGGAGAATCACGAACTAGTTGACTCCGTACCATCCAACTCAAAGGAAGAAGTGGAACCGGCTCTGGATAAGCTCATAAAGGACCAGACGATTCGAAATTATTACAATTATTACTCATAGATTTGCATCGCCCACGGGCCCCAAGCCAAGCCACCCTGCTCTTCTCTGACGGCCGGACTTGCAAGTGCGGCTTTGGCGAAGGTGATATATAGATTGCAACAAAGCACTCCGTATATCTCCACACAACATCGGCTAGGAGCCAACCCGGGAACCAACAGCGCAAACCCCTCTTCCAACAATCCGCGCATGAATAATGGCCTCTATCGACCTGGTGCTAGTTGTCTGGGCACCTTATCCGAGAATCGTGCCTGTTGACGGACGGACGAGATCTTGTGGACCTTTCGGCAAAGAGAAAGGCCCTCGATGAGTAGGAGTAGGTATAAAATCGGACATGCGGCTATAAGGGAAGTCTGTCCTCCGTTAAGTTACGGCTATTCGAGAATCGGTGGATCTAGACTGCGCGGTCTGTACAACAACAAAGAGACCAGATATCTCACAGCAGGATCTCGCGCTAAAAGAAAGCGAAGGAAGAACGGCCTCGAACCCAACCGCCATCACCACCACTACCACCCATGAGCGAAATTTCACGTATCTACAGAGGTAAGACAGGTGCAGAGGCGCACCGTTTCAGAAACTCAAACGACTGGACGAGTTTCCCTGTCGATACGGAGGACAGGCCAACAGCTACCGCCGGCCCTCACTGCTGCTCTCCAGAATAATAATAAGCAATAATGGCCCCAACCCTGCCATGTCTCATGCCGCTGTTTCAAACTTGTGACTCGCTGGCGGTAAGTCATGCATGTCAGCTTCCTCTCCCCTGCAAGCATCACCTGGAAGATGCACGCTGGCCCATAAACTACACTACTAACTAACTACTCTGCACACCCATTCTTCCAACTTACCTACTTAACCAACAGCGGAACCGAGACGACGACGTCGTCGTCGTACTACTAGCTCGCTCTCGGCTGATACATACATTACCTTCATTCATTCTTCGCCCTGCGCCGATCGCCGCCCAAGCCCCAGCAGGGCCAGCCGGCGCCTGCGTAAGTCAGGATCCGAATAATAAAATGTTATCCGCCGCGGGCTATCTCCGTCTAGCGCGCCCGCCCATGGGTCCATCCATCTGTCCAAAGGGATTGCTTTCCATTATTATTATTATTTTCTTATTCTTCTTCCCTCCGGGTGGGTCGCGAAACTCTTTTTTTCCTTCTCCACTGCCCCGGCCGGCGAGCTGCGCTTGGTTCTTCCCAATCCAACATCTAGTAGTCGTAGTAGTTAGTTGCATAGTCGTAGGCAGCTCTGTTCGATCCATCCCAGCTCACACCGTTGAGCTTACAGCCCCATGATTTCTTTTTGTTTTTTCCTTTCTTTCTTTCTTTTTTGTTTTTTTCGCATGCACGTACGGGAAGGCTCGTCTTCGTAAATCCTCATTTTTACTATCTTGTTTTGCCTGGTAGATGACCACCGCACGGGAACAGCTGCAGCAGACTCTCGGCCCCCCCCATACGAAGGTCTTCCTATCCCGTGCCCGCCGCCATCGTTCCTGCGTTGGGGGTCCTGTGCCGTGCCACCGGTGGTCTCGGCCATGTCGCACGCCTCGCGCTGCTCTAGTTACTCGTACTACTAACTGCTGGACTCTTCTCTCCCTCGAGACCTCCCCACGTTTTGCGCGGCAGCGTCGCCGACTATCATTGGGGGGTGCCGTGGATCGCCCGAACGAAACCACAGGCTTTGGTGGCGAAAACTCTCTCTTATTAGTAGACTACCTTTCGCCGCCTCTGGGCCCTTCCGAGTGTTTTTGTTGTTGTCTGGTAGGGCGGTGCAATCACCTAACTATCCCGTTTGGGCTGTGAGGGGCGTGATTCGCTGTAGGGCTCGAGAGTTTTTTTTTTTTTTTTGGCCGTGATGCCGCGGAACCGCAACAAGAACAAGCCGGGCAGATCGATCCAGATCGGGCCTTCTTGTCAAGCTCTCGACGAACTCCAGAACGCGGAGGCTGGTAACGAGGAGTCTATCTCTTCTTCCTTCCTTTTTTTTGCTTGGTTGGTTGACTAACGGTATCCTGCATGCAGGCGCCTAGCCGACGGCGTCCGTCGCGCCGGCTGATGATCCCGCTGCAGACTTTCTACTCCAGAGTTACATACATACATTCACACCCTTCAAGCATCCAGAGAAGACGTGCGCAGGGGAAAAAAAAAGCCGAAGAATGAATGCCCTGATCAACAGCCTAGGATCGCCGTTCTAGCCGGGCCCGGCCCGGCCAAAATTCGATCTTCGAATATGCTTGTCAGAGGCTCAATAAAAGAGCCGATGGAAAGCGGAACAATAATAATATCTGCGAATGCAAAACCCGCTCAGCAACCTGTTTGTCGTCGTATTTATTTTGCGGCCAAGCTCCAATCCGCTCCATCATGACTAACTAACTACTCTACGACTGATGATTGATATGCTACATGGACGCATCCAATTGAGCGAACCTCGGCACGGGCCCGGTCGTACTGGGAGGACGCGTCTTTTTTGTTTGAAAAAGACGGCTGGCTCGGCCGATCTGCACGATCAGGCTGCAGTATTAACTAAATCACTCACGCTGGGCTGGGTAATCTTCCGTATGTCGGGTTCCCTCTCCGCTTACCTGCTGCCTCTGCTGCTTGCTGCTGGTGCTGCTTCTTGGCCGTACAGACCTCCATCCAACAAGTAGATACGGCGCATCACCAGCCCCACATGTGGATGCTAGGCATGAATGTCTTGCGTCGACACACACAAGGCAGCTCTTGACAGTTTGTCGGGCCGGGCTTCCCTTCACCACAGGGCCAGCCGTCTCACCGTATCCCTTGAGCAAACGTACGGATGTACAGTACAAGGCTCCTG